TGCCTTCGTAAGGGAATCTGTACCGGCAAAATGTGTGTTAAAATAGTTTATGCATACGTATCATTTTGCTACGGTTGACGGTTGTATTTTAAATTAATACAATTTTCTTTGGGCGTACATAGTATGAGAAACTTTATAACCAGAGCCTACACATATTTATAAAACAGTGTATATATAAATATATGATATTGTGAGCGCGGTGGTACTGTGCGTTAGCATTTCCATTTGATTTGGAAATTCAGTGCGCATCTCCCATATGGAGATTCAGTTCAGATAGAGCCTTTATATGATCTATAGATTTACTAATGCAGCCGGTGTAGATCAGTGGTAAGACGGACGGCTACAGGCGCAGCTGACACGGGTTCGATTCCCGTCATCGGTGATTTTTATTTATGACCAAAAACCTATTACCGAACCAACATTCGCACAGTATGCATTTGCGTTAGCACCCTTTCCTGTCGAGAAGCGTCGTCGTTCTAGCAATATAGATATAAAATTGTGATTAAGCAGATCACAAACTAATGAGATTTTGCTAGAATACGAGTATTGCATGGAAGTATCATAAAACATCCAACCGGTAGACATTAATACATATTTTGTCAACACCGCGGATGCGGCAGAGCATATAGATATAGATATAATATTTATATTTTATATACTTATATGTGTTTTTGCACAGTTCTTTAGTTCACCAAATTCCCAAGTTTGATCTGCATTGCGGTACAGCAATTATGACTGCAGCTGGCTGTCAGTACTGCAATTATATATAATAATAATAATAATAAATAAATACTGTACTGTACAGTAGTTATTACTCAACCGACTCTTAATGCAATTAGGCCACTATTAAGCAGCAATTTAACCATCAAAAAACAAAGAAAGGTCAGAAATTTGTTAGTGAAAAACGGCGCTCTTCAACACTTAATAGTCGTGCAGCAATAAGTCAAATTTCAAATTATATATTATGCGGTACGAAATTAAATTTTTATTTAAGACTTTTCACTTGCTCTTCACGCATTTTAGGTGTGATTTCGCATATGATATCATAGTACTTACTTACTGATATCCTTTGACACAGCGTTACGACTACTTAATTTTAGAAATAAGCCTAACAAATGAAATGGGTCATTGTCGGCTGAAGTTCAAATGCGATCATCGATAAAATGCTTACGTCGCGTTTCGCAGCATATCGGAAAGAGCAGACGCCGGCGCCCGAAAAAGAGGAAGATATAATAAGGAGCATGACTCACGCGCATGACTAATCCACTTGTCCTCATACAATCCAGTCGTGAAAGATTCAAGAACGTGTTTCAACTGGTACAATCGCATCGGCTCGCGCCAACTGATACGCGTATAGTACTAGTACTAGTGGATGATGTCATTTTAGAGAAACAGCTGTGGGCATAGAAGTTTGATATTTAAGGCCGGTTTGGCTTGATCACCATTTAGATTCTCAAATTCGGCAGCAGTCGAAGTGTTACAGCAAGAAAGCTTGATTAATATTTTTGTTTGACTAATATCTTTCTGTACATAGTTTTCTTGGAGTTAGGGAGGCTCGATCACCGAGTCACCATGGTGCTGACCGCGGCCTCCCTGAGCCAGTTCCTTCCGGATGGTTTGAATCTAACCGGTGGTCTGGGCTTGTTTGGAATTTTGGGGGTTCTGTTTCCCTACATTGAAAAGCTTATTGGGCATCTTTTTAACTTTAACGTAACCGAATATTTCGGTAAATTTTTTGGAAGTAATAGTGTGTTGGGAACGTCTTTCGGAATTGTTGGTATTGGTGCGCTCGTCGCGTTATTGCAGCAGATTTGGAATTATGGATGGAATCTCTATAATGAGTATTTTTCGATTTCCTTGGAAATTCCCAGCTCGGATTCCAGTTACTGGGAGATGTTGGAATGGATTCATACAAGGCAGATGAAAAATCCCAAACATCTTAGCCTGCAGACAGAAACCCAGCAGAGCACTAACGGCAAATGGGAGACTGTTTATGAATTTGTGCCAAATGTCGGAACTCACAATTTCAAGTAAGAATTGATCAGTTACTGACTTCCGGTGCACCATGTAATATCTCATATTTTATTTCCATTTAAATATCTTACGATTTCTTTCTTATTTCACTGTCATCCTTTCATAAATGTATTCCTCACCCAAATATTGTGTGTACACTTGTACTTACCGAAGCTCGCTTCACGCAGATTTCAAGGGAAAAAATTTGTCATCGAAAGGCGGCGCGAAGAAAAGGCGGAAGCGTACTCCATGAATCGGTTGGAGAATGTCATTCTGTCTGCCACTGGATCTGATACCACAGTCTTTCGTGATATGTTAGCCGCCGTTAAAAAATATAAGGAGATTAAAAACCAAGGCAAAACATTGATGTACACTGCCTCTCAAGGATGTTGGCAGTCTTCCGGAACCGGCAAACGTAAACGTCCACTCGATTCTGTGATTTTGGATGACGGTGTGTCCGAGCGCATTCTCAATGATATTCAAGATTTCATGGACAGCTCCGAATGGTACAGCCAGTTTGGTGTGCCCTACCGTCGGGGCTATCTGTTATATGGTCCCCCCGGCACCGGGAAGACCAGCTTCATTAGTGCCTTGGCTGGTCATTTTGATCTCAACGTGTGCGTTCTGAACCTGAGTGATAAGAGCCTGACTGATGACGGTTTGAACCGGCTTCTCATCGATGCACCCGAAGACTCGATTGTTTTGTTGGAAGATGTGGATGCCGCGTTCGGTAACCGTGAAGATGCTACGGAACCCAAGGGCACCTCCAGCTCTGATTCCGAGCAGAAAGAAACGACTGCTTCGCATTCCAGCACTGCGTTCGAAGGGATGAACAGGCTGACTTTCAGCGGACTTTTGAATGCGCTGGATGGTGTGGCGTCGGCAGAAGGGCGGATTCTTTTCATGACCACAAACTATGTCGACCGGTAAATATGGCTCTTAAACTAGTCAATAAATAGTTATAAAATATAAATAATGCGAAACTGTTCAAAATTGAACAACTATAATATGCATAACATACTGACGAGTAATTTTATTTCAGGCTCGATGCGGCTTTGGTTCGTCCGGGACGTATTGATGCGCGCCAGTATGTCGGTTATGCCTCAGAATCTCAGGTGGACAGAATGTTTCGCCGGTTCTATCGGAAGTGCACAGATGATGATGCCGCTCGGTTTGTGAAAGCTGTCTTCGATCGTCCAGAGCGGCCCAATATAAGCCTAGCCCAACTGCAAGGATTGTTTCTTCAGTACAAAAGCAACCCTGCCGACGTGTTCTGTGGGATTCCGATGCTTTATGAATAATTGTTCGGCTACACATTTTGCTGATAACTTCGCATGATCTCCGTCTTAAATTTTATTAAAGAAACAGTTAGTTTACTTATTGCTTTTGATAAACGTCTTAAAACAAATGTTTTGCTGCGAAACATTTATGATATGTAGCTTAACATTTTGATATGGTTATGGTGGTTCAATGGTTTTTGTGTCTGCATATGGATAAGCTTGAATTTTCGAAATACATTTGCGAGGTCGGTTTTGGAATTTACGTTCGTGAAATTATGAACAAGCAAATAAATGTCGTTAAACCTTTTAAATCTTACGTTTACGTTGCAGTAACAAACAGAACTCTACAACTTGTAGATATGGTAGCTTTACGTCAACTCGAACTAAATTTTGCGAGAAAAATTTTCAATATATAGTTAATTTTACAGATACAGCGGTCAGTTATGCTTCTGTGTAAATTTGGTTTCGTTAAAATTGTGAAGTTTCATTATCATGGCTTGAAAAGGTAGACATGCCCTTAGTAAGTCAGTAGCCATTCGCGGAGTTAAAATTATAAGATTACGATTTTCAGAGTGGAATAGTCTGTATAAATAGTGTGGTGACGCAGCGTACATTACATCGTATTGTACATATCGTATCTGCCTATAAGATTTCAGTATGAACGCATGTGTAGCGAGTTGCTCCCGGCATTCTTCAGTGCGAACTTCGAAGTTGCTTATGATTTACGAATATGTGCACCTTTTACATTACCGGCGCAAACAACCTCATGGATAACGTAAGAACAGACCGTGCAGGTCAGTAAGTTCAAAACCTGATTTCTAAAATAATCACAGCATTCTAGAGGCATAAAGCATTCTAGAGGCGTGCTTTTTGTAGTGCGGTCCACACGGATGCAGCATTCTTATGTCTTAAACACTGCGCTGCAAATTCACCGAAAAGTAGTTCTGCAGCTGTGCTGCACTCATGCAGTGCATTACTTATAATTATTCTTATGGATAATCCATTTAAATTGTAAAAATTGCGTAAACCGCAAATTTTTCCCCTTTTTTAAATAATGGCAACGTTGTCTTACTTTTAATCAACGCGATTTGGATGGATACGCATGTGTTGGCTTGCAGTGCACATGGATTAACTTCCTTTACGTGGATGTGGATTTACTCTTTATTATCACGCTATCATAAATGTAGTTTTTGACGGCTCATGATTGATTTGACTGGGGCAGCTGCGCAAGTTAGTGAAAATCTTTGAAATATGATATTTAAAAAAATTTATGCGCTTCTCGTACTCACGATATGTTCGAAGATTTCGGAGAAGTTCTAGTAATAATAATAATATTTTTAAGGGTATCAGCCACGTGTATATTTTAATATTCCAGTAACGAAACTGGACCTGTAGAAAGTAAGATATTTAAGTCGATAGTGAGATAAGCATATAATCACAGCGGACTGCATGAAGAAGTTCTTGCAGTCTGTTATTGTACCTAATATTTCCGTTTTGGAAGATTGTGAAATTACTCAGTCTCGATCAGCAGCAAAGACACGATGAAGCTGACCGGCGCGGTAAAAACAGAAAGGCCTCCCGGCAATTTCGCAACAATCTTGCTCCGTTTCCCAGATAGTTGTTCATGTACTAGCTCACTGGCTACTGCACTGACCATCGGTCAATCAAAATTTTATACAGAACTATACTTTACTTGTGCAGCGCACGTGTAGACTGTACAACTTTGGTACGAGTATCTGTATAAAGTGTATATTGGACTTCCAGTTTTGTGAGAACCTAATGAAATAATTTTTTTTGTTTTTGTCTAACTCTTGTGTATTTGAAATGCAATCTTGCAGACGTTTTTAATTAACTATTAACAAATCTTAAAGTTTTAAGTTTTTGGTTTGGGTTATTTTAACGGACTCTTCGTGATATATTTAATATATTATGTTGTTGAACATGATAATATCATAATACTACTTCTGTAGCGCAGATTTTGTTTTGTTTTTTAACGGAGCAGAACAACAGATCTGATACTTTACATCATGATTTTCATATTGCACAGACAAAATCCTTTCCTTTTTGACGTTTAGTAAACTGATCATAAGCCACCGGCGCCGCCACCGTGGCTCTTTGCGTAATTGCCAACCGCCCAGAAAGTGCGCGATACTACTTTAATGGACTACAACTGACATTAATATTACTAGACAGTAGACACAACAGTAGACGGTGTACTTTTATTGTACTCGTATTAGGCCTTGTCCCAAATTCGAAGCGAATCTCGCTATGGTACGGTTGCTCAACCGCACGAGGTGGCTGTATGCAGTGGCCACGCCTACAGATACGGTACGCGAAGCCACCTCGCGAGGTGGAGTTGCTGTATCGCAACGAGATTCGCTTTGAATTCGGGACGAGGCCTTAGTCTTTTACTCCATTTACCAAGCAGTTTGTACTGCGCTCTACAATATGCTAATTAATGTCCACTTACTTGGAAATGTGGCAGTTTTTCCATCATTTTTAGAGTTGAAACGATGGTCGTAGGTTGGAAATGTTTTCTCGTGAGCGCAGCGATCGACAGGATGCCAATCACTGTCGACGGAAACCTAGCTATCCCCAGTACGGAAACCACAACAAATCTGTCAACAACAGTTACAATACCAGCAATCATCGTGGCAGTCGCCAAGGTGAATTCGGTATCCGCATACCAACATTCGTAATCAGACCACTTTTTGGCGCGTGTAAGTATTGTAAATTTGCAGATTTCGAGGGAAGAAATAATCGACATCTGTCATCTGCATCCCATGACACGGAGTCGTCGCGATATCCTGGACGATCGCACGGAACGTCCAGTCCTCGTGATTCCTGGTCGCACCACTCCGATGCCCACGAGGAACGCTATCCCCAGGGGCGCAGCAGTCGCGATCGACACCGTCGGGACTACGATCATCGACAGGACGACGTGAGATATCCTCGCCATTATGAGGAGCGACGTTACGCAGCTGCGCACTCACCCTCGCGATACTCAAATGAATCGGATCGTCGACATACGCCCGTGCAAGCACTTCTCCCTACTCCGTATCCTTTTCCCAACGCTCAACCGATCTTTATGCCGGGTCCCACGACCATGCCGTCCCACCAGGGAATGTATTTCGGGCCACCCGTCATCCGACCAGGAATGTATCCTTTGCCTGTGATGGGATCGGGGGTGTACGGGCAACCTTACCCCGGGGGGCAGTGGCTATTTTCTTCACCCCCTGGGGAATCGCACCGGGAAAATATTTCGGGGCGCGGAAGGACGTTATTGGGATTGCCTCCAGGTAAACTGGAATTAACAGTGTCTTTAGTAAGCTATTTAGAAATCTGAGCTAAGCCTCTTGGAAATAGTGACACGATAATCATGCAGTGAATTTTAATTTTTAGTAAATATGCAGTAAATTACTTTGTAGAAAGTGGAAGGGGGCCGATTTTATATGGAGGTAGGACCGCGGAATACGACGAATCCAAAAATAGTTCTCCTCGCTCAACGGGAAGTCCTCTTGATCATGCGGATAGCAGTCGGCAAAACGGTTGGCAATCGCGCTGTGATACTCCTAGTAAGTTGTGGATTAGTGGAACTCTGGAGGAGTTGTCGTCTGACTACCGACATACTTTCATAGTAATTCATACGCATTTTTAGCTCACAGTTATTTTTCGCAGATGGTTGGCGATTAATTCAGATTTATTTACGATTATGATTTAAAAAATTTTATATTTAAGCAAAGCATTTACATAGGTTGTTTTTTCGGATAGCAGTTAATTTGTTCTAATCCTATTCGGCGTAGTTGCCGAAAGGTAGTTTTGCTATACACGATGAATATTTCTCTTACTGTGAGGTTGTGCGGTGATCTAATTCGATTCTTGCTGTGACACTTTCTAGCTTCGAGCCAAGCAGATGTCCGATCTCTTTCGTCCCCCAACCCAACCGAGCTATACGTTTCCTCTCGGAGCACATCAAGCCCCTCTCGACATTCGCTGTTGGCAACACCGGAGCCATCAGTGGAAAACAGTATTACTGGATCATGTTATGGAAACGTTTCTCCCGCCAAATCTTTGTTGTCTTCCTCATCATGTAGAACTCCGGAAGTGGTCAGTGAAGAAGCAAAATGTATTCGTAACATCAGATGTATCAAATCTGTAATTAAACATTGCTGCATATATGAAGCAGTTGATAGGATGTTTAAACTTTTGAGCACCTTTTAATAGGTGTCCTTTTTCGTATAGGTTAATGGTGCTTTATACTCCAATGGGACCATTCTTGGATTCAGACCGGAAGGAATTACGAAAATCACTACGCCCCGGCGACGAAATCAGGACGATGATGATGACGGTAGTTTTTTTGAGAGGTTTGGTGCCCGCTCACTAAGTCGCTCGACGGATCAGACATCTTCACATCGAAGTGATAGAATTTCGCCTTCGAACGAGACAGGAAAAGCCGATAAATCAACTGAAAACATTACTGCAGACAGAACAAGCAGAAACCATCACAGTAAGCCCCAGCCAACATCCGACAGTACGAAGCGAACGTTGCAGTCATCCCGGCAGCGCCCGTCAAGAGAGCGTTCAGCTTCCCCGCAGACAAAAGCTGGAACATCGTCACGACCATTAAAAGAGACCGCTTCGCGACAACGGAACTCAGCCGAATCAGATAAACACGGGGAAAAGGATCCAGACGCTAATTCGAGGAGCACCGATCATGGCAAACAAACCCGTACCGAAAACCGGACTGACATTGAATCGCAGTCGAATTCTACAAAACCTGAGAAAAGCTTCCACAATCTCTTGAAAGGTTCTACAAAGACCCGGAAAAATAAAAAGAAATCAAAGCGGAGGAATGTTACTTCAGACTCCTCTGCAAGTAGAAACAAATCTACATCTCCTGACATTCTGGAGAAAAATAGTGGAAGAGATACTTTACAGCGACCGGACAAAGCCATTTTTTGCGCGAACCAAACCAGAAACAGACCAGTGTCTCCAGAAATCTCGGACGAAACGGCGAACAATGATTTATCGCACGATGAACGAATAGATTATACTGCAGGAAGGGAAATCCTTCGTTCTTCAGAACCGAAAGAAACAGCCCCGAAGGAGAACGGTACGAAAGCATCCGAACAGCACTCTCGGTTTGGCCTTGGAAAGAATGAAAAATCGAAACCGGACAGACTGAAAGCGAACGCCATTTTCTTTCCAAGAAGTGACAAAGGGAAGAAGCCGGCCAATTGCACTGATCGCTTAAACGCCGAAAAGAATGGGCAGAAGAAATCGCTAATATTAAAAATACCAAAGAAAACGGGCGATGTGCATAAAGATAAAAATCATGTGAGTTTATCGAAAGCCCATAAAGCACTAACGTCTGAAATGTCGACGCTGAGGGCGAAATCCACCCAGAAAGCTGGAGAATTAAGTGACAATGAATCTCGCTCTGATTCTTCCGCGGTTGCAACAACCTTGTGCACGTCAGCAAAGGAACCAAGCCAAATTTCAGGGGCGCCATCGGAACAAAATTCGGTCTCTGGTTTGGCTAAAAGCGGCGTGACAGATGATTCGACGAAGGAGACCCGTGAAAAAAATTGTCCGGTTAACTCGAGTGCACAGGATCGTTGCTCTACTTCGTTGCGACTAAGCAGTGATACCACTGACAGCGGAACTGAAGTTTCCCAAAAGACTGACCAATCTAAGTTGAAATCAGCATCAGTTACTCGACGAATAAACGGCGTTTCCAAAGCAGCTGGGGAATTTTCCGGGCAAGCAAATCATAGTGCATGTAAGTTTGTAATCGCACAAGCCGCGCACCACACGCTGTAATAACTGTATGCCACCATGTGGCCATTGTGGTTTTCGGCTTCGTATAAGTGAGATTTGGTAGGGTTAAGAAGGGTACCGCAGACTTGGGACTCATTGATGAGCAGGAACAAATTAGCAGATAATTGACGAACACTACTTTTACTGGGAAAAGGGAATTGTGTAGCCCATAATACTGTACATTGTAACACTGACAGAAACGCCGTGCGTAGATGAAGAATTTCGCATTTGTAGGTTCGTACCTACTTTGTAGTTTGTAGACACTAGACAGTTCTAGAAATCACCATACGGACACCCGGACACATCTGCATTATGAAGATGTGGCCGGGTTTCCGTATCCGCTGATCACTAATCGTTATGAGTACTGAGATGCCCATTGGTCAATGGTCAGTGCTCAAGCTATGTTGATTTTTATCAGCCTGATGAATCATTTGACCGTTATCAGTTTCTAAAACAGTCTTATTTAACTATAACATCGTTAAAGCGGTTAAATGCAAAGTGCAAACTGAGTACTTACTTCCAAACTGCTTGAATCGTGCTTTTGCGGTGAGTACTCACGAAGAACGCTGACTGTTTTGATGTTGCTTGTAACTTACAGACTGTAGGCCCGCTTGCGCATCTAAAGAATGAATACAAAATCGTAGCTTGATAATAATGCGCTACTGTAAGTATCTGAGACCCTAAAGGCGACTAATACTTACATATCTTGGGCTACAGTTTAAGGGGCAATGCATGTTGGGTAATTGGTCACCAATTGCCGAGTTTGCCGCCAAAAGTTGGTAGAGTTTGCCGCCAAAAGTTTTTCCCTGTAACGGCTGGGAACCCTATTCGGATCAGAAATGCGTGCGGCATCAAGCTACTCTGCTTGCTTATTAGCGCATCCGCCCTGGTGCAGTAGTTACCTGTACGCTTTGTGTATCGGTGGCGGCGATGCAGCGATCCAATCTTTTTCGGAATTCATTTTGTTGAGAACTAGTTTATCATTGGTATCGCGAAAATTTTGTGGTCAAGGGTGGGAATTTGTTAAGGACTTTCATGTTTTTGGCTTTTTTAATTTCCTAGAGCAACTTTGCTAGTCTGCACTCTTAGGCCTCGTCCCGAATTCAAAGCGAATCTCGTTGCGATACAGCAACTCCACCTCGCGAGGTGGCTTCGCGTACCGTATCTGTAGGCGTGGCCACTGCATACAACCACCTCGTGCGGTTGAGCAACCGTACCATAGCGAGATTCGCTTTGAATTCGGGACAAGGCCTTAGTTTCCGGGTTTTGATATCGAAGTTTTTCGTTGTGCTTATTTCGTTTATGTATTTATGAGGGGTATTGGTATTCTGATGGAAGGCTGATAGAAGTGCCTCTTATACTAGTCTACCGTGTATATAGGTGCCACTATGCCTGGTAACGAGAGTCCTAAGAAATCCCCGCTTCTGGTATCACCCGAGAAGATGCAGGATGAATCTGCTGATGATTCACTCTTGAATAAGCCGTTAACTCCTGAAGAACTGGAGTTGTGCCATCTGACGAATATGGTGTTTCGTGATGTCGAGCGTATGGCGCGACGAGCTCATCGTCACCGCAGAGGAACACTCAACCTCAAGGTGTGTGGTAGTCCTGCATTCCGCTCATCATAGAAATTTTCTGCGAAATTTTGAAGCTTGCTCGTGGTTACTGTTAAGCATCGCCGTTTTAGAATGTGCTGCAGACTACGGCCATCCCAGTATTTCCAGCCCCAGATGCCTCCGAAGTATCTTCTGATAACCCATCTTCATCGCTAGAAAATGCCCGCAAGAAGAAACGCAAAGTAGGCAATCTGGACGATACTGTCAGCACGGAAAAGTCAGCTTCAGAACCGCCTGTGGCTGCAGAAATCAAAGATATTCCATTACAAATCTCTGCCAGGTACGACGTCGTAGTGTTGATTGCTGAGCGTGCTGTTCTGGGTAGTAATCTGAGTAGTGCATTACAGTTTACTAGAATGATGTTTTTGTTGTGCTCTTGTGACTGCTACTGTTGCAATAACTACGAGCAGAGTCTTTTTTGTCAATAGGCATCTGACAGCCGCGGACATTACTGAATATGAAATTATGGTCAAGAAAAAACATCGACAGGAATGTTTGGTACCAAATTATGGATTGTCCGAACCAAAGCGATTAAAAGCCATCTGTCCACCAAAAGTGCAAGCTGATCTGGCCAAATATATGGAAGGAATGTTGAAACCTTCAGAAAAGTAAGCTATTTGTGCACTAGAATATTTATTCTTTATCCGATCTACATGTCATTCCTTTAACAGGAAAAAATGCTTGGGAAGTGGAAAAATTACTCCCGGTGATCTTGTCAGTTATTTAAAGACTGGCTTCAGTCCGTCAGAAAAAAGCCTGGAACAGCTGCTTTTTCATGCTGTGAAAAGCCACTCGAAAAAGGAAAACTTCATTGGGATCGTAATGTTGTTGTTGGCGGTAAGATCTCGTTAAAGTGATATCCGTTTTTGGGGTAGGTTTTTATAGAGCAGTGTGATTGGTCTGTTCAAAGCTCAAATACATCAAAGTGGATACACATGGGGTGTCGTAAATGCAAGCTGCAAACAGTAACGTCTGTTAATTTTCTTTCTCTGAAAAATCGTTTAAATTAATGTCACTATGTTGTCCTATAGAGTATAGTTATACTAAAATTAGTGATATTTGAATGCTCAGTTGAATGAAATAAGTTTTCAATTTTTAATAATAATTGAATTTCCTTAAATAAATAATAGTAGCGTATTCAAAGTTTCAAATGAATTCGGGCTAGCTGCTGTTCTGTTACTTGAGTCGTCATATGTGTATTGTGTGCTAAATGTGCGGTTCACTACAGAACGGAGTGAACTGTGATGCTGTGGACGATAACGGTGACACGGCATTGAAGCTGGCAGTGCTAGCCGGTGATTATCCGATGGTGGATTTACTGGTACAACATTCCCTGGCGCCTGCCCTGGATGCTAGAAAAAACAATAAATGTCACATAGCCGCTGCTGCATGGATTGCCCAGATGTGTGCCTGGGACATAGTTCTTCTGGTTTTGGAGAATTCTTCGGTCGAGCAACTTTTCGTGAAGGTGAATACGGCTTGTTTATTACTGCGCATACTCGTCGTATTAGTGTAAACTGACTGATATATATTGCCGCTGTATAATAATAATCAAATATTTAATGTTAATTGCCTAGCCTGGTGGTAGTACGTCTGGCTTAAAGATTGTATGTCCTGGGTTCGATTCCTAGGTGGGTAACTTTTATCTCATAAAATCAAACAAAAAAAAGTATAAAATTTTCAAAATTAAACAAAAAAATTTTCCAATAGCCTAAACACCCAAAGGTTTTCACCTTAGGGTTAAAGTCTCCTTTAATGGAGTTTGGCTACTGTAGTTGCTATAATAATAATAATAATATATATTGCCGTTGTTACAGTACTTAATAAGATCGATATCTGCCATTATGATTCACCGGTCAGAATAAATCTGGCTGTGGAGTTCGTTTTATGTTTTTTTTAGCTGTCAAAAATTTTGTTTATTCCATTTCACTATACCTTGCCATTTTAGAATCTGGACGATAAAATTTCCCTCACCATGCTCGTATCGCAACCAGAATTCCAGTTTGCCCATATAGAAGATCTGATCTTGGCAATGGGGGCCGAAAATCTTGCTCAGTATAGCGCGGAAAGCTTCCTACATCTCGTAGCCGCCCATAGACGAGTGGATCTTGTGCATTTCTGTCTGGCACGTTTTCCGTTTGATCCGGTAGTCGCTGATAAAAGTGGCAGAACTGTTCTGTAAGTTGCCACCGAAATTGCGTTTTTGCTTGAGCATTCAAATCTTATGATGTGTTATGTAGGCATTTGTTTGCTGCTTTTGCCAATCTGAACAAGAAAGACATGGAGCAACTGGCGGATATGGCTCAGAATCTGGGCGTACCGCTAGATGTAGCCGATCAGAAGAATATGACGGAAATGCAGATAGCGGAGAATTCAGGGAATATTAGTCTAGCTGGGCACTGGCAGTTGGCGAAGGAGGGAAAATTTATATTGGAACCTTTCTGTCTTTTCCTGTGGGTTTGTATAGCGTTATTATTTTCGAAATTTCAGTAATTAAGGTGGTGTTTTTAAAACAGGGATATCTCATACGGGATGGAAAGTTTCCCTATTAAAGTCATCAATGAAAGAAGTGCGGATAGTATGAATGGATTCACTTACATTCGGGAGAACATTTATCTGGGGGAAAATCCCACGTCGAAAGGCACAATGCACTGTCCTTGTCCTCCTGGAAAATGCGATGCGTTCAACTGTCCGTGTCTTAAGCGAGGACTGGCGTACAGCGCGGTAGGACAATGTGCAGCTTTAGAAATATTTGTTTGTGAACATTTTTTATTGTTAGACCGGGACTGTTGTGCCTGGGTCTTGCAAAGGGAACCCGATCTTCGAGTGTGGCCCGATGTGTCCCTGTGGGCCCAACTGTGCTAGTCGAGTGGTTCAAAATGGTATTAGGTAAGTTTTATTCGGTGGTTTCTTGAAGGAATAATTCGCTGATATATATAGAAGTTTCTGTTCTTTAGAATGCCTTTTGAAATTTTTATGACACGCAATCGCGGATGGGGCGTCCGAGCAACGAGAACGATTCAACCTGGAGAATTCGTAGTAGAGTAAGTTTGCACATCGTGTGAAATTGCCTGTTTGGACGCAGTTTGCTTGTGCTTATATCTGTAGTGTTTTCCATTTGTTTGCCGCAAAAATACACTATATGGGTACTTTGCAGGTTTGTTGGTGAGATCGTGGAAAGCGATATGCTGTTAGCAAGGGATCCTGACAATGACTGGGCCATGGAGCTGACTGTAAGTGATGTAGTGCCGATCGTTCCTCGATCAATACGTCCAGTTACGTTTGTTTAAGGTTGACACTTACGACGGTGTGATGTACCATGTGGATCCTACGCATTGTGGAAACGTAGCCAGGTATTGACTATTACGAATTATGTATCAAGCGGAATCGATAATTTACCAAGCTGTTACTTGTACTGTAAAACATTGTGTTATTCGGTTAGGTTTCTTAATCACTCCTGTGATCCGAATTTGTTTGCTGCGCGCGTTTACGTATCCGGAGACCCTACCGACACCGGTGTACGAATGGCAATGTTTTCGGCTCAAGTGATCCATAAAGGAAAAGAACTAACGTACGTTCTGTTTGCACGTGATATTTTAATTTTACGAATTTATTATGTTAGCAATAGTTTATTTAACAACGCTGAAGTTCCTGATTTAAATTACAACCCAGATATGATTCAAATAGTACCTGAGAAGTTTTTAAGAGATTTGAACTTGTGAAAATCTCTTTCGTCAAGTCTTATAATGTTTGCTTTGTTGTTATTCAGTTTTGATTACGGTGATGAATACTGGCGCCGACAAAATGAACGAGGAGTGTATTGTCAGTGTGGATCATTGAAAAAATGCAAATTTATGAAGAGGGGGAAGAAGTCGCGTAAATACAAGTAAGTATTTCACTGTGCTTAATTTGCTTCTACTTTTTTTTATATTCACGGCCGATTTTTGGGTTTTTCAGAAATAATAATAAAGCGGTTATTGAGGATGTGGATTTAGATGATCTATCGTGCTGTCCGTCCGAACCGTCTTCTTCTGGATGTCAGTAAACCCGCTTTCGGAATGTTTGTAGGAAACTGTCTCGGGTTTTTTGGCCTTGACTTTTTGCATTTAGTGTTTTGTGAATTTTTTACCACTTTAATTCTTACAAGTGTACAGCAAAATAGAGTATCACGTTGTGGAATCAGTTTTTATCGTTTTAATGTGTTAATTTGAACGTTAACTTGAAATGGTATTCAGTGAGAGTATTGTTGCGGCGTTGCATGTTGCCGTTTCGGTAGACTATCCGAATTAAATTACTTCAGTGAAAGGTTTGAAATCGGTCTTGTGCCCTCATTTCAGTACGATACCAGCGGCATTTATTGTGATAGTAGCTTAATTTAATGAGCTTACGTTTTTTCCTAGTTTATCTACAGTTCAGCATTTCTGTACGCTCACATAATTCACATTTGTGCGAAATCTTATTACGATTTTCTACAGCAATATTTTCCCCAAAACCAGTTAACAGCACAGAATGCATTCAAGACAATGCGAGTGTTTAAAGTATTTTCACAAAAAATTTTTAGGAAAGATTACTTTGTCAATGGAATGAATTATCCCGTTTGATGCGATGATGTCGCATTTCTGAACATTTGAGCCGGCAATTTTAATTTGTCCGTATCGTGTCCGATGAAGTGGCAAAGAATAGGTCGGATTCAAAGAGCGACTGTACTGTCCAAAAAACATACTATCCTCCATGATTCCAGCGCAACAAATTTGACCTATTAAAATAACCTATTAAATGTTGAACAAATTTTCAGCGGAATGAACGGGCTGTTTTAGTGTTGCTCCGCTTCCAGATTTAACAAACATATGTTTTCAGTGTTTTGTTACTGTAGTTATTACTGTAGATAATCTGAACTGAATTATTTGGCAAATAATGCCAAATATCCTTGTGACAAATCTGAGTTACAAATGCGAGCAAAATAATATGCGAGTGTTTCCTGTGGCGTTAGGCCGCTATCCAACTTACGAGGAAAAAGATGTAATTGTATAACGGATTTCAGCAAAGTTGTATTGGAAAATAACTGTTGTTGTTCATCGGGTTGTAGCGCATCGAACGCGGAGTTCGTTGGTGCGAAGGCGGTTACAGGTCCTCTTGCGGTCAGCACACTGGTCAAGCTGGCACTCTCAACTGCACCCAGGAATTTGGAGAAATTTCCCTTGAGCAGTGTATCCAGAACATTTCCACTGGGCATCGTCAAGATCTTCTCTAGAACATGGATCGTTCCATCGCATCCACGGAGATTGGCTACTGAGATTTTGACGCAGTTAACTGTTATGACGTTCCTTCCGAAGGGAAACTGCAACAATTGGCACGCATATCATAATTCCTTCGGATTATGTACCGGCAAGTACGTTAAATCCTACAAGGCCTTCAATCCAGAAGCAATATTATTACAAATTTTATTGGAATTTGCTGTAATATAAATACTTTTTACAATTTTTACCGTTTCGTAAACATTCATGCGCAGTTTGTTGCCGTCGAAGGCCGACTGCATTTCCAGGTTGTCCTTGAAATTCGACAGCAGCACAGCTGGCTGAACAGCATGGTACTTGAGCACATCGACGGCCGCCGATGCCAGCTGTTGCTGCGTGTCCTGTGATTGCCGGTGGAAGGCTCGATCGCTGGGCACGAACAAGGTGACATTGTGCATCTGGTCCAACGTGCTACCGAAGCCCGTTTCCTTCACTAGTGCCATGTATGCATCCAGACCAGCGTCCGCTGCAATTTGTTGCAGGTTCCTTGCTGCCGTTTACATATAAATAAAACTAATAAACTTGCGACGAACATATTAAATTTACTGGCAATTTACCATAGCATGTACTGTATGTACCGTCAAGTGTCAACTATGGTTAAGTAAGTACGTAATTTAATATCATAAGGAGGACAATACATTGTAAATATTATACGCATTTGATACAGTACATTAAACGGAATAATATATATAAGTAAAATTGACAGAAATATGTCTAAGCTCTAAAATGCAGTTATAATATTTAACCTTCTTCGGGAATGATAAGGCCGTCTAAAACGTGATACATTCCATTGGTTGCCATATTATCCGGCGAAATAATGGTCTGATTTTGTGCAGTCAGATGGCCAATGTCACGGTCGAAGCGGATCACCTTGTTAATGATATTGGTGGTCATGGCGGTGCGCTCAATAACAGCTGAACAGATCACATTGGGCAGAATGTGATTCTGCAGAACACCTACATAATCACAAGTCGCTCCTTGAGCGAATGTCTTTTGTAAATTTAGTGCATATTAATTAACGACATCAGCAAAAAAAGGTTTGGAGATTTCTGTACGCACGCTTTAAGCAAGCACTGTCTTCGCTCAGCCTGTTCCTGACATTCCGCTCTAGGAGGCGGAAGGCGTCGTCGGTCGGGGCAAGAATGGTCATGTGACCTTTTGCGTCCCTTAGCAAGTCCAGCAAGCCGGCGTCGGACAGTAACTGCAGTAGCGTATTAAAGCGTCCGTCGGCACGCAAGGCCGCCTCCAAGTTCATCAACACCGGCTGGATGACCTTGTCGACAATGTGCACTACGCCGTTCTTGGCCAGATTGTTCAGGGAAACGACACGCGCACAATCGGCCGTCAGAACATGATCCGGTGTAGCGAATAAGTTGATACGAATGGCCGACTGGCTCAGTGTGTTGATGATTTCCTCGTCTATGAAATCGCTACTCCGAATCAGACCGGATGCAATGTGGCTCTGGATAACCGTCCGAAAATCGTTTGGTTTTGATGACGTAATTTCGTTGCTCTACCAGATTAAAGAAATTTTCCAACTTGTGATGGGTAACAGGAAGGGGAAGACACAAAAAACAAAAAACTCACCATGCTACTGTAATCGTCAAAAGCCTCGTTCGTTGGTGCAAATACGGTAATGTTACTTCCTTCTAAGTACGTGTGCAGTCCGAAATCTTGGACAAATTTTTTAAACTGAGTCAGTTTCAGATTATCCAACGTTTCCATTAGGTTGGTCATCGGGATGGCTAAAAAAATATAACATTGAAAGAGTCATTATACAGATACAACTTTACAGTAGTGATAAATTGAGTATACATACAGTGTTAAAAAATATTTTGGGAGAATTAGTGAACTTCAAAATTTTGGCCACAAGACTCATGCGCAATAAAATCGAAAACTTCAGTCATCGTAGTTCTAGCGATAAGTGGTCGTACTTACTTTTTGTGCATCCATAACCTTTGTTTTCTCGAATAAATCCATAACAACAATGATATTTAACCAGATATTTCCGGTGAAAATTCGGTTTCTTGATTTCCGTTGCGCAAGTGTAAGCGTCATTGTCGTGTGCATTAGAATGACTGCAGGAGTTAATATGCATACTGTGGCCAAAGAAGTCTCCATCCCGATTCGTACTGTCCGCTCCAGATTTATCAAGAGTGATATTCGCCAACAAGTTTTCCTCTTTTCTCTCCACACATACATTTGGTCTGTTTAAGAAAATAACTCATGTGAATTCTTTGTCTTGTATGTAATGCAATAAATACAGATATAGGATTAATTATTTTCATCGAAAATACTACTATCAGGGTTAACGTTAGTTATGATTTATGTTATTAACTGCTGCCTCGTTATTGCGGAAACAAGTATTCCAAATGTTTTCGTACTGCACCCTGCAGCACCCATATATAGCCATACCCATTCCACCAGTCGCGAGAAGCTGCCGGTGCTCGAAATTCTGGAAAAAGGCTGGAAAAGGAAAACTGCCCACGTCCGGCTTGTGGTTGCATAGTGCCAATTGCTCCTAATGATATCATGGCATTGCGAAGATTCTAAATTGATTTCACAAAGTCAGGAAAATTGCAAAATCCTGCAGCAGTTTCAAATTATGTTGCATAAGGCATAACCGGCCTACCCCGTCGGTGGTAGTATCATGCGCACTGGAGAACAGATTATGAATGGTATCGTAAAAACTTTGGCTGCCGGTGTCGGGAATTTTTCGGCTGGAATTTTTCCATTCGTCAAATCGGCTCTGGATAGAAAATGTCGCCTTTGAGCTCCGCTAATGTTGAATTACAAACTTAACAAACCTGTCGTTGAATATCGTGCGCTTGATTGGCGAAGCCGGGACGAATATTGCCTAGGCCTCTCCATATGTCCGGGAAACGATCCCAAAAGTCCGGCTGGCCAAATTGAGCATTGCATCCGAGGATTAGAAGCCAGAAAAGTTTCGACAAACGAAGAAAAATCAACGTGACCATTTCAACAATTGGAAAAATATAGGTTATTATACGTCAACCGATGCTGCAGCGGTGTAATGCAGACACAAATTAGAAAGGCTACAAACAATCCCGAATTTTCAGACTGACGTATAATGGAAAGTATATTCCTGTGATTATGGAAAAACATAAATATCCCACACATACGAGTAGACTGAGTAGTATTATGTCAACAAAGCATCTGCATAATAACAACTGCACTATTTCGGAGAGTAAAACACTGCCCTAGGAACATTACTGCGTCAGTTAAGTGGCCGGATGTCGACGATACGTGGTCGCACCGATTGAAATCTCACCGGACGATCTCCGATCTTGTTTACGTTGGTAAAATGGGCGGGTATTTCGGTGTTTATCAAAGCTACCATTCAGTGTGTACGTCGCAGACATTTCGCAGAAAGCAGCGAATATAATTCGCGAAATTTCTAGAGAAGATTCGTACTGTTAATGTAATGCTACTGTAAAAGTATTTTAGTAATGGTAGACTATAATGTACATGTGTATACATATATAAGCGTTAAAATAATACAAATCCCGAAATTAGCCCTGTTTAAGCTCCACGATTTTGATAACAAGTCAGTCGTACAGTTTGTTTGTGCTCGGGAATTTATTACGGTCTATTTAAAAACATTTTTATCAGAAACCACATGTAGATATGCAGACAAAAGCATTTGGATCGCAGTTTCTCAAGGATTCGGCCGAACTTGAACAATGATATTATACTTGGCGAATTTTATAATAACTGGTTTATCAGCGGTTTCGTAAATATAATAAGCATCGTTGTTCAGTGGAGCCTTGCTAACAAACGTGGTGGATTCCGACCCATTGCTAACAAATGTCGTGGATTCCGACCCAGCCGGCACTGCATCCCAAATGTCACCATACCGCTGCGAAAACGAATCCTCCGACGATGATACATCACCTGTGCGTGCCGCATTAATGGTTATTCCCACCGTTTTCGAATCATTGTGGGATGTCTTCAGACTGGACATCATGGCATCAACTAGCTCGTTCCCTTGTAGTTCAACGGTAGCTGCCTGGTCACAAGCGGTCACCACCTGCACCGATACTGGACTGTTTTGTGAGATCTTGGGAGCGACAGTGGAAGTGGTTGTTGCTTCATTCGGACGCGAATTCTGTTCGGTCTTGTACACCGCTTCCGAAGTGATGATTGGTCCAATATTGTCAGCCTTCATTGGTGTGAGTTCCGAAGCAGAGTTGACCTTTAAAGTATCGCTGACCACCGAAACATTGGCAACGAAGGACGGTGTTGTGCTTGGAGGTGCAGAGGTCGTTGTCGTAGGCAGTTCTTTTTTAGTAGATGGATTTGCAGTGTATCGCGCGGCTGCTCGATATTGCGACTCCGACGTGATAATTGGCTTAGGAGACGCAGGTACTCCAGAGCCTGCCGACAAATTATGCAGCTTTAACAAGCATTGTCAATATGAGCAAAGTTAAGGTGTACCACGATATTCGGCAGCAGACGTGATAATCTGGCTGTTTCCGGCTGGCTGTGTACCACGATATTCGGCAGCAGAAGTGATAATTTGGCTGTTTCCGGCTGGCTGTGTACCATGATATTCGGCAGCAGAAGTGATAATCTGGCCATTTCCGGCTGGCATATTCCCGTCTGCCTGGATGGCGTTTTCTGGGGAACTTTGCGATTCCAAGCGTCGTGACTCTCGATCATTCCCGACATTTTGACTAGTTCTATCAGCTTTTTGAAGATTTCCGTTGTCTGGATTGCCCATCGAAGTATAGCCAGTAACAGACGGGAGTTTCCAAGCAGCGAGGTCATTCTGAGGTAAATCTTCGGCACTCGACGCGAATGTTGTCGTGATGTCTGAACCGACGTTTACATTATTTGACATACACGCTAGGTACCACCTGATTTCGTTCTTTTCATTATAGAACAGAGTTTGTTTTCGTAGTATAGAAAATATCCGTATATTTACCAAAATGTGGGCTTTCTGTTCCATTTGGAACGGGTTCCCATACGGAGTTAATTAGAGTCTCATAATGACCGTCATTTCCGCTTTGGTCGATCGGAGAAGTGCCTAAAAGAAGATCATTTAGCTTTGCATAATAAATCATACGACTTGAGTCGGGTAAATAAACAAAAGGCCTATAAAAGCTTTTAACTTTATATACTCAACCAATTACCGAGTATGTGTTTCTATGGGAAGTACTCGTATATCGGTACCTGCGGCAGGAGGCTTTCGGTAGCTGGCAAGAGATGTAATCAGTCCATTTCCAGTAGGTGCTGGTGTTTGTGGGCTGCTACTGGGCTTGCTGGACTGTGCCGGAATTTCTGAAGAAAATACATACTGGTGTATCCCTATTATAACTACAGAGTATGATTATCACAGCTACCGGGTAGTACTACTGTTGCTAACAGAAAATCCGCAATTTTCCTGGCTTGCATACCGCTTTGTGAAGGCTGTGAATAATTCAGTAGTCCTTCGAATTCTTCTCCATTGGTTGCTTCATCCGAAGGAATACCTGTAACGCTAAAGTTCAAAACTTCATAAGAAAAAAATAACAAAATTTACCTAATTTATTTGCAGAGGTAGAGACCACCGTGGAGGATGGGCTGGGAGAAGGCACTGAGGCAGTGCTACCGGTTAACTTAGCGGTATTTACGCGGCCGACTTTGTCTTTAGACGCGCTGGTGTCTGAAAATATGATTGGATTATTATACGAGTACTACAATTAATTTTGCAGAGAGGTGCGCAACACAAAACTTACTTTGGTCTGAAAGCAGCCGAGCAGTGCGATCCCTGTCCAGAGCAACAGGTTGCTTAATGGTTGGACCGGAAGTTGAATTTTCGCTTTCGGACGATGTTTCATCTGCAGTATCGGGCGCACCCTCTGACACTGGCTGGTTATTGGCTCCTTGGTTAATTATCTGTTGGCTTTCTTTCTGTTGCATCCCAATGGAAACCGATCCGCCTACGGAAACTCCCTGGCCGGCGCCGGACTGTTGTCGCCCGCTGGACACGGAACTTGTACCTTGAGCAGCAACACCCGCTTGACTGCTGCGCAGACTTGCACTCGTAGTGGTTTTTATGGAATCCTTAGCAGACTGTGAACTTGGAACCGGCAATTTGGCAGAACCGCTGACAGGCTGTTTAGGCTGGGTAGACAGTGAACTGCCATCGGTGTTTTTGCCCGAAGAGCTTTCTGCAAGTTTTGAATAATTTTGGATTTGCATTATTGAAACTGCTTATTTTTGTCAACATTGACAGTAGTGTACGTACCTTTCGCCTTGGTCCTGCTGGATGACACAAGTTTGTTAATATCGTCCTGACTTAAACTGCTGTCGAATAACTGAATGCCCGGCAAAATTAAACGACTATTGGAGTATTCCACGAAATCTTTGCCTCTAAAAACATAAATATTTTGCAACTACTCGGTAGACATTGGCTAATGTGTAAACTGTGCAAGGGCATTTGTAAGAAGTTGCTTATTTTGTATGAAGTTGGCTAGAGTTGCTTATAAGCAGTCTACATAAATATTTTGTTTAGATTTAGAATCTTGTCACTCGTGCAACACAGCATTTAATAGCGATTAGTAAATTTTTGTGACTAGAATTCCACTTTATGGGAAATTGTTCCATTAACGCACAAAAAACTGCATCGACGTGTCAGTTATGGAGCTGTATCAAAGCAATTCTGTTTGTTACAACTGTCGATATTGATTGCAATTGGACTACCAACTACAACCAAGTTGACAGCAGAACGTTTGTTCGTATTTGAATTTATATTGGTTCGAATTCGCAATGTGTATACTTCACGGTCGCTAACCAAGCGCTTTTGTAATTGCTTCACTATGGGAAAGGACCAATTTAAAACGATTACTGAACAATTTATTCGACATTATATTTTATCAGAACGTCATACTGCACCGGTTAAAAGTCAGTCTCAAAAGTTACAATAGATGGTGCATTCTAGTCTTTCAGAGCTAATTTGGAGCTGTTGCAGTATCCATACGTAAAAAATTTCATAACCGTTGTTATTAATTACAAAACTGTTTACAAAACGCAGTTGTTATTGTTTACAAAAACGCAGTAGTAATAGAAAATTAACTACAGAACAAAATTTTAAAACCATTAATTACAAAGTTTCTTGGAGTTGAAGTGTTTAATCATACTATTTTCTCGAAAGTAGTAAAAAATGAGTGCTAGTGTCAGAAACATGTACTACTTTGTAGTACTGGCAAGTGACTAGTACGCAGCAAGTATGTATCTTTATAGAATTCTGCCAGCATCTCACAGGGCAGCCGTCACCACCCCCTCTCCTCCGGAAATTTAGTTTTTTTGCAGGATGTTAGAGTAACAATCGAGTATACTCAAAAAATAGTTTCATCTGTCATGGTCCGCCAAACAAAATTTAAAAGTTAAAAATATACGGTGCTATAGCCAATGCACTGCTTCGGTAAAGTGTACGATTAATTTTAATGCAATATAAAAGCGACTTTAAAATACGATAATTACGATATTTAAAATACGATATTAGAATTATTTTTTTGAGAGATAGACCTGTAGGTCCTTCTTATTCGGTTTTCGTGCTATTAGCAGTATTTATGCTAATAACAGATAGCGCAAATTTAAATGGAGATATTAGCACGTGTGGACCATGGCAGATGAAACTATTTTTTAATGTATATTCTACTGTCACTCTGTTACCCCCGGCAAAACATGAAATTTTTCTGAGGTGGGCTGGTGACGCCGCCCTGGTCAGTTAGGCTGGTGGGATTGGCAACCGTATACATAATAATTCATGTAGTCGTATTCTTTTACAAGACTTTTAAGGTGAAGTTACGTTTTTAAAATGCTTTGACGGCTAAAGGTTGCAAGTCAGCAGTTAGATTTTGAATATTGTAGACAAAACACTTGTACTTACTTAGCGCAATCAACGTTGTACCAGAAATCACAAACGAGAGTCACTTGGTTAAATAACGTCCCCTCTGGACAAAGATACGTGGAACGTCTGCCTTGATCATCACACCGATGATATTGCTGACACCGCATATAAGTGTCCGCATAAAATCCCGGTCCATTCACATCATTACAATAAAACGGTGTGTCCAGATTGACCTGCGTGTAGATGGGGTAGGAAACACCCGGAACCGCATCCTTTTGACGGGATGCCGATACACGAAGGGAACTTAGCAAACGATCTACCGGCACAATCTGAGGATCGACAGGTCGTGGAGACCACGTCAATTGCCGAGTATCCATCTAAAAGGAGCACATATCGTATGTTAAACCACGCAGTTAATTTTTTATGGATCTTGAAACTGTAATTATACCTGAAAACCCTCAACTTGGTATATTAAAAATATATATAAAAGCGATCGAAAGATATTATTTTGTGATTTACGACACATTTTTTAGGAGTCACTATTTTAAGAGTTTCAATATAAAGTGATTTCGCTCTTACGATTAAGTCACATAAGTGCAATTATAACGCGAGCAATACGTTTTGTATGCTGCGTGTTCTAACTGCCTCCAGGCATTATTTTATGCTTAACGGAGCGGCAATGCTTTATGAGAGAACATTACGTATATAAAAATTGCCTTCTTCTATTATGCGTAACATATTCCAAAAGAATATAATGTATAATTCTGATAAATTTCTGGAAGATCGGTGCGCGCGCTGAAAAGAGGTATTGCCTTAATCTAATTAGTTGCCGTTGAGTAAAAAGATCACAGACCAGGAATTTCTTTTCAATTTTCTTTTGAAATAGATGCCAAGAAACCTTTTACTGAGCCTCTCAATGAGAAATCGATAACTTTGTTACTGGTAAAACCAAACAAAACAACATTAGTTTAACAAGGCAACAATAACCGTAATTAAAAACAACATAAACATTATTCTAGAACTGCAGCGTGCAAAGCGAATCGCCAAACAAGTTTAGTAGTTTGTTAGCCACACCAAGGCCTATACTTACAAACTACGAGTACAATAAGTACGTTGCTTATCATAATTAACGTAGTAAATAGACGAGCACACTAATTGTTGGAACATGCAACCATACTTTGCAGTATAATATCACAAAACAACCCATCGAAGAATTTCAAAACCTTCCGCTAATGTGTTCGGTTAAAGCATGAAATGGCATGGTGCGTTCCGCACATACGGTCATTACAAAACGTTTACATGCAAAACGTAGATTTGTATGTCCATCGCCATAAGTCACTTCGGCATGAGACGAATTGGCGTACTACCGGCACAGAAATCTGGTTCCCTGTTGAGATCACGTGGCTTTGCCTTTAGCAGTTCTATGGCTCTCTGTGTGAAAAACAAATGTAAACCATAATTTGCATTTTCATCATAACTTTCAATAGGATAGCATCTATCAGCGTACTCTTGTGTTCGGGATGCTCGACTGTGGTTGTAGAATTGGCTGCCTTAGTACTGCTCGTGCGTCCTGACCATATTACTTTCGAAATTTTCCCAAACACCGGCTTGATCTCACAGACTTGTATAAACAAAATCCCGATGCCTTGCGTGCCACAGAAAATTAATATTAAAATGTGCATGGCCAGAGAAGCTTCGCTGCTGTTATTGGAAACATCAATTAATAACAGCATCCAAGGAAGGCCAAGTAGAACAAAGAGAATCAAGCATCGTCGTAGTTGCAGGAAAAGGTCAGCTTCGGTTCTGGTCGATCGGATTTTTAATTTCTTACTTATTAGTCCTAAAAATTCATAAGTTGTAAGCAGTGAGTACTCGAATGAATAATAGTATGATATCTTTATTACGTTTTATGACTAATATGAAAACTAAAATATTCCACGCCAGTGACAGACAGATTGGCAAGATGATAGTGAGATAGAACTGCACGGGTGCATATATGGAATCCAGCCAGCATCTGTAAAGTCAGATTTGCGGATGCAAAAATAATTACTGAGCAAGCATTCGATAAATGTAAATTTGTTACGAAATTTTTTAAAAACGGCTGCTTACGATTTAGTAGAACCATAACCGTAAATATTACGATCGATGGTCAAATTGATAGTCACAATGACAAAGGGCATACTCCAGCAGCACAAGGCGGACCACAGTTGGAACCTTTCCAAGGACACAATCAGGTTACCGGCAGCAAATGTCTTAAAAAGTAGCAGTCCTTCCGCAGTCATCCATGCAAAAGAAACTAGAAAAAACCAATGCAAGAAGACGCCTGCGGTCAGACACAGATCTCGGGATTCCAATCGGTCGATGCCACACAGAAAGGTCACATAAGCTAGAATAAGCGAGACGCATAGATTAATCAGGACGAAATCTTTGTTGCTCAGATCTTTTCTGGTGGATCGTGTTTTTACGGCATATCTTATGCTGGTGGTGCTGAAATTTCTAGAACATCAACAAGTAAATTATTATTGCTTGTTACCAGGATTCGGGTGTTGCGATGATACTGTTTGATTGTCTTGTTATAATTCCAAAGACTTTTCACTTTTCCTTGCATGTCATGACCACCAGTCTTACCTTGTAAGAAAGGTCATGGCGATCACGATAGCTCAAGCCACTATGGATGTGATCAAGGCGATAGAAGTAAAAACTGATAAAATGTTTCGTGTGTCTTTCGAAAGTTTTCCTAATCCACTGGGATCCACCAATATGGCAAAACTGGTCAGGTGGTTACAATAGCATGTGATATAAGCCTTGTCCGTTTTTCCGGTTGTACACCCTTTCGTACTCCACGCTCCAAATTTAGAATTTGCATGAACATCCCAAAAGGCGCATACATAATTCAAAGTTGGACGCTAATTAATAAAACATTTCTAAATTAACTGATGGTTAAATCAGGATAGGTCCCAATTAGCCTAGTGAATCAGTGATGCGTCTTACGTAATCAAATATCTTTATCCGAATGCTAATTGAATCAGTCCAGTCAGTTATGGGTTTATCAAGGCCGGAAATGGTGGCACCGATAACCCATGATGCTAATGTAAATTCCGTTTGATTACTGGTTACAGTAAAACTACTGTCCAGTGAACCGGTTGTCGCGTTGTATATGCTGGAATTGCGTGAAACTTCAAACCAAACCCGAAACTCCGTTCGCTCTAAAAAATGCATTATTAGAAACTATACCAGCGCTCACCTTTGACTTACTTTTACCCGAAATTTGTATCAAATGGTCAATTAAAGAATCTGGCATTGTAATGCTGGTCACCATGGAGCCGCTTTCAACATCATCTGCTGCGGTAATTTTTGACAAATTTGATTTATCCAAATACGATCCCATTCCCACAAATCGTGAAATGCGGGAGAAGCGGGTCACCACAACCGAGAAATCTTTCGTTGATGCCGTGATCATTTCACTGTTATCGTTAGTCAGAAAGGTCACATTCCGGGCGATATTGTCACGAAGGGACATTAAGCGATTGCAGATCCCAGTCCGATTCTGTACTTTGGAAATCAATGATGGTGAGATAACATTGCCAAACTGGAATAATTCCAATACTAACTGCAGCGCTGAGTTGTTACTGTAATTGACAGTTGTGTCCAGGTGATTCAACATCTTGTTGATTTCTTCAAGTAACCGATAAGGGGACTGACCTTGCTGGTACATGTCTCGAAGACGTTCCAGAGCAATGGTCAATATGTCGGCAACGGAAATCAAATCTGCGTCATCTAATCGGAACACGGCGTAACGTCCATAATAGTGGCACGCACAAGTAATCCTCCACAAACTTTGATTGAGGTACGTCGACGAAAAGACGTCCTTGGTGGTCATTAGACAGTCTTTTTCAAAATCCCACACTAGCGGACGGCGATTGTTAGTAGTCGAAGAGTGACCGCACGTATATCGGGAAATTTCCCTCCCATTTAAAGGAAGCGTATAAACTGTCATTGTAACAGGATCCGGAAAACGGTATGCCGGTTCGTTTATGTGGGCGTTTATGCTGCTGGAACTGGAATTTGCAAGAGAAAATACTCGCGATACCATTACAACCTTGTGGTAACCAAAATAACTGTTTCCATTGCTCACGACGGCTAGATCAAGAGAATTCTGCTGTATAATTTCCATCCAAAGTCCGACAGGTGAATTGTCATGATTTTTGCTAAAAGCTGAGTAATCTGTAATTTAATCAAAATCTGCCCGCAGTCTAATGAGGCTAATGAGTACGGTAATAGAGTGAAAAATTTATTACATAAACGATATTTTAATTTTTATTTCTTTGAACAAAGGTACGAGTACACTTTGAATGATTTCACTTTTTTTGTCATCTGCCCTCACGTACGTTAACCTACTATTAGAATAATCACTGGCAGCGTTCCACAACGGAATAAGCGAACTAAATAAGGAACCCGGCAACCTAGCCCAGATTTCGCAGTTTCCTCTGTTGTTGTGGTTGGAACAATTATCTCCAAAATTTTCGACAATATCCACTGTGGTTTCTTTTGGAGAGGACGACAGCACTGCATCCAGGGTTGTATTAAAGTTTATCCCTTGATAAAAGCGCTTAACGAATGCAATCATCGTGTAATTGTCGCTGTGATACATGGTCAGATTTCCAACATTAAAGTAGAACTGTTCCTGATCGTTGCCGGTTAACCTATACCAGTGCTCCATTGTTCCAGCGTTTGATAACCGTGCCAGCGTTAGAGCTGGAAGCTGGAGAAGCTGTGAGCAAGTTGCATTCTTCTTCTCCATTTCTTGTAAGACTGCATGTGGTATAACACTGCCGGACGCAATGCGCAACATATTGCCTATGTTTTCTTGTAGATTGAAGACTCCAGTATGATTCGAAGTTTCGACTTCATCCTGTAGTTCCACAATGAATGCCGACAATTCCACACTGGCGTTCGGACGCCGGTATCCATCCGCCGGGTAATTCAGGATTCTCTCCCATATATTTTGCATTTGACTTAAATTCACGTAGCCTTGCCGAGAAACAGCAGCGTAACTCGCAGGTATGGATATACCAGATGGAGAACTCCAACTTGTACTTGCAAAACCTATAAATGTGTCTGTCTGATTATTCATAACAATTTTACCTTTGGGAAAAGGTTCACCCAGTTAACCACAGTCTTGCAGCTGTGTTTAACAACAACATGTGGTTAATTACATAATCTACCGACTGTAATAGCGCGCGACTGTAATGGTTACCATTTTTTGCTTAATTAAAATACTTCATCAGTAAAGTATGCATATTGAGGCATGCATGGCCGAAAACGAAGACTCAAAGCAATTAAATACATAATATAAGTACCGTTATTGTTTTTTTGCGACCCGTACTTGAGGTGTTGTCAGTTTCTGTGTGATCCGTGTTGACCTTGACCTGGGTGCCTTTTGTCGTAAACTCCCGCTGCAACCTAAAGCCAAGATGTATCCCTACCGTAGTCATCTCATAATTTAACTACTGTACTACCCTGCTCTAGTATACCAGCCTAGCGGGCTTTATCGCCGTCCTACATGCTCTTCGGTGTGATCCTCTCCTTATAGCTACTACCGAAAACTTTCCCAGTGTTATTCTGGCGTGGCACCGTCCTTGTGGTGCAATGTACAAAGCTATAGATATATCTATATACATAATAAAGTTCTAATTAAACATACTCGTTGCCAAACTTTATTGGCACCTCGCTGACCATCTCGTTCCCGTGTGATGCTGCCATATAAGTCGTACGACGAACCGTTACTTTCCGACAGGTCAAATGTTGCGCCAGACCAAGCATAATAATCCAACACGATGTAATCAGCTTTTTGGCTGCCTTGCGGCAATACATTATTTGTAAAAAGTATTTTTATATATAGTCCAGTTTACGGAAACATACTTAACTGATAAAAAGGAAAGGATTTTTGCTGCTTTTATTGTATTATGATCTTTGCTGATCCGATCGAGAATGCTTTAACATTCAGTTAGCATTAGCGTGCATTTTGCAGTTTGAACAGATTGTTAGTAATCCCTCCGGTATTAGCATGCGACCACCATACTATTACCAGCTGTATGTTAAACACCATCTACAACAGTATAAGTTCATGAACCTTTAAATTCACGAAATTTGATTATTCACGGAGAGCCATGAATTCTGCTGAGTGTTGATTGTCGTAAGAAATTTTTGCGAGGTAATCATGGTTCAGGTCCATATTATTTATATGTTGCGTGAGTGCAGAGTTCGGTAATGTTACCCCGGCGATGGAAGTATAATTTATAACCTTTGACATTGAAAACGCTTTGCTTACGTTTATTTAAGCTTCATGAAGTTAGACAAATATCATAAAACGCCTGCTGAAGCCAAGTGGATTTAACTCATCGTAACATAATTTGTTTACATTGTAGGTAGTGTGACAGCGTTTTCCTTTGTATGCGAAAATCGTATAGTACAAATTTTTGCCGCTTGATCACCAAGCTTTCAACACAGCACGCGATTGTACATTTTTGAAATATAAACAGTCTGTATAAAATAAGCTTTCCCATTGCGTTTACACTCAATAATGCAAATCTAAGATGAAAATATATGACAGGCGTAGAAAACTTTATCCAAAAGTTCACGACGTCTTATATCCAACAGTACCGATTTCTGCAAACAAAAACAAACCCCTTAGACTATCAATCGAAAGCAAGTGGATCATACCAGTAACGGTTTTTACGTGATGATATTATCGTGCTCCTGGTCCTTGTGGTGCTGCGCGACTCCAGTAATGTTTTCGATATCCGGCGGAGAACAGTTTTAGTTCCATGAATTTGTATGGCCAGTATTCCGATTCCTTGTGTACCACAAAAGATAGTTATCAGCACGTTCATCACAGTGGATGCCACTGCGCTGCTGCTAAATATGTTAACCAGAAGCAGCATCCAAGGTAGCCCCAAAAGGACAAACAATATGGCACAACGCCGTAATTGTATGGAAAGGTCAGCGTTAATCTTCGTACAGCGGATTTTCAGTTTTGTTGAAATCAACTCTGAAAAACGGTGTCATGCAGATGGTTATTCTTAACGCTTATTTTATTACTAGCAGAATGAAGTGTATTCCTTACGTTTGGCAACTAAAATGAAAACTATCAAATTCCATGCCAGTATTAGGCAAATCGGAAGGATGACGGTCAAATAATATTGCAGTGAAGCGTATAAAGCGTCCAGCCAACATCTGAAAATACGTCAGCTCTGTTAGTTCCATGTATTGTGCGGATATCACCCTGAATATTTGCGTACGCTTTCACTAATCCATATCCGTAAGCGTCGTAATCGATTATCAGATTGGTGGCGATCAACAAAAAAGGAAGAATCCAGCAGAGTAGTCCAGACCGTAACTGAAAGTGATTCATGGGCAACGGCAAAGTCTGGGCGGCAAACGTTTTGAACAGCAACAATCCCTCCACAGCTAACCAGGCAAAAGAGACTAGGAACAACCAGTGTAAAATAATACCGGTGAGCATACACAATTCTCGTGGTTCCAGTTGATCAATTCCACCCAGAAATACCGCGTAGGTCAGAATGAGAGACAAACATAAGTTGATAATGACGAAATCTTTGTCGTTGAAGCGTTTCGTTATAGACCGTGAATTCAGGTTGCTGAAATTTCTAAAATAATAAATGCTTTAGAAAATGCATTTAGGTAACTTCTGGAGGACGAATTTTGTTCGAATTTAGCGTGTGCTTTCAAATTTACCGTATAAGGAAGGTCATGGTGATAACGACAGTTAAGGCAATGATGGAGATTATTAAGGCGACATACGTAATTGCTGACAAAATCTTGGTTGTAGCTGGTGATACTCCGCTTAACCCGCTGGCATCCACAAGGATTCCAAAACTCGTCAAATGATTGCAGAAACACGTCATGTAAGTGTTGTCTATGCCTCCGCTTTTGCACCCATTTGTGCTCCAGGCGCCAAATCCTTTGTTTGCATAGATATCCCAATAAGCACAAGTGTATGTGAAATTGGTGTGCTGTGAGAAGTAAAAAAGGTAAGTACAAACCGGGTTGGAGAAGAAAAATTTCAATTTACAGCTATGAAAACTTACGTAATAAAGTATTTTTAATCGGATCGTAATAAAGTCGGTCCAGTTTATAACAGGACCCACAGAAATACTGGCACCGGTTACGAAAGACGCTAAAGCGAACTGCCTTGGACTGCTGTTTGGAAAGTCACTGGTAGCATTGTCCGCGAAACCCATCGTCGCATTGTAAATGGTCGAATTGCGAGATACCTCAAACCACATACGGATTTCTTTATGTTCTGCAACGTATGGATCACAGAATTTTATATTTTTGTAATTTTGAAACACACTTCCACTTAACTAAAATTGTTGGCCGATACCTAGTATGATAGTATCATTATCAATTTGGATTAATGATACCTGAGTAAGATATAATCGTAGTTAAAGCACGTAAATCGCATACGCACCAGAAAGTTTAATCAAATAATCGACCAGCGAATCCGGCAACGTGATACTGGATCCCAGCTGCTTCTCGCCAGGAATTTCCATGCTTTTATTATCAATAATTTTATGTAAGTTGTTATTTTCCAAAAACGATGCCATTCCAATAAACCGGGATGCCTTTGACAAACGAGTTACCGTCACGGAAAAATCTTTTGTCGTTGCTGAAATAATTTCATCACTGTTGTTCGTGTAAAATTTAATACTACTCGCAATCTTATCCCGTAACGTCATTAAACGGTTGCAAAGTCCGCTTTTATTGTGCACTTCAGCGATACTGGGTAGTTCGATAACATTGCCAATTTGAAAGAATTCCAGAATTGTTTGCAAAGCCGACTGCTCATTTATGGCTGCCACATTTTCCAATTGTTCCAGCATGGCACTGATTTGTTGCAGTAATACAGCAGACGATTGACCTTTTTTATGCAATTCCTGAACACGTTGAAATATGACATCCAGCAAATTTCCAGCGGAAGGCTGAATTTCGGTTGCACGAAACACGGCATACCAGCCGAAATAATAACAATGGCAAGTAAGAGCGGATACATTGTAAGTAGACGAGGAGTCGGTAAAGGTCACCTCGCTGAACGTTGACGTCTGACAGCCGTTTTCGAGGCTCCATTCGCCGTGGTTGTGGCCATAGGCAACATTGACATTATAATGGCCACAAAGATACCGCAATGAGCTTTCTGTAGAAGTCAGCGGTAATCCATAAACGGTGAAGGAAATCGGTTCTTGGAAGCGGTAAGGCATGCTACTGCCATTCAGTAGACCAGATGGAGGGTATCCCATAAAATCTGCTTTATAACTGATATTAAAACCGTCAAGTGAGATCACTCGGGATATGATACTAATGCCAGTATAATTTAATTTGTCCGGTAAAACCAGGTTTTGAATTGTTGCAGTGTGAAATCCGCTTCGCTGAGAGATTTCAATCCAAATTTGAGAAACGGCTGTTGTTATAGTGGGGTGGCCTATTAAAAGGAGACAGATACAAGAGTTTTGGCGAACTACCTTATTTAAATGTTGAAACGGTCATGCGAATTACGGTACTCTGTATATGTATGTATATCCATGTAAATGCAAGATGACATTAACTGAAACTTTACCTTTTGCAAAATTCTTTTGAAAAAAATCAGATAATTCAATATGACCTCCAACCGGTATCAGCAAGTCGACGAGCGATTTGGGAAGCCTGACGTCTATCTCACAGTTGTACAAGCTGAAAGAATCGATGGGATCGGTAGTCACTCCCACTGCGGTGGATGTTGGCTCCTGATTGTTCGAATATACGAGCACATGCACAGATGTATTCAAAGGGAACTCAAAACCATCACGACTGGTGAATCCAATTAACGTATAATTATAACTGTTATGCAACCAGACGTCCCCAACACTGTACGACAGCCCTTCTTTGCTTGTCAGCGGATACCACAAACCTGTCACCGTATCGTTTGATAATTTCCGCATTAGTATGCTCGGAAGCCGCAGAAACTGATCACAGCTGCCGAAGTTGTCTTCCATTTGCATGAGAACGTGAAGTGGAACCGCTCTGCCAACGCGGACAAACCTCGATAATGTGAGATTCATACAAGTTAAATCGCAGTAAGTCCAACTGGCAATAATATCGTGCAATTCGGCAATAACTGAAGATAGCTCCACGGAAGAGTTTTCAAGGGAGAACCCATTCGGACTAGAAAAAGAATAGTTCCAAAGCCTCTCCCACAGCTGCCGTGTTTTGATAAAATCCGGATCAAAAGTGGTGACTAAATCCAGAAGGCCATCGGTAACGGTTTTCCGTGTGGTACCTATGGTTAGCTCGGCTGGACGAGCAGTGGTCGTTTTAGTGAATAACGCCGAGGTAGTAAAGGCTGCACCTAGAATGCACACACTGAAATAATTTTTTAGGATGTATCCTTCGAATTAAAGGTGATTATTTTTCATAGAAGACAAAATCATAAACCTGTTTATTTTTATTAATACGAGATAACAACCCGGGCTGAAATCCGAGGTTATAAGTTTTTTTTTGTAAAGCCACTTCATGCGCACATTGCTAATGCTAAACTAAAAAGTTAAGCAACTTGGTAAAACTGTACATCAATTTTACATTAATTACTTGTACCCGGCTTGGCTACTCCATAAACAATCAATCAATTAATCAATCAAAATATGGTATACAGCGTTAATCAGCACTGGCCCCTGGGTCCATTGGAACGCTTTTATTTGCACTACCGGCACGCCGTTATGGCTTATTACAAGAAATGACGTCGGCTTCGCCTCCGCATTTCTTGTGGTCTTCAGTGGGTCTCCAACACAGCAATTTTTAAAGAAGAATCGGTTTCGCCGTTTCGGACTTCCTGGTACTCATTACGCGTGCCTACTGGCTTTGCAGGTGAACATTGCTAAATTTGAGAAGCGAGAACTTACAGTACGTACCCAACTGAAAGCAACAGTAATGGTAGGGCAGTCACCTACTAACCTGGCGGACTGTGTGCACTGGTAGTTTGTGAACAAAACTTTGGTTACTCACCCATTTAACGGGCAGTGTGCACTAGATAGCAGTGGTAGTTTGGTCACTCATTCACCTAACGGGAAGCGTGCACTAGATGGCAGTGGTATTTTGGTCACTCATTCACCTAACGGGAAGCGTGCACTAGATGGCAGTGGTATTTTGGTCACTCATTCACCTAACGGGAAGCGTGCACTAGATGGCAGTGGTATTTTGGTCACTCATTCAGTGTAATTATTTCGTGTGTTTGGTCAGTGAAATTAGTACGAGGCAAGCGGCAACTCTTTCCCATCGCTTTAGTAAATTACATCACTTTCCCTGCTGCATCTTCACCGTGTGTGGGCGCACACGTGATTCTTGATTTCAGCCGTTTCACTTATAGACCGGCTTTGCGGCTATAGCTGATTACGCAACTGATTAAGAGTACTCTGATGGAGAATGAACACGATAGCATTAAGGATCCCGTGAGCGCCTGCATACGGGTAAAATGCAGCAGGGAAAGTGATGTAATTTACTAAAGCGATGGGAAAGAGTTGCCGCTTGCCTCGTACTAATTACCTTGTAGTGATTCGTACTATATTTTGCACAACGGCATTTTACGATTTAAATGCCTGTCTGGCCCAGTCTGGGTATATAATGCAGAATTTTTGTCAGCGATTTTCTGATTGAAAGATTTCTGATCAGCGTAATATTTTGGACGTTTCCGCGAAATGGTTAACAGTAAGATGAAAATGTTTTACGTTTCACGCATTTTCTTATGTTTGACAATTAGAAAGGGGCAATTAATCCCATAAGACCCAATTAATCCCTTATGGGATTAACCGAATATTTGTCTTCTTTAAGGTCATTTATTTTCAAACTTAATATTTTTAACGTAGCAACAGTAATTTCTTAAGTATAGATATACTATTCTTAAGTATGGATGCACTTTAACTTTACATGGCAGACCCGGCTTGTGGAGGTGATTTGTTTTGTCGCTTGAATGCATTTTCGAAAAAATGAACACCCTCTGGCCGCGTTTTAGAACATGGGCTTTCCGATGATAGCAGTGGTTTTTGTTAATTCTGTCTGGGATTCTGGCATTGGTGTATGCATTTTTTTCTGTTCGTGATAATAAAGATCTAGAACTAGATATTAAATAAATAAATTGAATTTTCTAGGAAGAAGACTGACAGTTAACAACACTGTATTAAACGACCGTACTTGTGTACTGATCCGCAAGTACTGTGTGGTTGGCTCCGGCTCTTGTTGACCTTAAGTCAGTAACTGGCAGAATATACGACGAAGCCATCGGTTTTGTTGTTGTCCAAACCGAAGTAGAGATGCTTGAAGAGCGCGCGGTACTCGTGGGACGTTGAGGACCAAATGGGAATACCACCGTAAGCTTGGGGATGTCTGTTTCCATTGTTTCCATTGGCGCCGCGGTAGAATACCTCCCGGAAGACCCATGAACAAATTTAGACATGGCTTCCGATGTAGATAGTTTTCTAACAGCTTCTTGCAGTTTTTCATTAGTGGCTTCAGTAATGCTGAAATTTGAAACAGTTACAAGCATTTCAAGTGCTTTGCTTAGCCATAAAACTGTTGGCGGTCGCATTGTCAACTGATTCTATATGTAGGTAGTCTCTAAACCGTTTGATGTTACACTTTTTACTTTCTAGATTAACGAAAGCGTTATTTACCAAAAACAAAAGGCTTCAGTACTACAGTGGGTAAAACGGCATTTTCTTGCATCGATTTTGTAATCCTGTAGGGTGGTTGTTTCTCCTTTGCTTACTGCAAGCAAAATTAACTTGACATACGTATGTTGTTGCGTTCTGAACCGTGTCAGCTGTGGCTGTTTGCTCAAAACTCATAAAATTGTTATGCCTGTTCCGTCTGCGCATAAACTTACATTATTTTATATTGTTCGTCTGTTATTTACATAGTTGAACACTTTATATCTTGTGACTCAGTGTATTTTAGCCATTATAAGTACATTGTAAATATCCGTGAATGCTTCAAATTCATAATGAAAGTCAGAAGGCAGCTTGCGCAAAATTGTATATGAAACCATGGGCGGAATGTTTTCAATTAGCTTTTCTTACTAAAGTATGTGTAAGTGCCGCAAACTTTAGCAAGCTTGATTTGTTAAATTATAAGAGCATCCAAGCAATACTGTAAAAATAGGTACGATTTCCTCTACTATTTTTTAAATGTTTATTCTTTTAATGGATTAGCAGACGCAACCTTTTAAAATACTGTAACAATACGTAAAAATATCACTCGAGATTCAGATCTACCTACTTAGAAGCTTTCGGGAATAATTAGAAGCGAGTACAAGACGGTCCAAAAATTACTAAAATTTTGCCGCTATAATACGTAGTTATACGTATTTACATACTACGTATCATAATTATAACATATAATTTGCATACAAGAATCCACGTGAAAGCACAAAAAGTGTTTTGTGAACAGCTTCAGCTTCAGCCGTTTCAGCTTCAGCCGTTTCAGCTCTTTGTCCACTACCAAGAAAATTGAATTTATCCAAGAAAAATTTGCAAATTTATGCGGTTCATGACGTCACTGGCTCATTTGATAGCCTGGTTGTTTCACGGCCATCCTTCGTTTATTCATAATAACACCGATAAGCTACTCGAGTAGCACTTTAGTACAGTATGTACAAATTACTACGACGACGAAGAATTTGTATTGGTACAGTTTGAGCATGGCCTTATCATGCCTTTATGTGATCAGCTTGTTTACAAACAACGTGCGGACCACGGAGAAAGTCGTGAGGCAATTAGAACTCCAGAACATTTATGTACTACTGTAATACAACAATAATAATATAATATATCAACCTACATAACTATCCTGCTTACCCAAAATTAGTACGAATTGTAGTATATGTGTTTGTGTCTCTGACGATTACGGCAACGAGCCCGGCACAGCTCTGCTCGAACTCATAATTGCAACTTTTGCTTCTGCTTGCGATTAAAAGTGGCTGTATTTCGCACGGATTCTGTAGCTGCAAGGAGTACATAATTTTTTAGTTCCTTTGCTAATTAGGCTAATTAATTTGGGTGAGCTTCTTTTATGGCCGACATCGTCGATTTCTGGGATAGGAAACACGACTGTGCGTGCAGCCAACGAGCCGAGCTCACACTCTATTACGGCATCTACATTATTCCTGCTGCCGCTTTTTTAGCCAATTTTAGTTTTTGTGCGTCGGTTTTAAGCGCCAAAAAATTGCGGACCTTCCCGAATTTACTGTTAATCTCGGATGCGGTGGCCGATTTCGGACTAAGCACCATCATTATTCCCGTACGAATACGCTTTTGGTTCCAGGATGACTGCTGGTCAGCCGGGCACACTTTCTGCCAGTTTTTCATAGCCGCTTGTGAGTACTTTAACGCCACCAGTCTGGCCCATGCCGCAACGATTTCTGTGGAACGACACGTCCGGCTATTTCATCCCGGCTTCCATCGGCGACGGGTTAGATCAATGCTCATACCCGCCATCTTTTTATGCTGGGGATTTCCCACCTTGTTCACATACGCAAAATTGTTCATTCCCTCCACGTTCGGTTTGTATCCGTACCATTTTCAAACCAATGATACGTGCACGCGCTTGATGCAAAAACCCTGCTCTTGTGTCGTCTGTTTGCATCCCGTGGTCAACGCCATTGACGTGATCGGACAGAACATTGTCCCATTGTGTATTACTTTTGCAATGTATGGGCACATCATTTTTGTGGCTTACCGGCGGATACGGCTAGCGGACGTTCTACGGCGGCGGGTCAGCGAGGCGGGCTTATTGCCTGAAATCCAGTCGACCAAAAGCGTGGCCAGACGGGTGGTAGACAGCCCCGAATTCCGCTCTATTCGGGTGTTTGTCGTGATCCTGCTGGTTTTGTTTGCCTGCGTGATGCCGAATATTATCAGCCACTTTTATCAAATGGGACAAGGGGAGGACGGTATGGCGACGCTGATGTTAAAGAAGTATCTCCTGACATCCAGCTGCAATGGAACGTACGGTTACAGTGACTTTGCGATACCGGCAATAATGTGGTCCAACTCGTTAATCAATCCGTTACTGCTTTTCATTCTGAACCGAAACTACCGAAAGGGATTTAGGATATTCCTGGGACGAATCCGATCGTGTTGTTCTACGGAGAAACCGACTGGACGCGCTGAAATCCAAATTCCGAGTTCTTGCCGATGGAATCGCATTACTATTTTAGGGGAACGCACCAAAGGGCAAATCTAGTTTTTAACATTAATAACCAGATATATCTTTGTATAGATTCTCTCAACTATTATTAAAAAGTAATTTCCACCATTACATGTCAGTTTAATTTTTCTCATTCAAAACTGTCTGTATCTACTCTGTACATATAATATGTGCGCACAGGAGATCATAATTGGACCGGCCACGAGTTGTGGTTTCAGGAGATTTTGAGCTTCTTATTTGTGGCTGCAGCTACTAGAACAATGTAGTAAGTAGTTTCAATACTTTGACTTTCAGGTTTTTCACTGCAGATTGCAAAATATTTCAGATGGATTAAATTTGAGTTTAGATATGCTTGGAATTATATGATGGGAAAAGTAAACAACCAGCATTTGATCATGAATACCGGAAGTCGAGAAAGATAAGTTTTGCTTGCCAAAACCGCCGATCTGTCGGCAGACTTGTGTTACAGTTAAACGTCTCACCAAAAGTGTTTAATTACTTCCGGATTCATGCGACGCACTTTTGACCTAATCAAAAGTGTTATGGTTTTGCAATGTAGGAAGCCTTTCAGATTTACCGTAAGCAAGCGTCACCTTCCTGTTATCTTATCGCTTCCCGCTACCACTTACCGGCATAACCGCTACCGCGCCTACGTTAAGTTACAATTAACGTTGTTAATTGGTTTTAATGTTAGCTGGAGGTTGTGTGCTCCCGCTCTTTCCTTTCGCCTTCTATAGCCAGTTACCTGGGTCGGTGGTGGCGCTGCGCCGCTACGGCCGTTAGATCAAAGCGGCCGCCGCCTTGCACGCGCCGACGTTTGCGCTCGGCACTGTTCCTGTGCCCGCGCTTGGTTTGCTTTTTGTTCTGCATTTGCATTTGTCTGTCACTGCATATCTGTTCGTTTGCGCGCGAGTGATTTGTTCTTTTCAAGTTCTTCAATTTTCGAACTTTTCGCGTCTCGATAGAACGTTTACTGCTGATTGAACGAACCAACATGCCTCCTACACGCAGAGGAAGAGGACGTGGGAGAATCGGCACGAATTCTACGCGCGGACAGAGGAATCCAACGCGGCCGGGTCCCCGCCGCCTGCGTTCACAAGTAGTGGTCCCAGCTACTACCACGTTCACATCAAGCACCGACGACAGTATCCGAGCGCTAGCGGAGCAAGTGGCTGCTTTACAGCAGACGGTCTCCACTTTGCAGCCAAGTGGCGGATTAGCGAGTTTGACTGTCCCTCCGGCTGGATCCCGCTCATTGTCAGAATCCTCAAATCGGATCGTCGCTGGCACCGGTAAGCAACCAATAGCTCAGATAACTATTGATAGCGCTCCAGAGCCGAAGAATAATTCCCGTCATCCGGGAGAGCCTGCCGCCTCTTCAGCTTTCAAAGATATGCAAGCCGTCAACCCTAAACTGCGAGAAACTCTTCTGGACCACACTCAGTTTGTCGATTTTGTGGACCTGCTGCCACAGAATCGCGTGCCGTCCAAGCGTCCCCAAACTGGCACAAAGATGATGCACGACCCAGCCACAGGTGAAGCGGTTTTCATGCCATCAGTTAAAAAAGAGCAAATCACGAACTATGCCAGCTGGTCTCGAGCGTTTGGAGTCTTTGTCTCCTATCGCACGCTTAACCACCCCGAGTTCACGGTTCCCTTTATGAAATACATGGATCTCATTGCGTTGTTTTCCGATCCGGACCGCGGGTACAGCTTCAACCACGTCCTCAAGTACGACATGCAATTTCGGAATTACGCCGCCAACAATCCGTACGACACGGATATTTGGACGCGACGCCACGAAGAGTCGTTTCAAGAGTGTATCGCTAATCCCAAGATATCCACCTCTAAGGCGGCTAGCACTAGCGGTTCGGCTCGTCACGCGACGCTCCAGTGCGGACGCTGCAAAGGGGTTGGACATATTCAGAAGGATTGTAAACAGCCCTTTCGAGGCCGCCCTGCTGCAGAGGGGGAAATCTGCAACCTCTTCAATAAGGGCATTTGCTCAACGCCATGCCGCCGCGAACGCGTCCACGAATGCAGCGAGTGTCAGTCGCTCAGCCATGGAGAGTACAGTTGCCCACGCCGCAGTGGCCACGACGTCAAACGGGAGTGACCTTCGCACCCCACTTCGGCCACACGTGTTTGCCAAATACCTCGTCGATCATCCTAATCGGCAATACGTAACCGGCCTGATCGGCATGCTGACCAACGGAGCTGACCTTGGCTACACGGGCCCGCAGCTTGAGCGATTTACGCAAAATTCCCGTACAGTCTCCGAACATCCCGCTGTTATGGCTGAATGCATCCAGAAGAGCATCGGTTCCGGACACGCACGCGGTCCATTTAAAGTTTCCCCTTTACCGAATTTTGTCTGCAATGCGCTCAGCATCCGACCGAAGTCGAGCGGTGGCTTTCGGCCCATACTGGACCTGTCACAGCCAACCGGAAATTCTGTGAATGACTACATTCCGAAAGATGATCCGCCTCTAAGTTTTTGTTCGGTTGACGACGCCGTAAAGCTGATTATTCGAGCCGGCCGCGGCGCAGTTATGGCAAAGCTCGACATAAAAAGCGCTTTCCGGCTGATGCCAGTTATGCAGTCACAGTGGAACCTATTGGGATACAAGTTTAAAGGTAACTACTATTTCGATGTCGTACTGCCATTTGGTTGTCGATCTTCACCTCGGCTGTTCTGCGCTTGTTCGGACGCAATCGAATGGATATTTATTCATATATCCGGTCATTATGCCGTACTGCATTACATTGACGATTTTTTGATTATTGCACCGCCAGGTAGTCTTTGCGCTGAACTTGTACTGCTGTTCAAGGAACTATGCGAAGAGCTAGGCGTTCCCCTCGCAGCAGACAAGCTAGAGGGACCCGCCACTCAGCTAGTCTTCCTGGGTATAACACTAGATTCAGTATCGCGTACGCTCTCTCTACCAGCAGGGAAGCTCGAGCAACTTATCGAGCTGCTCCGGTCCTGGTCGGATAAGTCTACGTGTTCGCTCGATGAGCTGCAAAGCCTGGTTGGTTCACTGCAATTCGCTACGAAGTGCATTCCCGCCGGAAGGCTGTTTCTCAGACGTTTGATTCAGAAAATGACAAATCTGCCGCCTCGCCAGCCGCACCATGCGCAGTCACTCCAATTAGATGCTGACTTCCAGCTCGACATTGCCTGGTGGCTGCAGTTTCTTCCGGATTGGAACGGCAAAGCAAGTTTTCTCACGATTGACTGGAGCAGGCCTGACGTGATGCAGTTATACACCGATGCATCGGGGTCAATCGGTGTCGGTGGCTATTTCGCAGGCCGCTGGTTCAATGCTCGTTGGCCTGCATGGATAAGCAGGGTCAATCCCTGTATCGAATACCAAGAAATGCTTGGCGTGTTCTTTGCTATAACCCTCTGGCAGGACTTATTTCGCAACCTGAAGGTGATGTTTCATTGCGACAACATGGGTGTATGTCAGGCGTGGGATAAGCTTGGATCCACTAACAGAGCAGTACTTTCGCTGATGCGCAGGATGGTGATGACGGTCGCTCAGAACAACTTTACTATCACTATCAAGCACGTTAATGGCTGTGACAACAGCATCGCTGACGCTCTGTCACGGTTTCAGGACATGCGATTCCGCCAGCTTGCCCCGGACGCCAGACAATCGCCGGACGCCTTACCGGATATATGGGAGGAGCTAGAGGCCAACTACATCAGTGCAATGAGCTGAACGCCGTAGCCAACCGGCTTCGATACCACCACATTGCAGCGTCCACCCGACAAGCGTATGATGCCGGTTGGTTCCAGTTTGAGCAATTTTGCGTGCGCCTTGCCGAACATCCACTCCCTGCATCCGATGACACAGTGCTCCGGTTCCTTGCCGATCTTCACTCACGGGGCATAGCGATCGCAACAGCCAAAGTTTACCTGGCATCCATCGCCAACAAACATACTGAATGCGAATTCCCGATTCCGACACGTAGCGCTGCCGTTTCTCGCGCGCTCCAAGGTTACCAGAGACTGGCACCGACGCCTCGGGATCACCGCCTGCCTATCACGCTCGATATTATGCGGTACCTGAAAGACCGCCTTTCCGCAATGAATCTTGCCACGGTCGACAAGCATATGTACTGGGCGGCATTCACCATGGCCTTTGCCGGACTTCTCAGAGTAAGCGAGTACACGGCACCATCACCAGCATCCTACAGTACGGCGCGCACGCTGCTGTTCAATGATATCGCGCTTACCGCTGACGTCATCACCGTGTCCCTTAAAACGACAAAAACTGACCAATACAGTCACGGTTACAAGCTGTTACTGCGTAAGACAGGGCGTTCAGTTTGTCCAGTTCGTGCTCTTGCGACATACGCGGCGTCAAGACTCGAACTCGGAAGTAAGCGTGAACCGCTTTTCATACTGTCCAGCAGAGCTTACCTGACTCGTCAAGACGTCGATCGAACACTGAAGCACCTGCTGTGTCCCCTGCCGGAACATCACCGTTACGGAACCCACAGCTTCCGCATCGGCGGTACCACAACAGCCGCTGTTGGAGGATCCAGCGACAAAGAAATCCAGCGCCTTGGACGCTGGAAAAGCAACTGTTTCTCCGCCTACGTCCGCAGCCAAATTCCAACGGACGGAATCAATCCTTACGCCTGATCATGGATGTTGTTTGGGGTTTGTTTGGGGCCTTCGGTTGCGCAGGGCACTGGTCGCTCTCTTCCGCCGACCTCCGGTCGGCCGGCTTCTCGCTGACCCACGGTCACCGCACACAGCCGCTCACGAGGGTACCAGTCGCCCAGCAGCCGGGGTTCCAACGCCCACAGTGGTCACCGGAAGCGGTACCATTAAGCACAACTTTTGGAACACTTCAGTTGCGTAATTACGAACCAAAGAACCATTGAAATGAAATCGATCATCGACATGGTACAAAATTAGTTTGCGATTAAGCCGGGTAATGGAACAGTAATTGTTGTGTACTGTATTTTATTATACTTATGTAATGAAAAACTATCCGCAGAGGCCTAACTGAAGTAAATGATACATTATCATATACTGAAATGAGTATTATCATGAAATGATTATTATGAAATGATGAAATGAAATGATTATTATCATATACTGAAATGAGTTTGAAAGCACAGAAATGAAATGAGTTTGATTTCATAAATGCGTTTAGTAAAAAGTTATTACTTTGTATCTTGGCTTTATAAATCTGCTGGTGTGTCTGGCTGGCCTTCTTGTTTGGAACTCCGAAGTATCACGTTTACTAATCAGCGTCAGCTTCCGAACATTTCATGTGAAATTCACATGCATTTATTCAATGTATCAGCTAATTATCGCCATCTGAGCCGATCAAAATTCTATAATGGCATTGTAGAATTTTTATTGCTTTAATACGTACTTTGCGGCGCAGCAAATACTTGTGTGGTTCAAAAAACCGGAACTTCTTAGTTAAAACTGCACGCATAGTAGAGTATTGCAATATGTTGATTTTAAGCTAGTACCTACTTACTGCACCATATTTGTAATTTCCCGAATTTTTACATTAGCGGCGCTTTCTGAAAGCTACTTTTCCGTCAAAACATCTCTCCCGTCTTCTTGCCACAAATCTGGATTTTTCTCGATGAACCCTTTCAACATTTCCCGGCAGCGAGCATTATTCAGTACTTCCACTTTGACACCGCGCTGCCTCAGAAGCGCTTCTTCACCGTTCAACGTCTCGTTTTCCCCAACAACGACGTGCTTAATTTGAAAGAAGAGAATCGTCCCACTGCACATAGCACAAGGCGCCAGTGTGGTGTACAGGATGCACTCTTCGTACGGGATTCCGCGACCAGCGTTTTCAATAGCGTCCATCTCAGCATGGAGAATAACGCTGTCCTTCTGTACGCGCTGGTTGCGACCGCGTCCAATAATTTGTCCATTGCGCACCAGAACAGATCCGATGGGCAGTCCATTTTCTTTGAGACCTTTTTCGGCTTCCTCAATCGCAGCGTTCATGAACTGCTCGTGCTGTGCCATTTTCCCGAGTTACTTCTTTGTTCTACCACAAAAAGGCTTGAAACTCCAACTAACACCTAAAACAGAACATCTGAAAAAGCGAGTTTTCTACCGTCTAATAGTTCTGGTGTTGCATATACACTATGCACATCGCCCTAGAGGGCAACAATATTTTTCACAATGCCAATAAGCAAACTGCATCTGGTATTGCACTAAGCTGCCAAAAACGCAGTCGCGATGTGAGCAAATTAAAACTGAACTCACCTGGGCTGTGGATTATAGGACTTAAAGTTTTCCCGAAGATTACTAGCACAGTAGCGGTCTGGGTACATAGAAGACTGCCCGTATTCTCAGTTTTTTCTTTTCGTGGAAAAATACCGGCAAACACCAGTCGCGAATCCGTCTTCCGGTGTATACACGTAGTGACTTTAACAAATCCGTTAAATGCCAAATTCGCTTTTGCAACTCTCTGTTAATTGTGAACCGCACTGGACAGATGTACTTAATTGTACACTTTGCATAGATGGTTCGTCCAACACTTTCGGCATTGTATTGATACCGGACCTTTGCCTAAACTGTTGTGGTATCGCTCCATGCATTTTGAATTATCAAAATGTTACGCAAAAGCACATCGATGGTGATAACAGCATTTGCACTACAATGGATGTTATCATGTATTTTATCAATATTGTACGCTTATTCATAAAAATTTAATTTGCAGCAGCCGATTCCACAAATCGGGAGACTAGCTGACCTGGAAGCAGCCATTCCTACTTCTTAAAAATAGGTATATATAAAAATTTTGTTAGTTACTAGTAATTCTCTTGATTATAGTTGTCACTATAGTTAATATTGCCACAACGATTTTTAATGAACACTTCACAAGCTGCAGAGCTGTACATTTCGATGTGCAAAAGTCAGAAAGCTGTGTGTTCTTCCCATGATCGCACTATCTTCCGAACCCGATGAGTCCCTCACAAACAGTAGACAATCATCTGAATTATTACAACTCGAACTGTACACGCTTCGCTGGAAGTAATGTAATTGGTTTTAAAAAAGCTTATCTGTAAAAAACTTCGGTATAATAATCATTTATTACTATCATCTCTTCCGTCCTCGTACCACAGACTGGGATGTTCGTTGATAAATGTGTTCATCAGCTCCGTACAGCGCACATTGTTTAGAACTTCCAGTTTAACACCACGTTGTTTCAGCAAATCTTCCTCTCCCATAAACGACTTGTTTTCACCAATAACAACGTGCTTAATGTTATAAAACAGAATAGCTCCACTACACATGGCGCAGGGAGACAAAGTCGTATACAACACGCATTCTTCGTACGGTACTCCTCGTCCGGCGTTTTCTAGGGCATCCATTTCGGCGTGAAGTACAACGCTGCCTTTTTGTACACGCTGATTATGACCCCGTCCGATGATCTTCCCTTCCCGAACCAGTACCGATCCAATAGGTATTCCATTCTCCTTCTTCCCATTCTCGGCTTCTTCGATTGCGGCATTCATAAATTTCTCGTGGGGATCCATTACGTACTTCTAGGTAGTAGTACAATGAACGTTCTTGACCTTCACAAAGTTTGTTATAAAGTGAAACCCGATTCAATTGCATGTAAAGTAGACAAAGTATTCCGGAATTGTGGTCCAACTCGTAAGGGATATTCGTAAACAATCTTGCCGGTGTTATACGCCTTCGGCATATACAGAGTACCTGTAGATTTCAGACTATACAGTCTTTCTCTGCCATCTAAAACCCGATGAAATGAACTTTGACAAGCCGATTGCAAGGTTTTGCTTTATACGATCGAGTAGTCATGGAAAGAATCTGATAAAGGTCTAAAGGTACTGTAATATACCGTCAATGTTCCGTCACCACGAAAAGTCGTACATCGTAGTTCGTACTTCTTTTTAATAAAAGGTTTGTTGTATGTACATCCTAAGAAGTAAAGTAAAAGGGGCAATACCTTCCACAAATTTTAATTTAACCCCACGGATGTAGCACACCCAATATCGCCTTGTATACTACCTTAAATACCGAATTTAATTCTGCCAAGCCTGTTGTAATCGACCTTTTCACCAAATTCCTTATAAAGAACGCGTAAAACGCGCTGGCAGGCGAATGATTCCCAGCAGTCGCCATTAAGTACTTGAGTATTTCGCATCATGATCAGTGTGAACTTCGCTTGCTTGGCCACTCGTACATACTAAAACGATGCTCTTAAAGCATCTCAACTGGAGTTGCTTATACAGAGCTTCCAGGGAGCAATCGACTGTTCAGGTTGGAAAAGGATGTAAGGTCACGAAACAGCTGTGATTACGATTACCAGAATCGAGAAACACCAATTCACTGTGCGGCCAGATCCCAGGCCTAACTGTATTAGTACGTCCCGTACGAACCGACGAAAGACCAAAACTAAAATCAGGTTTAGAAACAGAATGGGCACCTGCCGATAAATGTGTCTAGTCATGCTACGCTCATGGTGAGCTGGTCAGAACAGGCAGTCACACATGGTGAACCGCTTAGACAACATTCATACGCCTTAATACGGCCCACGCTCAAGCTCTGACTCTGACTCTGACCGCTCAAAGTCTGACTCTGACTGTCCAAAACTAAGAAAAACCTAAGAAACCTGAAAAAAAAACCTAAGAAACCTAAGAAAAACCCTACGAAACCTAAGAAAACCTAAGAAACCTTCAGAATCAGGGTCAGACTTTTAGTAGTCAGAGTCAGACTTTGAGTGGTCAGAGTCAGACTTTGAGTAGTCAGAATCAGAGTCAGAGTTTGAGTCTGGGCCCTTTAAGGCCTTTAACACTTACATACATCAAGTGCTTATAACAGAAACTTGTAAGCTTGTGCTATCCGTGTTAAATTTAATAATTTTTTACGGTCTAGTTCGCATGTACTGCCACAGAGATAAAAAAACTTTTGCTGCTATTTTCTGCAGTAACCGATCAAATAAATGATCAAGCAATTCGACTCCACCAACACAGGTGTATTAGTAAACTTTGTGAAAAATTATTTGTAACAATTCAAGCAAAATTTCTCATGATCAACGACTCAACCAGGTAGTGAGATTACGGAACATTCGAGCCAGCGCAGCTGCAATGTTTTTGCCAAGAATGTGCTACTAGCAATAAAACCGTCGGGATAGCTATGTCTTTAAAAAGTGAGAAAATCGCTTCAAGATCGGCGGCGCAGGCGCCGCAATGGATCTCCGCTGTTGATTGCTTTGGTCAACTGGTCCACAATGCGCGCATCCAGATCATCTGTTCTGTCCACTGCAATTTCTGTATTCCTCAGTCCACCAAAATTTCTCGGCAGTGTTGAAATTCCTGGCAAACGGATTCCGACTTTGGAAATTTTCGGCTTGGATTCTGATTCAGCCTTTTCTTTTGCGTGTATTTGCTCTTTCTCCTTATCGTCAAACTCCTGTAACATATACAACATAAAAAAACCGACAGCAATTAATAATAACATCACTTAATTTCGGAGGGCAGAAAAGCAGGTACACCTTGTTATTAAAAAATGATGATAACGTTTGATTGTTGACGCAAGCTTCTGTAACGCTTATATACATTCTTTAACGAACGGAGAAACTGGTGCAAATCGTTTTACTTTTCCACACCTTAATCACTCCGTTGATCTGTTTGACGAAAACGCTGACACTTTTAAAGCATTCCTCAATCTTGAACTGCGCTAGATCTTCGACGAAATAATCGGCCACCTTTTTGATGCTAACCAGTAGCGCATCGCGGGAGGATTTTAGAGAAAAAGTTAATGTTTTGGGGTCTTTTAGGGTGTTGGCCACAAGATTTTGTAAACTCTCCGTCGCCGTGCCGAGACGCTTATGCAGATCGTCATAGCGCGATAATAATGCCTGACATTCGGCTTGCAACACAGCAAATTCTAACCTAGAATAAAACAAAAAAGGTCACCCTAATGTTAACCATTAATCATCGCAATACTGAATTCTACCCAGCAGATTTTCCAAGCGGCTCAAAAGTGTCGATGAAATCCAACGCATCCGAGTGTTGCTTTTGAATTTCTTTGACGATGAAATGGAGCAAAGATACTTTTGGCTCGTTACTGGCAGTTTCGACTAGCTTTAGCAATCCATCCAATTTGACGGCTTTAGCTTCACCTAATGTCCGACCCTAAAATACAATACGAATTATACGATGCATCCTTGAATTGTAGTTTTCTATATTGCCTTGTTATTAATGGTATCTCCCAAAAGCACTAACACAAACAACGTTCGTACCGAGTTCAGAACGTTGCCGACTTGCAAGACATAATGCAAGAAATTCCGGAATGATTTGGACTTCAAGATCAAATCACAGCATTCTTTCAGATCATTGAACTCTTTGATCAGTGTTTTGGCTTGAACAGGAAATTCTTTGGAACATAACATCAGCTCGACGTGGAGGAAAAAGTCCGGCATCTTTACGATCCAGTAGAAAAACGCTTCAGCACTATCCAACTCATCTACATTGCCGGTGTAATCTTTGAACACTTCCACCTGCACGAAAGATGTGTTTATGGTGAAAACCTTCGTTTAACAACTAAAACAAATCGTTTCTGAGAGTTCCGTATTGCTTGCACTGCGAGAAAGTATTAGCATACTTAACAAAGATTTGGAGGCCCTGTTGTTTTAATGTAATGCTGCCCATAGTACAAATACTTCCGCAGTACTTCTGTGCATGAAGTCTTTCTGCGCTTACCTCTTCCGGTGTTGGCAGAATGCCCATCAAGCCCGTCAGGTCATCCAGATCAAAATGGCTCACATCCAGGCGGTCAATGTAGCCCACAAGTTCCTTCATACTGATATCTTTGAATTTCTTCAGGCAAATGTTAACTTTCAAACTCCGCTTGGAATCAATCAGTTCAACGTGCTGTTAGGTATAAAAATTCGAATATATTTCCGTCAGTTATACATTTCTGCCACTAATACATGTACTTCGGTAACGATGGATGTGCTGCTATTACCGAAGAGGATTTGATCATTGGTCCCATAACCGATCCTCGTCGCTCATCGCTATCCTTGAACAGCGCTTTCAGCTGATCCATATCGACAGACAAGGTTTCATCTATAGATGTTTGTCTCCAGATGGAGTGCGACACTGCAAACAACATGCATAATTAAAATATTTATTCTTCACACCAGAAACCATTTCTAAATATGCTGCTTACATTTCTCCACAGGAGCGAAAACCTTATTCCAGCGCAACGGCTTCAGCAGATGTTGCGGGATCTTTTTGGCATCCGTCCCATTCCATGTTCCCGAGCGGGGGATGCCGCCTTGCAATGCCGAAGCCAGCGGCGGAAGTCCATTACTCAGTTTGACTGAGGGCGGCGGTGGCGGAACTGGAGCCGCATTTTGACCATGTGGTGACGGCGGTGGCGGTGGGATAGGTGGCACTGGTCCATTTCGGTTGATGTCATGGCTGCTAATGGGAGGCGGGGGAGGAGGAAGCGGGACACTCTGGCTAGGTTGTACTTTCCGGATAGCCGACAACGACAGGGCCGCAGGTGGAGGTGGTGGCGGGGGAGGAGGCGGACATGATACGGTGGGCTTCGGCAACGTCTCACTGTTCTCCGTTGGCAATGAATGTGTCGTTTCAGGAATACCCACAACAAAACCTGTTGCAGTAGATTCAGGAAAAACAACAGGACTGGTTGCCTGGTTGACAACGGAACTATGGTCATTGGTTGTGGCAACTACTCCCGATAAAGCCGCCAGTCTGGATAAAGCCGCATCCAGTTTCTCCAAGATGGTAAAGCTGAAATATAAATTACTGAATGCCACATCTCCAAGTAAAACCACGTTTGTCGCCAGATATACTATAATTAAGCATATGTCGCCATATATAAACATATGGTGGTTTCATAATCAGTTTATTTTTACGTAGGTTCATAGAAATGGAAGGATTTTGCAGGATACCATTTATCGGAATCCATAGTGATAAAGATTTCCGCCAAATGTTGTAACGTCTCCGTGACCTTTCTTCGTTGCTCGCCTTCTTTTGTCGCTAGCATTTGGCCCACAGCTTTATGTATAGACATGCACGAAGATCGTTTGCTATCGAATTCTTCTAAATTTTTTAAAATGCCGTCGATTTGCAGCTGCACGGCAGAATGGTCGTCCGTAAAAAGCCGGCAAAGGGTTTCAAAAAAGAAACTGCAGTCCAGCTCCCGAAGAATTTCTTCGCGCTTTGTTCCGTCACAGAAAGTCATCATACAGTTCACAAAGGCTAGCAGTGAAGCTTTGTAAGCGAATTTAGTTTCATCATCTGTAAAAGAATAAGCTATCTACGAAACACCCAAACAAAAAAAACGTAACGCACTAACAATCAGAAAAATCTATTTAATAGTACTGTATTAAAGCCGATCAGCACGAAGCGCACTTAAACATAACTTTTGCCTGAAATGCGTATTAAACACGTAATAACGCATGATCGTGATTGAAACGGACAAAAATTAAAGAAATGCTTAAACTTTCACCGTTACAATAATACGTATGTGCAAATTTATATATTTTATTTACAAATACATATAGATTAGAGCACACTGTTCAGCTCTAAAATAATACCTGCATATTTTCGTAAATCCGCCACCACTTGGTAAAACAACTGAGATGTTTTGCGAGATTCCTAAGAGTAAAGAGCTGGTAAATTAATTTTCATCCAAATTTATGGCATAAAACTCATCATTCATTTTCAAACTGTACCTGGCAGCTTTTCAAGCATTTGTAGGCTAATCGGAACCCGTTTGGAGAATAAGCACTCAATGCACTGAGAAGTTCGTAGACTTGGTGTTTGACGGGAATATTCTCAGATGACAAGGCTAAAATTATGTCATAATAATAAGTTAAATGTCATAATAATAGCATTGCGATCACCGGAAGTATCGCCAGCTGCATTTGTAAATTATGATAACCTCATAAGTCCTCATTAACAAGCTCACTTGCATTTCACCAGTTGTTGCATTTAAATTTTAAACATGCTGTGCATCGCCGTACGAACGTAAACAATTTTTAAAATCAACAGTTGCAAGCGAGACGTGCCGGTTTTGCTGCATGCTCAGTATCGGCCCTAACGTTTTATCATAACTTTTTGAAGGGAGCCAAAGAGAAAAAATTTTTACAGTGGAAAAAATAAAGCTGGCAGCACAGCGACGGATTGGACTACATATTCTCACCTTTGGCCAACTGCAGAGCGGTACGGTCGTATTTATGCCTGACAATATATTCGATCCCGGGTTCGGAATTTAAAACTTCCCTGATACAGCTTATATTCTCCAGCAATACCATAACATCTTCCAATCGACTGAGATGCACACTTAACTCCTCCAAGGCAGTCAACAACATAATCAGACCTTCGCGCGCCAAGAAATCCTCCATCCAAACATGATCGCCATTGCGGAGAAAGTCGCGCAGAACTGCAAAAGTAAACAATCAACAGCATTCCAGAAAAGGAAATATTGCGCTTCATTTATACACTCCTTTTCCACCAACAATCTTATCGCCCAAAATGCTGATAACTCACGGTATTTGCATAATATATTCAACCACATACTTGTGAATTAATAAACATCAACCAAACAAATGAGTCATGACACTTACGCCGGTAATTGTGGAGTGTTGGATTTTTCAGCAATGGTAAACAGTCAGCTGGCCGTAGTGAGCGCTGATTAATGCCCAATGTCAAAAGTGATGGATTGGGGTTTTTGTTGTAATTCGTCCGGCGTACCAGCTGTTTCCACTTTTCCGGAGTCTGCGACATTATTGTGGAGAAATCACCGAAATCTGTTTCCGTTTCTTCCACCATATTTTGTGAAAACTGATTTCCTGTCTAACTTCATCCAACACTCAGATCAGCTACAACGAACATGAATTCCAGCCTTCACGTATGAATTGTTTATTTATCAAGCACTTTATGTCAAGAGATATAAAGAAATGTTACACAGGTAGTAAGAGATAGCAGAACAAATTTAATGGGTTAGTTGGCGATAATGGTCCATCTGCTGAGCATCTACACAGGCAGTTTTATTTTATTATGCAGCGAGGAATTCAGCACGTTGATTTGTTACCGGCAATTGAACTCCACGTCAGTCATAGTCTGGTGATTTTCTGTTCGGCAATAAAAAACGAGATTGGCATGCTGATTCATGCAGCAGTTTACATACTTTTCCCGGCATTAAATCTTCGCATTCACTCCGCACTTTTATATTGACAATAAACACATTTTTTTCAATGCTCTGGTGGTGCGTACACTGGTAGCACTTAAAATTAGTGCTACAGAACAGCCGTCATACAAGGATGTGGTGTGTACTTCCGGATACATGTGCACAAGAAATTGCCGGCATTTTCTAAAGCTTTACGCGAGAAATCGAAATGCAGCCACTTACCTACTGTACATTAGCTTTGCTACAGCTCGAAGCTGTCATTCGGCTTTGTAAATCTGATAGATTTAATTAAGTGAAATGAGTGTAACAACCAGCACCTCATCACGCTGACAAATCTTCGATTACAAATTAGTGTCAAATGTGTCGAAAACAATTTGTTGAATTTGCATAAACTTAAGAGTCTTAAGACATCATGTAGGACAAAGTGCTCTGTGTACATAATTACTGCCAGACAAACTACCATGCAACGATGAGCGATATTTAAGCCCTCCGGCCGCTTATTTGTACTTTGCATTTGTGCAGTTCACCAGGCCTTTAACTCTGAAGTTTGCATGTTTTCATCGAACAACAAACACATAACAAACAGATAATTTGGTGACTTCCTCTAAAGGTCAAACGTCGCCTAAAACTTAGGCACCGGGTTCAAGGAAAGGTGCATGGATTTTAAGCCAGCAGTACCATTATCCCTTCGCGCCCATTCAGACCACGCAAGACGCAAGTCCAACGTCGACTTTGCAGATGCATGTGGTATGCCCGTCGTGGTCGACAGTCAATCAATGCGTTAATTCGCTCAGCCCGTCGTTTTGCTGGTCGGTGCCCATCAGCGTATCTGTAAACTATTTTCAGTCTCAAGTGTCGGTACAAATTTTTTATTCTAAAGGTAGGCACGTTGGGAGATTAGTTAATCGCGCTCCGAACCGGAGCATTGGTCGTTCTTGATTCTGCGGTATTTCCGTCCGCACCAGAACCGGTGGTTTCGCAAACGGTTGGCATAGTCGACAGACTCAGCACATAGCCTGAAGAAAATTTTATACACCGGCGCGGCATTGCACGTGCCATGATACGCGTGCTGGAGAGTAAATGCCATACAATTTTCCCAAACAAGTTTAATGATCGACAGTGCACCGCCATTTAAGTACTGTACACAGAATGCCCACGAGTTCCAGTTTCGAGCATTACTAATCAGAAGCAAGTTTTGGGACTGCAACATACGATTCGCTGAATAAGCAAAATTCCAAAGGTAACCATGCATCTAGCTGAACCGGAAGTACACCGGTTATCAGATTATAACACTGGCAAGCATCGGCCATTACGTAGTCATAAATCTCTTGAATTTTCACGAGAAACACTTTATTTTATGATTATACATAGTAGTTTGTCCTGAAAGCTTATAAAAATTGCTGCCGGTTGCAACGCGATATGCCAACTGACCACAACTCATCATGCTCTTCCTTTTGAATACTATCCTGTTTCTCGCATGCTATGCGAATGCGGAAGTTGCGGCTGCACAGTCGGCATCCAGCTACAGGCAGGCTCGAGCAGTGAGCTTAAGCCTAGCGGGAACGATTGGATTCTCGCCCCGTGACATACTGTTGGAAAGTCTGGAATCAAAAACCTGCTTCGATATGAAGAACGCCGGAAAGCGCGTCGGCACGGAGGTGGTTCTCAACAGTTGTGGATTTCCTGTGCCGTCCTGGAATCAACTATTCACCCTGCAGGATGTGGACGGGCAGCATTTCGTGATTAACAACCGCAATCACAAGTGTCTGACATTCTCGTCATCGCAGGCTCTTGCTTCCGCCGACCAATGTACCGGTGATAGTGCAAAATTCTACCTGGATATGTCGGCGGATGGGCAGTCGTATCTGTTGCGTCAGAAAGGCTCAAACCGCTGCGTAACCACCACCGACCGATTCGGTACCAATGGCGGTGATGAAGGCCTCAAAGCCGCTGCCTGTGACCGGAATGATCCGCGACAGTTCTGGAGAATTTTTTCAAAGGATAAGCCTAGACGATTCGCTCCCCATCCTTCTCGGTGTTCGAATTAAAAACATTTAAATCGCTCAAACGTCAGCTGATACACGTTTTTCTTGGACATATTTCTGCAGTAATATATAAAATTTCATTGTACGAACCCACATTCGCTTCATCATGCATGCACTTATCATAAAAACGTTTTCATGACTGTGTACAGGCTGCTTATACAAACTTAAAACTGATATTATAACAAATTTGTGCCAATGCTTCGTAATTATTGGACATCTGCCGCATTCGCAAAATGTTTTATCAAATATATAACGTTCTGAAGTCACGTAAAATAGATCCAAATGAGCACAACTCGTAGAAGACAAACTGCACAACGTAAAAAAAGCAACAAACAACAACACCATACCACGACTTTTCTAGCGTTCCCGTTTAACCACAGTTATATCTTTTTACAGTATCGGAGGTGTAATAAATAATGACAGTACTGTAATAACAAGTTGACAGTTCTGTAATAACACACAAACAACTAGCAACCGTATCACTGAGAACCACTGACAAGTACCTGATATCGGGATACGGAGATCAATTAACATTCACTGTCGTTAATATAAACGGGCAAATTAAATGCTTTCATTTCCTTGGCAGTTCCAGCAAGAGTGCCTGATTAAAATACGATATACTGATAACACCGGGACCCTGTTCCCATGGCTCGCCGTCAACTTGCATCGGCACTTTCCCCCGGCGTAGTGTTAGTTTAATGTTCTTGGCACGACACAATCGATGCGGACTAGATAATCCCACCTGCATTTGTGCGATATGAAAGGAAGAATACAGTGCAAAGACTTCCAGATATCCATCATCTATCACTTGCTCCGCATACAGCGGATCCCCTGCTGCATTGAGATTCCATACATCCACTCCGGCGCCCCAGCTCGGAATATTCAGAAACACCAGTCCCTCAATCACCGGCAACGTTAGCTGCTTTCCATCACATTCCAGTGACACCTTGTCATTCAAATTCAAACAGGCACGCTCCAGCACGTCCATGGTGCCATACGTAAAATACAGAAATTTATTCATATAACGGCTGGCAAAAAAGCGAGGTATTTGCTCGCGTTTCCGGTGGAAGTTCAACGTCACCAATGCGTCAACACCCAGGCTCACGTAATTGTTGAACGTCAAGGTTTTGGCCGGCAACGGAAGTCCGATGCGGGTCGGTCTAACGCATACTGTCCACCGATCCACCATGGCAAATTCCGCTTGTGTTATATTACGGAAGACCTTCTCCATATTCAAGGGAAGCGATACGGCCGAACCCCAACCAAGAACGTTGCTTAAATCGTTGCCTACAAATCCATCAAAGTCAGTGGCACAATTACCAAGTTGGATACGGAGCAGAACACAATGCTTCCATTATATAACACAAAAACAGTTACCGTATTTATGTATATATTTAAATAGGCCGATGGGAAACATCGATCGCGCTGATCAGCGAAACAATTCGGGAATACAGATGCAGAGCATTTGATTTAGTGGGTTAATTAAAGGTAGGTGCAATAAGCGAAAGTTAGCGAATAGTCAGAACGTGTGTAAACACGGTAACACATCAGAAATTCAGAACACTTCTATACACGTCTTAGAACGTGATGGTGTTAGACACAAAGGCGAAAGAAATTCGATTTTCAAAATATATGCTGTAATTGCAGTTACCGTACACGTGTAGTTTCTTATGAACTGCAAATTAATGATATCACTTGCACGAAATATAACACGCCACAATTGAGCAGAGTACGTGCGTCATTCCTTTACCGACAAAAACTTCAATAATCATACAAACAGAGAATCTCCGGCTTCTGCTAAATTTCACCTGTTCCAATCGGGATAATACCAACAGCCGGACGCGGTTTCAACTTCAGTTTATCAATCGTGGTCAAAATCCATCCCACGGTCCCATCGCCGCCACAAATCAGAATACGACAAACGTGATTCGGCAGCAAATTAATCCATTCCAAAACTTCCTCCGGCTTCACCACATTGACATCAATCACCTGTCCCGGATTGAGTACATTGCGAAATGCTCCTAGAATACTGGAACTATCACCCGCCCCACTCTTCCGATTACCGATGACAATTAACGGCATCCAGTGGGCATTCTCTGGAGCGCGCACCGCACTGACCACCGTTTGACGACGCGGACGCAGTCCGACTAGTTTTAACTTGATACAGTTTGGCGGAATAATAAAATCCCGATAGGGACCCAAATCGCAGATATCGTTCAGGAAATCCACACAACGCGTGTGTACGGTAATTTTGCACCAGATGCACCGAAAATCGGTAAGATGATCCTCGATTTCGCATTCGTCGTGGCAAATACCGCAAATCGACGAAGGTGGCAAATTGCCTGGTGAACACAAGAAATAATGCTGTATAACTACGTACCAGATAATTTGCTTTAAGTGTATCAGTACTGAATTCTTGTTGCATTTCAAAAAAATAACAAACAGATTACAACGCTTACTACAGTATAAACAAATTATAGGATCAAATTATTAAATTATCAAAATTATTAAATTATTATCAAATTATTAAATAAAAGTTCCAAGGCAAAAAAATTGTAAAATACTTTATAACCAATATCCAAGGTAATTACCCCAACTAGTTACAATAAAAATTCTGCATAATAACTGAAGCTGTGCTTAACGCTACTCCTAACCTTTAACAAGATGATGCTTCATATCAGGCCCAAAACTGGACATCGCCTTGCACCGAAGACTCCCGTGCGCTAAATGAGCACATTTTCGATGAGTTACAATATCGCAGGCTTCGCAGCGAAAACCTTCTTCCACAATATCTTCGCAAATGTTGCAGAAAGAAGCATGCGCAAAAAGATCAATCAGAACAAAATTGTGTCCTTTGATAAACTCGCGAACTGGTAACAGATGATGGCGGCTCTCCGTGAAACGCTGTCCACGACGCTTAACGAAAAGGTACACACCAGCTGCAAGCAGCGCGTAGATCCCCAGCTCCAAGGGATCAAAGTGGCCGGTCCAAAAACTAACAGCAGTGGTGTTTCCTCCAGATGGGAAACTCATCCTGGATGCATTAACATGCGCTCTTCGTCAAAAAAGCATCCGTTGTACTATCCACTTACCCCAAGGGAAACCGGGGAGGGCTGAACAAGTTACAAGTTACAGGAAAAAAGGCTCTCATATTAATTATTATCGTTATTATGCTACAGGTCTTCTACAGTTCACAAACCGCCAGCACTTCAAATCCCTCAGCAAAAAGTAGCACGCTTTCCGAAAAAGCAGAAATACATGGGAGCTGATGGTTCATGACAATATTATTTGACTTTTAAAAATTATTAAAAATAAGAATTGGTGAAAAATCGTTGCTGTTACTAGTACTGGAAGTTTGGTACTTCGTACTCGATGCTGCTACTTCGCTAGCTCCACGACTTATGAGTCAGATCAATAACCGCCGCTCTGGGTGGTTGGATGGTCAATGTTGACGAAATCGCGGAAATCATACTCGTACCGTATTATCAGATCGTAGTTTATTTTGAGTAAGTAGATTGTTAGAAGTTTACTGTAAACAGTAAACTGTACAGTAAACTGTTTACAACTAACTTCTGAAGTTTCACAGGTTTTTCCAGTTTTCCACTTTAGTCTCTACTTCTCGGTAGTGCACTGTTTTTGCAACTGGCATTTCAACAATCAGCAGTTCCTTTACCCTCCAGTTCACTGTTAAAGCCAAACCAACTCCCTGCCGAAGGGTAAAAGGAATCGTGGGCATTATTTTGCACTCGAATACGAACATCCAAGAATGTCCGGAATGCGACCCGTGCAATCAACTCCTGCTGCAATATCGAAAAACATGAGCACGCAGGTCTTCAGCGAATCAGCGAAAAAACAGAAAGGAAAGGCCTCAAAGCTTCTGCTGGATGGCATTGATTTGTTGCAAGCAAAATGGTCAGTACTTTGTCGCTCCACGCGAGCTTTGAATATCACATATTTTAACCAGTTTATTGTTTCTGTCTTATGTCAACAGGCCGGTGATTCCTCGAGAAAACCAAGAAAAGATCTTTTCGTACCTAATAAAGTAAGTTGAAGCAAGTAGATTTTTTCCGTATTATCAGAACTAACAGAAAGGCTTTTCAGCTAAACGGTTGGTGTAAAGTATAGACTCAGTGTAGAGTGTGGACCAACAAAATGAAATATTTGTAAGTCTCCGAAATCTCGAAACTAATTAGAACGGTTTTAATTTCTTTTTGTTGCAGCTTTTTTGAAACCGTAAATTTTCGTCTTTTAACTGTCAAAGAGCAGAAGCAGCTGAAGAAGGCAGAATCGGAAAAAACAATGGGGGAATCAGCTAAAGCACTTAAAGACCGTCAACACGCTGTAAGGTAGGTATACGGTATTTTTCTGAATTCTCAGAAAATGTGTTGCGAGATTTTAAAGATTTTATTATAAAAAAATCTTCGCGTTCGCTTGTGTTGTGCGTATTATGCAAGTATTTTATGGTTGCGGAAAGTCATTTTTTCCAGAGAGATTAAAAAGGATGTCGTTTTTGGAATCAATGAAATAACGAAGGGCCTGGAGCGGAACGCACTGTCAGTGGTGATTGTCGATCGTTCGGCGAAGCCATACTCGTTTATTTCCCACATTCCAGCGTTAGCAGCGTCCACTGAAATCCCTGCTGCAGCTTTGGAAAATCTTGCTATTACATTAGCGCCGAAAATTGGAATAACCTCCGTGATCGCGTTCGCGTTTAAGGTGAATTCTAATTCTGTTCTCTAAATGGAATTTAATGGCATTTGCATTTCTTTGTTTAGAAAAATTTGAAATCCAGCAGTGCAGAGGACGTCGTGCAGAAATTATTGCCACTTATACCGAAAATATTAGCACCTGGAAATCAGAAAAAAGTCTCCCCCCTTTCAGACGATGCGGAAATGGAAGAATTACAACCTTCCATCAAATCAGAAGTTAGCGCACCGGAAGTTCGGACAGCTCCTTTAGACAAATCCTTGTATTCACCACTACAAATCAAGACAGTCGTGAAGAACGAAAATCGGGTGACGGGAAATTCTGGAAAAAAAAACAAGAAGGCTGGTCGCGGTGGGATTCTAATTTCGTCTGCAAAGCGCAAACAACCAGATGCCTAGTTTCAAATTTAATCTTTTTTGAGTATTATATCCTGCATCAGACAAATGCATCTTGAAAGCGGTAAACTTTTTGGCACAATATACAGTTTGGCAAACAAAACAAAATTCCGTTAAAAGTTTAAAATAAGACTAAACAAGATTTAGGACCAGGAACAATTAGGATGCGAAACTGCCGAATGATACAAGGACACCGATTTGAAAAAGTATCATTGTCATAACAAATCATTCGGGAGTTGCAAAGGTCGTATCGGTTCAGACGATTTCGCCAGTTCTTTCTTGAAATACTGCACAGTCTTTGAAAGCCCATCTTTAAGTGACACCTGAAGAAATGTTACAACATCAAAAATCTTTTCTAATATTCCGACTAATACGAATTCCTACTTTTGGTTCCCAACCGAGTAGATTCTTAGCGAGAGTAATATCCGGTTTCCGCCGGCGCGGATCATCAATCATCGCTGGCTTGTTAATAATCTCACTCTTTCCATCCACTGCATTATTAATCATCACCGCAAATTCCTTTACACTGTGTTCTTCGGGATTACCCAGATTAACGGGCAGGCTGTAATTTGCGGCCATTAATAAAATCATCCCCTCCACTAGATCCGATACATACTGGAAAGAGCGTGTCTGTTCCCCGCTGCCATACACCTTCAAAATTGGACAACATATTATCAAATAGTACAAATACATATTTTTCTTATACATGTTCATACATGCTTATACATTTACTGTGTACTAACCATGAAAAAGCAATACAGCATCCAACCTCACAAAAACAAATTAGAAAAAGATTTTCTTAAAGCTAGTTATGTTAATTTTAATACAGACGCATGCTGATGACTTTAACGGATGCTTTATACTTTAAAATCTGCACTTACCGTAATTGGTTCATTCTGCAAAGCCTGCAAGATGAAATTGCTAACCACTCGCCCATCATTCATATGCATCCGCGGGCCAAAAGTGTTGAAAATTCGCGCCACTGCTACCGAAACGCGTTCCTGCTTCTGGTAGGCATAACACAGCGTCTCCGCCACTCTTTTGCCCTCATCGTAGCACGACCGCGGTCCGATGGGATTGACATGTCCCCAGTACGATTCCGGTTGTGGATGGACTTCCGGATCGCCATATACTTCACTGGTGGAGGCAAGCAGCAGCTTAGCACGATTGCGTTTGGCCAAGCCCAACATATTGACTGTTCCGACGGTGTTGGTCTTTATTGTCTTGACGGGATTGTACATATAATGGGGTGGTGATGCCGGCGAGGCCAAGTGGTAAATTTCGTCAACTACTCAGAAAAATTATGCCACAAAAACATTCAAGCAAAATATTATAAAACATTATCATTCACCTTCAATGAACAAAGGATTAACAATGTCATGATGGATCAATTCAAAATTTTCGTGTCCAATCCAGTGCTCGACGTTTCGCTTACGACCGGTAAAATAATTATCCACCACAATCACTTCATGGCCTTCAAGCATTAGTCGATCAACAAGATGAGACCCAACAAAACCTGCGCCTCCGGTAACCTGGATAACGGAGTTAACACAATACCTCACACTAACTCCCACATTGACATTCCCATGAGAATTCCTAACCAGCATATCACCACCTAATTAAACTGATAGCAACTATTGTACAAGTACTTACTTGTATCTATGGACTACAGGTATATAATCATGTAAAAAATTAAGCAGCATTTTGCGATACAGTTACCGAAGTCACACATACCAAAATCCTTCTTCGGTCTTTGTAGTTAAGATTTCTCACTTCAGGATAGACTTTATGCCTGCAATATTAAGAAGATGCAGTTGGATGCACAAGTGCCAGAACCGAAATATGCTGCGAAATTAACATGATAAAACAATTTTAACTACAGTAATAAGCGATCTGACCGCTCACGGGATTCTCACCAATGCGTTAGTTAAACAGAGCTCTAAGAAGTCTAAATTTTGATCGTTTAAGTGATTAAGTTGCACCGAAATTAAACCACCGATCAGCACAAAAACGAAAAGGCTGGTAAAAAGTTATAATTTACAAAATTATCGCAATCAGTAATAAATTTTTATAATTTAAACACTAACTGTTAACTGTCAACATCTAAAATTATACGCTATATCAACAGTTAACAGTGTCAACACATACTTGTGGCTCAGAATCTCCAGATGCTTTTCCAGAGCATCCAAGCGTGCATAAATACTTCTGAAAGGATATAAAAGCAAAGCGGATGGAGTATGATCACAAATCAAAACGAATTCAAAACTGAAGATATCCCTGGCGAAGATACAGGCTGCTTAGGTGAACTCACATGTCTCCCGTATGGTTGGCACTCTGAGACCACACATGCCAAGATAATCCTGCAATCACGAATTAACCCATTATGGGAAGCTCCAAAACAGCCACTTGAAGCTCATTGATGCTTTACCTAAAGCAATCAACAGGACGACGAGAACAAGCCGCAGGATCATATTTTTTCGGAAACGGTCCGCAAGATACCGCGGCAAACTTCTCAAAGATTTTCTGCTTTCCAGCATGTCATGACTCTGTGCAGGATAGACTGTGACGAATAATTAGATGCATTGCAGCATTAAACGAGCCGGATAACATAAAAACAGAACAAACAAAATTACAGAAACGAGGAAGTACCGGTACATACAAACTAATCCAGTTCAGTTATTACTTCAGTACTTGTCCCGTTACAGGCAGTACAAAAAAGTGAAAAAACGTAAAAACATCCACCGGAAGCTTCACTTTTAATAGCCTATTTCAGATTGCATACGGTAGAGGCTCCGTACATAGAATCGCACGGCGTCAGATAAGCAGTACGTTGGCAGGATGAAAACTGCTTCAGATCTTTGTGCGGTTACACTTTGGTCACGTACAGAGTACAGCAACGAAAAAATTAATCGAGTCGAGTGCGCGCGAGGACGTGACCACCCTGCTAACGGTCGGCGGTCTGAGTGCTCAAAAAAGATCCACGGGTAGCATACGCTGGCCTACCATTCACTCATGTGTTTGAGCCGTTGCAAGCATCCGCGTAAGGCAGATAGTTTTTACGCGTCACCGCACGACGCTAGGTTACAGCTGCTAACGTCGCGAACGGACGTAAAACAACCCGCAACCGAAGGTTCCATATGGAACCGGAGCCGAATGGAGCACAAACCGTGCAATCTGAAATAGGCTAATACCGCACAACGGGCCTGGTGCTTATGGCGGGCACCCGCCTTCGCGAGTGTGATAAGGCGGTTGTCAACAATCAGGCGGGCGTCGGTGGCGGGTATTGCAGAAATGCATTTGCAAAGTGCACTTTCCCACTAGCTGCGCATCCAAGCTGCTAGTGCGAGTCATACAATACTTGCTTACGCTACTCCACGCTTTATGATTATTGATACTTACCTTTAAAACCATCTTTTGTCTACAAAAAAGACTTACGCAGATCTTTCTAAATTGATTTGTTGGGCTTCTTAGTTATGATACAAAGATGCGTAATGCAGGATAAATGTCCCAGTGTCCCGTTAATTTATTAGCGGACTTATTTTACTGGTTTCCAGGACTCACTTAACCTGCCAGGTATTTTCTTAAACCACTAAAGAGAATTGGTTTTTTTAATACAAAGATACAAAGGTAAAAGGCACAGACGCAAAATATATATTTTATTTTGCTTATGAAATTATATAATGATATATATATATATATATATGTTATTATATATGTTATTTTATATATTTTGCTTATAAAGGGAATGCGTAGAGGCGACGACAGCTATGAAATTAGGACAAGCAGTTCAATGCAACTAAACCGAAAAAGAGGCACTTTGAAACGCAAAATTAATTTTGCTTCAGCCCTAAAATGGTTTCAAACTGAATTGTTTACTTGCGGAAGCTAAAAGTAACAGCATTTTTGGACGTCAGAGGAAATCCTGTATACTGCAACGAAATAGGCTGCAACCTAAATTCAAAGGAGCGTTCCGGGAAACGCTGGATTTAGGCAAGCAACTTAGGCCACAGCCTAAATCTGGTAACCGCAGTTTTTTAACAAAGAATGCATACCAAATAAACCTTTCCAATTTTTTTCTTTAACGTGAAGATCAAAACAGGTGGGAGAATGTTCTGTGATAAAGTGAATGAAGGTAAAAAACACTTAGGCTGTAACCTTAATTAATAGGAAAATTTGAAAAACTGTAGCAGTAAAAATAAAAGAGTTAGATGAATCGCGTTTTGCTCAATATTTCTATGTGATGTGATACAGGTTGAAACCTCTTTTTATTTATTGTTGAAAACCATTATGCGATTGAAACCAGATTGTATGGGACTTTTTATCTAAAGCAATAACGGTTTATATATATGTAAACAGTTAGTAAACCGAATTCTGTTTTCTGTTTGTTGGTCCATGACTGGTAACCTGACTGTCCCACAAATTTTAACGGTACGGCTAGCAGACTTACCGTAAAATTTTTCATTAGCAATAAAATATCATAATTATTAGAGTTATAGTTGCTTCATTTCCCGGCATCAGGGTATGCACGAGACTCTTTGAGAATACGGTCAACGGTGTCTTGAGCATCTAAATGCATTATACCTGCTAAATTGCCAACACTGACAATATCGTTCTGTACGTTTTGCGGCTAATTTGCGGGTCTACTGTTATTTTATATTTGGTCACCTTTTTCTGGTCTACGTTACTTGATATTCAATATTCTTGCCGTTAATTTTCTTACAACTGTTATTTTAGCTTGTTTGGTACTTTGGAGTAGATAACCATAAACATCTGCTTGAAAAAAGGGGATGGTGTCAGGATGCGTTGGTTTTTGTATTAAACTTTAAAAAAAACTTGTTCGAAATCCTGAAGGTGTCAAAGCGATCCACGTATATAGCGTTACATCCTCTTCTGTTTTCAGTTGGTCGCATGATTGAACCTGTTGCCTACTTGCATAACAGTCAAAACAAACAAAAAGACTACAAACCGTTCGTTTCTTTGACTTACAGTTGTAAAAAAACGAGTTCAGCCACGAAAAACAAAGGCAAATACACAAAAGCAAAAGTGCACTACCGATTAGGCAAGTGCAGTGCAATTGGTGCCTCGGTGCAATGTGCAATTCGGCAATGCCCGCCACTGATATTGATACAGTACCCGCCTTATTGCACCCGCCAAGGCGGGTGCCCGCCATAAGCACCTGGCCGCACAACGGGCACAACGTACGCGTTCGCACAACACGTGCCGTAAGGCACGTAACGTATCCAATCTTCCAAGAACCAGGCCGCGGCCGCACAGGGCGTACGTACATACACGCGTGCTGCATACGTGCCGTAAGCACGGAGAGTGCAGAAAGATGCTGTGCAGAAAGGTTTTAGTTTTGAAACAGATCACAGAACTTCCAAAAATCATCCATTTGATTTACTTAGAGTTTTGTGTGAAAATTTTGTCACACAAGTCTCAACACTGTCTTGAATTTGGGAACTGGAGTTGTTATCTTTCAGTATTGTGGTCTAGCATATTACTAGTAAATTTTTAATTCATCTGTCTCACAATGACTACCGCGGCTCGTCCTACGTTCAATCCAGCTGTGGGGGGCTCACAACGAAATGAAGGTGCTTTGGCATATCAGTCGCAGCAGTATAGCTCTCAGGACCTTCCTGGCCATAAGAAACTGAAACACAGGTAAATATCCTGTTGCTACTTGCTTGTTATCTGGACCTTCAGTTATCCTGTTTCTTTCGCCATTCAGACAGCCAGGCCAAGGGACAGTTGATGACGTTCGCAATCGCGATTTTCGCACAGAACTCGAGCAACGCGAGTACAGACACAAATCGTCCAAGCGAGGAGCCATTGATGGTAAAACACTAAAACCGTAACATTTATGACTTACGTCGTGCGATTTATGTTTTTGAAAATGAAAAGAATTAAAAGTAAATAGCTTTTCGTGTACTTGTTTGTCCGTGTTTTTTGGTAATGCCATTGTCATGAACCTGTGCACAAAGAAAGCCGTGTTATTTTTCAGCTACAGCACAAATTCTAACATGGCATACAGTTTTTCTACGATGCAGGTGTGATTAAGAATTAAAAGAATTATGATTTTGCTTTTTGGAGTGTGTAATAGCCATAACGAACATAAGTTATTAGTACCGAGTATCGGGGACTACAGATATTTCATATTACTACAAGTACATACAGTTATGATCTATTTGCCCCATAAGCACTTACATGGTTGCAGATGGAGCATATTCCTCAGCCCAGAGCAGTTCGGGCAGTGCCAAGAAGGCCCGAGTGGAAGCCATTACCCCTGGAAATCTTGATGCTGATGAACCTTTAGATGACTCAGACAAAGACACCAGCGACGAGGAAGATGAAGACGATACTGCCGAACTCATGGCGGAATTGAATCGTATTAAGAAAGAAAGGGAAGCAGAACAGGTACGAGTAGGCTTTCCAAGTCGTCCATGTATCGCGCAGCCGTAGTGGTCACAATTGGGGTTTGTTTTGTGTCTTGCGAAATGCATTTACGGCTAGTAAAACTATGCTGCAGTCAAGCATGTTGAGTAATTTTGGACATGGATCCGTTTAATGCATAAAAATGCGAGCTGCAAAATCATTTTACGGCCACGTTTCAAGCCATTTCAAAAAAATCCAAAATCAGATGTTTTCCAGCTTCACTGTATTATATTATTCAGTTAGGTAACCTTTTTCCATTGATTTTTTCAGGTCAAAAAGGATGAATCAAGAAAAGTGGAAGAAGAGCGTATACGCATGGAGAATCTACTACATGGCAACCCTTTACTTACCAAGAAGGGCGGCGATTTCACTGTGAAAAGAAGATGGGATGATGATGTAGTATTCAAAAATTGTGCAAAAGGTCAGGACGAAAGGAACAAACAGAAAAATTTCATCAATGATTCTCTACGATCCGAATTCCACAAGAAGTTCATGGATAAATACATAAAATAATGGCCTATTATTTCGGCATTACGTTATTTCTCGTTAGGTAAAGGTGAACGCTGAACAGTTGGATGCTGGAAGAGCTTCAGTTTTACCTCGATTTTGCTTTTATTTCAAGATGTACATGTTCAACATTTTCTCTTCTAGGATTTTCTTGATGTTTACAAAGCATTCTCTCCGGGCATAAAAAAGATCACTATAATTCCAAAGATTCGAGAATAGCAGAGATACCAATCAATAAAAAAGTGAAAAGATTCCCTGAAAACATTTGTAAAATAGAAAACCATTAAAAACTAAAACCTATGAGCTAATAAATCACCGGAAAACTGACTTCGTTGTATGTTATTCCAGTTCACTGTACAAGACCACTAGGTAAACAGGCGCACCGGTTTATTTCGAAGTACCGGGTTCGTCAGGTTCGGTATTCTTTAGGATGTTGGTATCAGTCATCTTTTGCAAATGATCCAGGAAAAGTTCGTTGGCAGTTATATGGGCAAAATCAGCCGATTCAAGGCTGCTCACGGATTCGGAATTATGGTTCTCCCAACCAGGAGAGACAGGAAGATCTTCGCTTTCAGATTGCTTACGTTCTTGCAGATCCTGCAGAGAGAGTTGAATGGCTAAATTGAGATCATATTCCTCCGCTTCTCGAACACCAGGAACTTCTGCAGACAACAACGAGTTAACTTTGGCAATAAACCACGCTTCAAACAGGCAAATAAAATTGTTTTCTGCCTCCTACGGCGTAGCATTAAATAACAAACAAAACAATCATTCACGCTCATTTTCCAACCGAAAAATGTGACACTCATAAGAAATACTTTATCCGTTATCGAACAAACTCGAAATCATGCCATAACCCATAAGGAAAAGTCGCGGATGAACAAAAGATGGACATGCACCGGGTAATGATTATTGTAACTGGTACAACCTGAAGTTGATTTCAGTACATACCCGCGGCAAAAGCAGAATGCCGACGAGATGCAGTACCAATGGAAGACTCGGAAGAAAAGGATGAAGTACGGTTTTCCAGATCGCGCTGCATCTGCAAACGCGATAATTCCATAGCGATGATCATATCCAGCTTGTGTGATGCTCTTGAACCAGATGTGGTAGGCTGGTCTGAAAGCACAGAGAACTTACTTGAACGATAAACCAATCCATCCCAAACAGCACATGTGATAAACGATAAACCAAACGTGTAAATTATCGAATACGAGTATACGACCAATCGGCGAAAACTTACAAATAACTTGTTAATAATTAACGTCCGGCAACTACAGAAACAATTTTGTTATCAGTCTTACCATCTTCAACGCTTTCTTTGGCATCATCTTCATGCAATCGCTTACAACGGAGTGTACAGTGTCGGTGATAAATTCCTGTGCGAGGATTTTTTGCACATGGCCGGGAACATCCCGGCCTGCTACACGGATTAAGACCTATTCACCAAAACAAGTAATCATAAAATCGCTGGAATGGCAACATTTGGAATGAGTACTCAGAAGCATACTTATTCCAGAGGAAGAGAGCAACATTCCCACATCCTCGTCACTATCGTCAAATTCCGGCCAGTCATACAGCGCAGCTAGATTTGCATGACGCCCGCGCTTATCAACAACCCATGGATTCTGTGGATCGAGATCCGCCAATGAAACAGCAATGGCAGCTCCCATATCTTCTTGTAAAACCTTGAGAAAACCATACACCATCGGTTAGATTAGATTTAGATGTACCATACTTCGTTTTACACGAACCACATCGTCGAAATCCATCCCAAACAGTCCTGGTATGCGTCGCTTCCTCTTCTTCCTTACACTAGGCGGTGTTTCTGGTATAATTAACCTGCGAATAATGTTTAATTTAAGACTGCAGCATAATGTCAACAAAAACTACAAAGTAAATGGACATTAACACAAGTTGATGAGCTCATTACACTAAAATCGGTCCTTTTCATGCAATTAAACGGAAATCTGCACAGAAGGACCAATTTGCGCGACAAAGATAACAAGAACCAATACTGCACCATAAAAATTTGTACCGAAACGATTAAAGGGTTAAACGGTAAATGAAATTGAACGTTTGAAATTCTAACTGCTTAACAGACAGCAAAGTCACCTACCCTTTATTAACCGCTACAACAAATTCCTGACGGCGGCGTCTGATGAGTCGCGTAGCATTAACCATATCATCTCTGCAGTGTCGTAAAAAGCGGGTAGAAAACATAGAATCCATAAGTTCGGTAGCATTTTCCAGCTCAGTTTGCATATATTCGAAAAGAATGCGATGATCCTCCAAATAATACGCGTACACGTACGATCCTTTCAAAACTTTTCGCGCTTTCAGCAGTTCATGGGCAGCTTCCCGAAGATAAGAGAACTGCTCCGCGGAAACATTCATGTAGGTGGACAATCGACAGATCTTCATGTCCACATTGTCAATGAATGGTTGGGCATTCTAAAAACACTCTCTGGTTACAAGGAAAATTTAAATACATAATAATTATATAATCTCTATAAAGAGATATACTTGTATAGATGTACTGAACAGGCGCGAACTGTAACAAGTTCGGACAAACAAACAAAGTTAGCAACGGTTCGGACAAACAAACGCAGTTCACAGTCACAAGAAATTCTAGCATTATTTACGATTCTTCCATTTATTCTGTACAGGGAAAAGCTTAGCAAGCAACTTTCATATGCGCACAAACAGAAATTTATACTGACACCCGATATTTTATTCAAATGACCTTAAGTGCTGCCCCGTGAGCCTTATATTTGCCGTAGAAATGCACAAAGCGATTGAGTTCGTTGATCCGTCGATTTTTCTCCTCCGCCGCACTGATTAGCTTGCCAGCTTCGTCCTGTGCTTTATGTACCGCATCGGCGCGTGTGCACCGGAAGTATCCCCCCGTTGCCGTGCTGTGTTTTTTCCATGCATCCCCACAAATCCAGCAGAAATCATGTTTACATTTGCAGCATTTCATGTGATTGCAGCCATCAGTTTTCTGGATAGGAGATTTACAACTCGGGCATGGCTTGGAATTCGTAACAAGCCAGAGGTTATTTGCGGCTTCTTCCAGTGCTTCGTGTGTTCCACGAACTGCAAACGTTCAAAGTTAGGGACTGAAATGTAGTCATCCTAAATAACTGTAAGAAATAAAAATGTTACCGTAGGTAAACAACCCAATAAACTAACTAGCAAAGATTTAAGAAATCGAAAGGCTCAAAATAAATCTGAACTCGAAAGATAAAGAGATCAGCAACTGGATAATGTACATCCAGTTCTGATTTTAAGCGCAATTCTGGAATGTCTCAAACAAGAAATCGGTATAAGTTGATAGTCGTGCTGAATATAAATTACTTTCTTCCGGGCGGACGTCAATGATTCGCTGATGCCATTCGGTCCATTTATCACAACTGGACGGCTCATGAGCTTCTCCCGAGCACTCCCAACAAAAGTAGTGTCCGTTACCGCAGTCGACGGCGTGGGACGTCGCTAAGGGTGGCTTCATGTGGGGAATATCGAGTGACAAGGGCGCCGGTAGTTCTGGTCGGCACACAGCACGCCCGCATCCGGCAAAGGGGCACCACTTCATGTTTGGGTTACTTTCCACAAAGGCCTGCTTGCACAAGAGATGAATAGATCACTACGCTGTAGACACACAATGTCAGCAGCGGGTAAACATACTTCAATGTCAAACTGCAGATATTTTCGCGCGACTTCACGTGACACCAGACCTTCAACAACATCGCAAGGAACGAGTACCGAGCAGCTGGAATCAGGGCACACGATCGGGTAGATGTTGCCATTGTGTATCTTAATTGTCAAATATCTAAAATGCGAATACAACGGTTGCTACACATTTTTCATTAAGTTCATTCTAATACTTTTTTACCATTTATTGTTACTGCATCTGCCCACAGATAATATGCGTAGTAACTTGGCTGCTTACTATACCGTTCACCGACATAGTAAGTAAGTAAGTAAGTAAAAGAAAGTAAGGAAGTAAGTTAGGAAGTAAGTAAGGAAGTAAGTAAGGAAATAAGTTAGTAAGGAATAATAGTAATAGTAATAGTTAGTAAGGAAGTAAGTTCCTAATAGCCTATTCTAGTAGTACTAATCTACCTAACAAACTAAAATTTAGCAACGTAAAAACGATTACTGTACAGTGCAGAGCGCTAACGAGCCCCCATCAACTGCAATTTGACATCATTACATAACAGTTAATCAGGGATTGTGGAAGTTGATTTAAAAAAAAATAACAGGCACCTAACCGGTTTCCGAATGTTCGTTCAAACTACAGTACTCTGTAACTGCCGGCCTGTTATTCAACATTACAATACGTACATAATTAGTGAGCATGTGAAATCAAGAAGTGGATTGAACAGGTTGCACATAAAGTACGCGTTCTGCCGTATCGTTGGTAGAAAACTTCCGGCTCATGCAAACCGCGATTCTGTTAAGGAGTTTCGCTAACGGCTTGGTAAAAGTTAAGCACGGATGATTAGGACTTACTGCTGCCAGCAATTCCGACAGAAATCGTGTTCGCACGCTAAATAGACTGGTTCTTCTTCACAAGGCATATCCTCCGCACATATCGGGCACTGAAAATGACATCATAATCAATATCTGATGCATTTCGGCTCTAATCTCAATCTATCACATCCCAAATGGTCAAGAGCACTAATAAATGTTTATGTTGTCATCTAACCATTGAGTCCGCTTTACGCTGCAATGTCCGTTTGGGACTGCCCAATTCTAAATCCTCCGGTTTATAGCAGCCATGTTTACGCCTCTTAGCAAAACTCTCGGGCAGTTTCACTCCGGCATTTTTGCAGCACTGAGCTGGGTTTTCGAACCAAGAATCCAACAATGCTTGTCTTGACCACGCTATAACACAACGATTTCATGAGTTACATAAGGAATAGCATTATCTGCAAGTCTGCAAGGTTTGCAGAAATGTTAATTTCACAACAAACTGAAATAAACCCATACCAAAATTTCGTAATAACGCTTCTGCAGTAAAAAGAGGCACATGTAGCATGTCCGAAGTTTCGACAACTAGCTGATCTTTTTTCCGTTGCAGATCTTGTATCCTCAATCCATCAAAACTCTGCAAAACCATATCCTAACATACTGCGGCCGTTATCGGTCTATAGTCTATACGGTGAAGCTACCATTTTCAGCCTTATATTAAATTTGTGGCACTGTTGTTAGTTTTTTCTAATGTGAGAACAGACTATGAAAATTTGATACAGTATCCTTTTTAAACTAACTGTCAAATACGTTTACAACAAGTACAGTATCTGCATATATACACTGCCACGCAAAATTAAGATGTGTCGGTGGCATTGTATTACTTAATGTATTTGCATTGTATTAATTAATGTAATTAATGTATTCCGATGCGTAAATGCGCTCTGAAGAGAACAGATTATGATTTCCTTGTGTACGAGTATATCCTTTGTTGTTTTGTCACTGATGTGGTTTTTACAAAAAATAAAAGTGCTGCTGATGGTAAACCATGCAACATTGTTAGAAATTTGTGCCCATCATCCTTAATTACCTCAGTGTGTCCTATGGTCCAGTCTTCGCTCTCGTCATCGAACTCTTTCCCATGGTTTGAACTTGCATGAAAAACTGTTTTACTCTCCAAATATTCAGCTACACGCTCATGCCCAAAATCGCAGGCTAGGTCGACCGGCGTTTTGCCGGATCCATTTCTTACAAATAAAGGTTCTAGAGCCTTTTCCACAATTTCCTAGAAAACATACTATCTAGTTATCTGTATCAACACAAAAAAAGTTTAAATATCGAAAACAATCACGGACTAAAATACCTCACAAATTTCCAGAAATCCATGGGCTGCCGCCAGATGTAACGGAGTGTTTCCATGCTGAGAAATAAGCATAAGTGCATTATGAGAAATAAATAAAAGGACATGATTGTATCACTTATTTGTAATTATTATCCAAAAAATGTATACTGTAATGAAAATCGTTTGCTGACATGCCTAATTGCAAAACATTAACGTAAGATAAACAACGTCATCTATGGTTTAAAACCACTGCATATTGATATAAGAACCGATATAAACCAAATCTGCATTTCGAACAAAATTCCCTTCGAATGCCATAAATAAGATCTCTACTCGGCGGCATCCGCACAAAAAATAGCCTCACCATATCCAGCATCATGTACACTTCTTTCAATAAGAGCGGAGCATTCTCCGTGTCCTTATATTCCAAAATTAGCTTCAGGCATTTATGTTTCCGGTCGCCGTGATACTGAGGGAGATCCTTTAGGTAAATGGAAAAGGGAAGACGACACACACAATGGACGGCAGTCTCCTGAGCACTGTTTCTTTTTGTGATATCGACGCTGTAATCCGTTAAAAATGTCCTAGAAGAAACAGACATCTTAAAACTTGCCAGCAGATGGTACGAAAAAAACACACATACGTTCGGTAACATAAAAACACACATAAGTTCGGTAATTACCACATTTAGAAATTAACGTCACAAATGGAACAAAACCACACGGTAAATTAAAATTATTACATTACTATTATTTGATTATTGCAACTTTGCTGTCTTTACAAGTTTTTTGTACGATGAAACAATTATAGTTTATACCTGATCAGAGTCTCCATCCCGTGAATGCAGGCCAACTGAAACGGTGTGTTCCCTTCGTTCTTTATATAAACAATTTCGATGTCCAGCTGTTTTCGGAGATCATCCCGATTTTTCAGTAGCTCCAGAGCGCCAGCCTCGTCGCCGTGCGCGAGATGTCTTCGCAGTTTGCTCTTGTGATTTCCCATTTTGAAAGGTCCAGGAATTCTGTTCACCTTAACATGGTGACACACAACGTACATAAAACCATCAAACAATTGGTAGCAGCTACGTTACAAAACCAGTCGCATTCTCGCAAAGGAAAAAACGAAACAAGCAAGGTTAATGCGATGGAACATTTTAAAAATCAAGAAAAACTCGTACGTAGAACTGCCATATTCGTAACTGCGACTCAGCGACTGACGACAACATTTGTTTTTGTTTGCAATCCATCAGAATGATCAGATTGCTCGGTAAATGCGTGACTCCAAACCCCAAATCGGTCGGTTCATTGCGGGACTGGCCTGATCGCAAACCATTAAAGAGCCGAATGTCCAGGAGTTCAGCGTGTGTGTACTTACATAGTTATGACTGATGCGAGATATGACGTATATTGTAAAGCACAGTAGCACTTTCTAATAAAAAAAAGTGAATTGAAAAGTTGCTTTATCCGTCCCTCGAAAAATTTTCCAAATTTTCTGTTTCTTGGTTGCGGGCTTGAAATGCCAGAACAGGCAACTTGCTTTTGTTTTTGCTTGTCGTTTTAAAAAAATCTATCCCCGCAGCAGGTGTGATGTGCGCACACCGCACGGTAGTCAGCAGAAAAAATACCGCGCGCGGTACGTCAATCTACTTCTTAAAATAATACTGTACAGTAAATTTACAAAAGCAAAGCAACTAATTAAGTTAAAAATAGGAGGTTTGTTATAAAATCAGTTGATGTAAGTTATCAGCTATAAGCAAATATTAGTGCAGTGTTACTGCCAGATTGTTTGCATAGATTTAGATTAACCGGGAGCAGATAAGTAAGACAAATTAGAACGAAATATTGCTGTATCACAACACCCATTTTGACATCTTACAACATGTAGGCAAGATTATAACTAACCGTAAGAACAAACTCTAATGACAAGCGATCCAATGACATACTTTCGCTTTAGTTATCTAATCATTTAGGGACAGCGAGTAAAGTAGTAGCGAGCCTAGTTAATTAATCTTATCAAAGATTTCGTAATTATTGTCAGTAAATCAGCGACAAACATGCATCGCCTTCGTAGGCACCATTTCTCTATATCAGCGCTTAAAAAGGTTCAATTTATGTTTTATTTATGTTACTTGCCGCTTTATTTAGTGGTGACCGCATACATAATTATTGCATTTGTTCAGATCTAGCAGCTGGTTATAAGCCATCAGGACATCTTTTCGCTGTAGTCATGAATAATTTTTAACTCTCTCTTATTGTTTCTGTGTATCAAGGTTTTCTTGCGTTTTGTTATTAAGATTTTTCATTGGCAAAATGACCAGATTTAGTGAAGCCACTGTGTACTGCGTAATACTGCCGGCTTTGCTCTTAGCGCAGTGTTGTAAGTGTTTTACATTTATAATTGGGCTACTATTTCAGTTTTTATTATTAGTGCACTGTATCGTAACGACCAGTAAATTGGAATTGACATAAATTTATTTTGTATTCTATAAATGATAGCGGTTATAGCATCTACCTGCAGAGTTGTGCCGCATAAGTTTTACAGTTGTTATCAAATTGAAATACGTAATACCGACATTTGTGGGACATAACTCTGTACCTATATTCCGCATATTCCGCCTGGACACAGTCGATCGGCACCACCCTCGGTGCACTCGTTGATATCTGCATATGTATAAAATGCCTGTGCTAATATTAATGCTGTGCTTAACAGCGATACAAAAACATTACTTACCGTAGCAATTTACTATCTGTATTGTTGATCTAGGTCTCATCCAAGGACAAAATTTTACCGGTAGGAAAATCCAGCATTGCCAATTGGTGCATGAAAATCAACTTTTAAGTTTAGGCAAATGCTTCGTACGCGCATTTAATTTTTTATAACAACTGCTACGGGCATTTGTTCTGATTATTGCTCGGCGGAGGTGCACTGCAGTCAGCAGTGGAACTGTAAAATTATTACATACTGTGAAATTTTTGCATTTGCCAATTCCACCTTTGCGCTACTCGTAGTTAACAAGAAGTATGTGACGCGAAACAAAGCAGGAGCATTCTCACCGCATTTGCAAGTTAGGGCGTATTGCGGACGTAGAGGAAGAAAAAGTAAGATGCGAATTGTGTTTTTGCAGAGCTGTGTAAGTCGCGTGTTCCCCTATCCAATACCGGTGGCACCTGGAATTTCCTGGAGGATATCGGAGAATGCATTTTTATTGCCAGTGCCTCCAGTACATGGGAAAACGCCGAACTGGAATGTCTGCGGCGTGGAGCCCATTTGGCCGTGCTTAATCCCAGCAATACTCCTGCTCTCAATGCCTTGATCAACTCGGTCGCACCCGGTTCATCGGTTCCCTACTACATCGGTCTACGTGTATCTGACCTTAACTTGGGCGAGTACACTTGGGTGGATTTTTCCCCATTAACCTATTCCAACTGGGCGCCGAATCAGCCGTCCAGCATAAGCGATCACAATACCGATTACTGCGTCACGATGGACTCTACGAGCGGTAAATGGTCCGACCGGATCTGTTCCTCGAATACCCGCTATTTCTGCCAACGCAAGCCGTATGATGATCACGGTGTCCCGTCAATACCGACACGTGATCCCCTGGGGAGACATGGCGGCTGCAAAGAAGGATGGGTTTCATTTGGTGAGTTTACAAAAATTAATCAAGCTTAAATGAAAACGTACACTTATGTGCTGGTGCTACGTAATAAATTTAGGACCGCAATGCTATTACATTTCCTCAACGGATCAGGCTACCACCTGGGCGGAAGCACTGGAAAGTTGCCGCGATGGAGCGACTACAATGAAAAACGCCAGTCTGGCATCCGTTCTAGCATCGGTCGAGAATGATTTTCTCATTACTCAACTGAAAGGTCGCGCAACAGATCCGACCCACATGAATTACAATGGCGTGTGGCTGGGGCTGCATGAAACAGGGCGAGATATTTTCGAATGGTCCGACCACAGCCGTTACGTGTACAATAACTGGCATTATAATTATCCACGCTATAATTTTCAGGTAAATTAAATTCTGCAATCCAGTTGGTTCGCTTATAATGGTTAAATTTTGGTTGACAGCTGGAATGCATTTCTATGATGACAGAAAGCAATAAAGTTGGCCGGTGGACAGATTTGGAGTGTACAAAACGACTTCCTTATGTTTGTAAAGCTCCCAAAGGTCAGTGACTATTGACTAATCGTATACAAATTACATGCATGCGCTGTGTAAAAAAATATTTTAAATTTAAAGCAGCAAAAGAAACAAACAAATAATAATAAACAGACACAACGTAAACGTGGAAAGATTATCCCGCGGTACGTAAATCGACACAGCATTGATGTTTTCCATGAACTTTGCAGACTTTGATTTGCCCGAGCACCAGACACCTCCCACCATTTGCGGCAGTACTTACGAACAATACGATGATGTGTGTTTCAAAGTGATTGCGTTGCCTAACGAAGCACAGCGTACCTGGTCCCATGCTCAGCAACTGTGTAGTCTTCAGCCCGGCGAAAACGTTCCCGCTGGTGGCGGTGGTTTGGCGACCATTGCCGACGTCTACGAAAACGCTTTTGTTCGCATCTTAGTCGACAAGGCTGCTGCTCAGGCAGCCAATCCAGGATTAGATCTATCGTTTCTCAAGACGAAAGCCTGGTTGGGAATGCGCGAAGAATACGGTAACTACCGATGGCAGAATAATTGTCCGGTACGCTTTACCAATATGGATTCCTTGGTGGGTAACGCGCAAGAAAACCTGTGCGTTGACATGAACCTAGACGGTAAATGGCATCCTCACAACTGTTCGCTATCCGAAGTACGATTTGCCGTTTGCGAACGCCGACTCGGTAAGGCGATTGTTCTTTTTATATCTAAGGTTTTCCGATAATAATTTTTAATCTGGCTGGAAAACTTTCCGCAGTTCCTTGCCCGAGCATTCCGACCGAACGTCCAGAAATTTGTCCAGAAAACTTTCCACAGGCTTGCGCGCATCACTGCTACACGTCGCGCAGCATTATCCAACACCTAAACCAAAGCGAGCTGGCGACCTTTGACGAAGCACGCAGCAAATGTATTGCATTAGGCGGCGATCTGGCCACTATCAGAACCAAAGAAGACCAGGATTGCGTTCATCCGTTTGTCCAGTACGCGGAGATGGGCATGTGGATGGGATTACGCAACAAAGCCGGTGGCGCTGGAGCCAGTGGTATTTGGCAATGGATTGATCAGTACGAAAACGCCGAACCGACAACCTATGTTAACTGGATGACTGGCAAGAATTTCGCTGCTCCACAAATTGTATATAAATGTTTACTTTGAATAAATATCTTGTAGGTGAACCCAATATGTTTGGCGCGTCTTGCGGAGAGATGTATCCGAATGGGTTTTGGAACGATGCAGGTTGTTACGAACGCCGAGGGTATATTTGTCAGGCCGCCAGAAATCGCACGGCGCCAGTAACACAACCAACTCGACCACCAGGACGTACGTGCGCTCGTACATAAAACAATATATTCAGAGAAAAAATATCCAAAAAAATTTCAACTGAATTAGTAGCTATTATTGACCTATTACTGAACTGATATTCTGTAAAAATTTTTGGTGTAAGTAAACACGTATTTTTGGTGTAAGTTTACATGGTAAGGTTCATTTAACGATATTAATTGCAGCGCCTTGTGGAGAACAGCCTACTGACGGATCGGGCACCTGGTATTATTTGGAAAGCGTACGCGAGTGCATTTTCGTTGCCACGAGGATCGAGACCTTCGAAAATGCAGAATTGGCCTGCAGGCAACGACGATCTGGTCTGGTAGTGGTGAACAATGAAATTCAACCACTGATAACCGAAATCCTCAAGAACACTTCCGGTATGCTCCCGGGAACCCCTCAGTTTTTTATTGGCCTACGCATAACCAATGTTGACTTGGGCGAGTACACGTGGTTGGATGGTCGACCGATTGTTGGTGGTTTTACTAACTGGGCTCCCAATCAGCCAGCATCTGAGCAAAACCAAAAGAACTGCGTGATAATGTCTGGAATGGATGGCAAGTGGGCCAGTGAACGATGTGGAACCTACACAAAATATATATGCCAAAGGCCGGCACACGGTGACCGACCACCGCCGGTGCGACCGACCAGACCAAGTGACGGTTCACACGCAGGTTGTGCTAGCGGCTGGGTCCCTTTCGGTAAGTACCGGCATCAAATTCGATCACAAATTTGCACAATACTCTCGCAAACATGAATATCAGAATTACATTATTGGCTTTTTATTTCGAAAGGTCCCAACTGCTATTTTCTGTCTGTTGACCGGCAGACGTATACCTGGGCAGAAGCACTGTCCACCTGCACATTCGGAGAATTCGGGCATCAAATGCGGAACTCCAGCTTAGTATCCATTTTGAGTGGTATAGAGAATGACTTCATCGTGACTTTGTTGAAAAATCGAAAATATAATGTCTGGATTGGACTCCATGAGGTTGAGCCCAATGTATTCGAATGGTCGGACCATCATACTTATCGCTATAACAATTGGCATTATCAATATCCTCGTGACACCGCAGGCTGGGGGGTAAATGTTATCTTGCACTTGCAATAAGCGATACAGTAGAAATATGCATGTTTACTAAACCCTTGGCAATGATTCACAGCTGGAATGCATCAACATGCTTGTGGATCCGAGAACAGTTGGGCGCTGGACAGATCTGAGCTGCCAAGCACGAGGAGGATATATCTGCAAAGCCCCTAAAGGTCAAATAATTACAGCGAATCGAAGCCGGATTTTTCTTTTTATATACCTTTACATATACATAACTACTCATATTATAATATGAATTAAATGATAAAAGCACAATAGTTAAGCTGTGAAAAGTTCAATATATTCTTCTATATCTTTATGTGCAGATTTTGCCATGAAGCCTTATGAACCGCCACCAACAAACTGCAGCGCGGGTTATCAACCTTACGGAGATGCATGCTTCCAGGTGGTTCATCTGGAACGGGATGGAGAGCATACATGGTCGCATGCGGAACAGCAATGCAGACCGTCCGCGATGGAAAACTGGCCGGGAGGTGGTGGATTGGCTACTATTTCGGACGTGTACGAAAATGCATTTGTCCGTGTCCTGGTGGACGAGGCAATAAGATTCGGTCGGCCAGGGCAGGATTTTCGTTCACCAAAAGCTTGGCTGGGTATGCGGGAAGAATACGGGCATTATTCTTGGTACAACCAGTGCCCGGCACATTTTACCAACCTCGATAGCTTAATCGGAGATGAGAATTCTACCCTGTGTGTGGATATGGACTTGGAGGGAGGATGGCACGCCCACGGATGCTCTGACCGTGACGTCAGGATGGCAGTCTGTGAACGTCGGTTTGGTAAGTCAGTGAATACTACGAGTATAAAAAAGTACGACGTACGCGGTACACACTGTAATTTTCCATTTTCAAAAGCCATGGATACTAATGCCATTATTATTAATTTCGATATCCTTTCCAAGGGTATAACAACAGTAAGTCACTTGATCACTGCAACTTGTGAGCTTTAAAAAAATTTAGTGTACTCTGTAATCAGATAAAATCTTTAGAATAAACAATCAGAAAGGTATTTGTACCACGTTTGTATATTACCGGTATTAGTGATGCACCTCTATCTGTATAGTGCCTTGCCCGAAAATTAACAGTACCACATCGGAGACGGTTGTCTGTCCAAAAGAATTTCCGCTTGCCTGCGGAAATCACTGTTATTTCGTACGTACCATCCAACAGCACAACAACCAGACCGACCAGACCGTGCTTGTCACCTTTAACGAGGCCCGTGCGACCTGTCTTGCTATGGGTGGCGATCTCGTATCCATCCGGTCGGAAGAGCAGCAGAAATGTGTGCGGCCATTCGCACAATACTCGATAGAAGGTTTGTGGATAGGTTTGCGCAATCTTGACTTGAACAGTAGCCCATCGGATACGAGCAAATGGGTGTGGACTGACCGCGATAACAACACTGAACCAGCCCTCTATGCCAATTGGTACCTTGGTAAGTACTGAGACTGAGCACGCGCAGACTAATTTTCATCGTTAATTGTTTAACAAATCTTACTGTGGTTAAAAGTTTAACGATATACTCTGTACAATACATATGGATGTGCATATGTATGCTCAAACAAATGAACAATATTTGAAAATTTAGGAGAACCAACATCTGGTGGGTCGGAACGCTGCGCGGAAATGTACCCAGACAATGGATATTGGAACAATTTGAGATGCGACGCCGATGTCAAGCGGGGATATATTTGCCAAGCTGACAGAAGCCGGGTAGTTATGGTCACCGGGAGCACGATTCCTCCCACAAGTAAGCAGCATCTTTATTCGTTTGTGTCGCATCCCTAACTAACGGTGCAAAGAAAGTTTAAAAGCGAAATTCGCTTCATATATTAGTGTCATGCATAAAAAATGCCCACAGCTTCTCGGCCATAAACGTATTGCTATGTTGCATTAGCTGTGTCGGAGTCCGTTGGTGGTAGCAGCAGCGCTGTCACTGGGCCTTCAACATCTCAGACCACAAAAGGCAATAGCATCGCAACGGGCACCATTCATCCATCTCTTCCCACAGCAGCAGGCACCGGCACAACACGAGATTTCGGTGGAGTAGTTTCCTCGACAGCTTCGCCAGAGGAGACCGGATTGGCCGGAGGATCCATTGCCGGAATTGTCATCGGTGTCCTATTAGGCGTAGCACTGCTGTGTGCCGTTGCTTTTGTAGTTTTAACAGGAAGAACCGGATTAGTAATAGCCACCGCCAAGAGTACCGGATCTCGCGTTACTAGTCGATGGAGAAAAGGATCTGATGCTGACCGCATACCAGTGGTGGATATGCATCACCGTTTTGATGCCAGCGATTCTTATACTTGAGCGCTTTCTGTTCAAACCTCGTCACTTGTGGTATTTAGAATTGTTGCATATTTTAATTAATAAATAATTTTGAAAACATACTGGGGATATAGTTTTAGATTAGTGTTTGTCTATTTTTACATTTCCCGTTGCATCCTCGTCTCTGCTTTTAGAAAATTTGAAGTTAAATAGAATTAGCAAAGCTAATTCCGGTTAACGCAGTGGAAGCGATTGCAAGGCTGGACGACTTGGTTGACCAGTGTCCAGCCAAGAAAACCCATTAGGGTGTGTCTTGGGATGCATATTTCGATGCTGTATTAAAAGCAATGCAGTTTCGGTTGTGGATGTTTCATGTGTAGTGATTGTGCATTTCTTTTAGTGCATTTCAGTTCCTGTTGTGTTGGAGTAAAGGTTGTTTTCGTGTAACAAGTCGTTCTTCCCTCCCGCCCACCCCCTTTGGAGAGGAGACGGGGGGTTGCTGGACGGCGGGGCCGGTTGCGCCGGTGACCCGTGTTCCGGTGCTAGTGTCTTCACCCAATGCCAAAATAAAATTGAATCGTTACGCGCTGCTGTTGTTGTTACCGTAGACTGCGTTAAGTGGGCACTACGAAGGATAGCTAATCGGCTATACAAAGCTTTGAGATACAGCAGCAGAGATATCTCGTAGATATCTCGTACTATGCTTTTGCATTAGGTTGGGATGAGAGATCCAGGTAACGCTCTCAAATTAACTAATATTATAAGTCTAGAGATATGATTATTAAATATAGATATATAAGCATACTTACTACTGTAGATCTAGAGTAAGTAAGACACTAAAGACAACAAGTATGTGCAACAGTGCAAGTACTTCTATAACAAAATCGTTTACAAAATACTGCAAACTTGCCGCATTATATTGATTCTTTGTGATTTTACGCATGTAAATTTAATACAAGAATATTGAAGTTTTTAAAGAAGGATGCTTTGCAACTGGTGAATTTTTATATGCGTTCTCAGCACCATGGTCAACAAGAAAAGCGATTGATAACCAATTACGCACAAGCGCTAGCAGTAGTGGTACAAGTACTGTAATAGTTTTATGGATGCGCATTTAATACTGTAGTTTTGCACGTACGGTGTAATTTTATCATTATTTATCATCATTATGTGTCGTTACATATTGATATATAGATACAGCTGCATTGTAGCTGATTGTACCAAACCGAAATTTTAATATTATGTGTAATGACTATACAGATTCCAGACTTACAGTATCAATGAGCAACTACCTTATCGTGGCGGAAAGTTTAACGATTTTCATTCAACCGCCGCGAGTTGTTGCAACAGAAACACATGTTCTTACACTGCTCACGTGGTGTAACACAATCACTAATTTTTAACACCAACCAATCAGCTGAATGGTCCTTCAACGTTTAACAGTCTGCAATCGATAAAGAAAGGGTTGGGTTCGGCAATGATTTGATTCGTGAGAGAAATTGTATTGATGTGAAAGACTGAAGAGCCTACCGGGTGCAACCCGCTGTTTCATGGTCAAACTATAAGCTTTGTTGCCGATTCAGCGGCACATCGGGCTGATATCCGCTTGCAGCTCACGTGCTCCTTTAAAATCGCGAAAGGGAAAGCCCTATTGACAGCAAATAAGTTTAATCGTTACCCATTATTTAATGGTACTTTATCGTTTTGTTCGCTCACAATCGTTGCCGGCGAAGTCGCAAGGTACCCACGCCTTGCTGACTATGCACGATACTTAAATGTCATCAGCACAATGTCATTGCTTTACAAAGGAAATGAGTGTAAAAATTAATTTGTTGCGTTCAAATGCTTGCAAAGTAAATTAAAGGTGCATCAATGCCTACTTCCTACGCATTAAACTTACAAGCTTGATCTGCAGTCATACAAAAATAAATATGAAATGCGCGTACGCGTACTGCTTCTCTTTTTTGGCCGTTAAATTGTAATTTAATTTAACAGGAATGATCACCTATGCAGTGTATTGGTATGTTTGTAAATTCTCGTAACAGCGTCAGTTTTACATTTATTGACAAGTGAGTGGCATTTGAGCCTGATGTAGTAAGTGAAAAACAAATGAGAGCTCAAACTTTAACAAAATAATTTCGCAAAAAAATTGAACGAAATTTGATTAATACAAAGGGCATGGTACGTCTTACAAAAAATGTTATTTGGCAAATAAACATTTCATAAATTACAGTATCTGGCTAATCTAATCCAGCTGACGATTGTAATCATTGCATCATGTAAGTACGAGCAGTATGTATATAAATGCAGCATCGCCGGTCGGATTCTACCCAAACAATGCACAATATAAATCTTAATCGGAAAGCTTATGTACGGCAAGGGAGCAAAACTCCACTACAGAGCTTTAATAAAAAACAGTGACCAGATGGCACTGTGTTCAAAATACCTATGCGTTTCCGTGTCGATGGAAAACACGTTCTTATTTTTTCAGTTCCACGTTCAGGGATATCCCTGAAGTGCAAGACCATGCACCTAACAAGAAAATATTATAAGTTCACATTTTCCAGAGTGCTTAGCCTAATACTGCCAAATCCTTAATGGAACCGGCTGGGGCAACATAAAAGTCCCGGGACCATTCTGTTTATTTGTTCTACTCGGCCGTAGCACCCGTGTAGGCTGCTGTGGGCCTGTGTGAGAGCCGGCGTTCTCTTCGTTTCTCGCTCGTCCTCTCTTTTTCTCTCTCCCTCTCGCTCATTCTCTAGAGACGGGAGAATATCGATTTTTTCCATGCCACCGCGTGCGGAGCATGTCGGCTACATGTATATAACAAGGAGCCTGCTACTTGCTGGATTGTCTTGTGGATCATTCATATGTAAGCCACGCTCATCGGCAGCGGCTCCACAGTTGTCAACGCAGGGCAGTGCACTAGCAGCTTCGCGGAAGCTTTTACCATAAATCAGTGCCGTTTTGGATAATATTTTCGTCGTGTCCGCATTACGACCTAACTGACTCTTCCATGGTGCAAAAAGCCGTTAACAGTCCGGCACTTTCCCGGAAGTCCACCAACAGGGATTCACCCCGACAGCAGCGCGCAGGCCAGCCAGCACCGGCGCCTCGGCAAATGTCAATTGTCTCCGATCTTGATTCGGTTAAGTCGTATCCAATCTCCATTGAAGCCCCATCGGATGTGACATGCGAGAGCGGCTATGAGACAACTACCGATGTGGTCTGTAAGGGACCGCTCCTCTACTATAAACCCCGCTGGTTCGGTGAGAGCTGGAAACGCTACGATGCCGTGCTGACCAATGACGGTGTGTTTCGATGGTATAAAAAAGGGGGCAGTGAGCCCGCCGAGCTGGAAGGCACCCTGGTGCTGCAATCCATTCCCAATGGATTGATTACCTTTGGAAAAAATACGGAGAATATACCCAAGGAACAGCAAGTGCGGTTTCCTAAAGAATTCAATTTTCAACCAGCCATCGCCATCGGCGAGCCGTACACATCTGGGGAAATTTTCTGGTTTCTCTGCCCGTCAACCGATATGATTCGCCTATGGGAACAAGGATTCAGGGATTTAGTGGCAGCGGAGAAATTCAGCTCCGGCAGCGGCGTGTATTCAGCCTGGAAGAAATACAGTCCCGAACGACCAACCCAGTCCACGCAGGAGCATGAACCGCATAAAGAAGCGGGCTGGAATGATGTATGTATAGTGTGTCTTATATGCAATGCAAATATTTACTGCCTGCATTATGCTAAAGGTATACTGCGGGTGTTTAAGGATGTTTCTATTGATCTTTCTTCGTTTCTCCTACAGGCAGCCATCATTCTGGCATTGGACTTTTCAATGTAGGGGTATGTTCATCACTTAGACAATTCTTATAATTGCGTGATGACTTATGTCGTGCTTGGTTTTTGCAGGGGATCATGTGGTGGTGCTGAGTGATAGTTATAATGATTTTTCCATCGTCGGTGGTACGGAGAAAGTGCGGGTGACCTTTTGTTATTCGTTATTCTGACTCAGTTGTGGATTGTTTTTCTAAGGATGTTTTAATACGTGTTTTAGAGAAAATCTAATAATCAATGAACGTCTCCACATTAGCATTTTTTTGTTCTTTCGAATTATTTTGTTTGCATATTGCAACTGTGATCTTAATGGTCACACTTTAAAGTTTGTGCTATGCACAATACTGCGATCCTAGACGCGATCTTTAAGCCTACTAAACGAATCTGTTAGTCAATGTGATTCTTTACGTTTCGTGGTTTGTTTAACAATAAAGTCTTGATGAATCATGCAAGCCTCACCTTGCTCTTTTATACCTATTCACATACGATCCACTTATTAGCATAGTCACCAGTGACCCTCAATGGGTACTCGTATATAACATGCTTCATGCCTGAAAGCAGCCTTTAAATCTGGCCAGTTCGCTTTTATGGAATTGCCGTTTTGACATGGCAGCATCATTTCCGGTCAGACCGCTTGCACCTTACTGTGCTTTGAACGACATTTTGATTGTATTTGCATAAATGGGAATGACTTGGATGGGCTGAGTAAGCCGACTTTCAGGTTCTAAAATCAATCGACATCGAAAACCGATTGAAGAAATGTAAATCTACACTGGGGAAGAAGCATGCAGCAGCTTTGCACAAATCATGGCAGAATTCGTTTTTGCAAAATGTGTTATACTCCAGATATATTATTTCGACAAATGCTTATAAACAGCCATATTGTCAGTGAATTTGTCTGTATTCAAAACCAACAAGCCTCAGTGCTTCACCTAGTACACCATATAAATATTACAAAATTACTTTTGATACTTGTAGTGCACTAGCTATTCATTTATAGTACTGTACAATTTTGCAAGCGCCAAGAGTGTAGTTGATAAATGCAGTATTTCATAATTCGTTATCATTTTAGCCAAAAACTTGCAATTGGATGCCATTTGACGCTCACAATTAATGATCATCTATATTGTATGTATACTGTTAATAGTAGAAATGATTGTGAACGGATTCTTTCCTTTCAAACATATTTTAGTGTAAGCATCAATTGTTAATCCAACTCAAAACCCACAGTACTGTTTGAGCAGCGCTTGCTTTATTAAGAATTTAAAGATATATGCATGAAGCGTAGCTGCTGAACGGCTAGCCCCAGAATGTTTGTTTTTCATTGCCGGTATCCGCGTGGTAATACAGCTTACTCAGCCGGTATATACGCATTCCTTGAAAAAATCAAAGCCACATCCTTAGCCAAACATTTCTGTTCCTGACTATCAAACTTGATCCAGTTTTACACAATGCACCACATTCAGCACGATCCCGATTTTTAAAGCAATGAGCGGATAAGTTGCCTGACACGCCTTTCTGCTCCGAGCTGAAATCAATACCATTAATCTAGCCGGGGATGGTAGTACTGTCATTCCAACGGGATTCGTGAAAAAAATGCTCAAGTAAAAAAAGATCTTTCTTGCATAACTGACAGTTCTACGACCCACACCGATTTAGAATTTGGAATTTCCGTGTAATGGCATTGAAGATAGAAGAACATTAGATATTGTGACAACCGCGAGTGGGATGATTAGTAACATTAAATGCCCTGCAAATTTTATACAGCTTCGGCGAACATTCCATGCGTGATCACGCTACATCCCGCACGCAATATTCGTATAACACGTACAATATTTTAGAATTGTTCACCATAATAAATTTACACAACGCTCGCAATCACTTAATGGCCTTGAATTGTCAGAAAGGAAAATAAGGAAATAAAATAAAATAAGAAATAAAATAAGGCAAAAAAAATAAAATAAATAGAAAAATAAAATTAACCCAGGAAAACCGGGTACTAGAAGGGGTGGGACTACGGTTTTGAAAATTTACAGTCTGGGATAGAAAAATTCAATTAAGAGAAAAATGATTTTTTCAAAATTTTAGCGACCATAGGTCAAGCAGGAGATGACCATGTCGGACTAACACGCATGGTAACCATGTTGCACCGACATGTTATTTACTGCCGTTTATAACAGCTGACAGAAAAATCGCACAGAACGTGCCAATAGCTCAAACGATAGGTCTCAACGAGTACTTGAACACAGATGCATTACGATGGTCATCAAAATGACCAGTGGTCAAGGAAAATTTAGAAACGAAAAAACCTAATCTGCACCAGTACATAAGTGCTACTTCGATATTTCGCAACAGTTGGTCCCTTCTACACTACGGTTTGGACAACTGGTCAACTGACTTATTGTTGACCACAGTCCTGGTGACGGCTACAGTGGAAATTATACTATACCGGGTTGTGCAACCGAATATTATAGCAGAGATAGCGAGCAGAAAGCATAGATAACATTCTCAGAGTGTTGTACAAGTGACCAAGTCGTTCAGAAAACGAGTGTATCGCCATTAGGGTCAATAATGTCCTGCCAAAAATTCCACTCGTACAATTTAACTTACGTTTATACTTTATAAAAAACAACAAATGCTCGTATTTAGAAAGGAAGGCAGTTCTCTTAGCCGACTTGTAGTGGTATGTGGTGGTGGTAGGCTAGCCGACTCCCTAAACATCACGAATTATCCAAATTGTGTGGGAGTGATTGAATATACTTTGCACTGTCTATGTCGGCACCGCTGTTAAATAATGTTTATCTGCTTAAAAGGACGGTGCCTTTACTCCCAAACGCTCTCTTCCGTTATACTGACCGCTTTGCCCAGATTGGTTTTTAAAGGTTACGAGCGCTCACGAACCGGAAGGTGTAAATGTTTTTGATGCTCAATTAGCGAAGCATATAAGCGAGATCAATAACTTTTACAAGATTTCACACTCACTACAACAGTTTAACTCAGATATAATTTGCAAAGAATATACGGTTTTTCTCTGGAACAATGGAGTAGCTAGGTTACAGTATAAGGCAATAACAGCGTTCCACACGCAAGCAGTTGCACTGCAGAATCTTTTGAATTCTGATTGTTCCGGGTCACAGCAATTTAAGAGCCACTTACAGCAGTCATTACACAACTTGTTTGCATTTTATTCACATTAATTTTAAGTTCGTTCAGTCGAAAATTACATTTTTCGGATTTCCGGTCACTGCTGACCAGTGGTCATTTTACTGACCACTATGTACAAATCAGTTAATACAGTTTTTTTTAGCTTTATTTTGATTGTTTATTGTATCTTGTACGACGCTTCTGTCAATTAATATGAATTTCCGACGCTTATTAATAAAATAATACCATGCCCAACCGTGTCATAACCGACATGGCATTTTCAAGTGACCAGTATTGGCCAGTGGGCGATAATTTTCGGAACTTTGCTTCTTGTTTTTATAAAGCTCAGTAATTAGTTCTCCTGCGATTTGTTTGGTAATTATCTGATGTGGGGGTGGCTGTACAGACTAGCAGGACCTCCGGGAGCCCAGTTTGGTCAGTTTTCATCATGTTTGGTCACCCTCCGGACCTTCCGGATATGGCCCAGCCTACGGTTATATATTTTAAACTGTCGTCTAACATAACTTCTTTGAAATAAAACCAATAGAAACAACCAATGATCATAACAGCGGACTACAGAAAAGAAGTCCTCCACCATGTCGGTCTAACACGCATAGTGTGGAACGGGTTAAGAAATAAAAAATAAAGAAATAAAATAAAATAAGGAAAAAAAATAAATTAAAAAAATTAAATAAATAATATCTAAGGCAAATCTGTTAGTGTTATCAATCTGTTTATTTGATAATGAATTTGATATTAAATCTGTATATTTTAGTTAATCTGTATAATAAATTAACATTACTAAAAATTCTAATTTGCTAGGGTAGGACTGCGTATATGTCATATGCATCCACCCATTAATCTGATGATTATGTTAATTAAATTCGTAATGCTAATAAAAGCTTTGAAGTTGGTAAATATCAAATTAGACGGTGATTATTGCATGTTATGAAACAATAAATGTTCGGCATGTGAATAAAAGCATTAAGGCCGGACACATCCGTCCATGCTAACCGTTCTTAGCATTTTTGTATACGGTACTAATGTTAAATGCACACAGCAAATTTCATTTGTGGATAATTAACAGATATCGATCAAAGCAATGCTATGAACTTTGGTTTGCCTAATTCTGCAAGTGTACGAGTAGCTTAAGTTTCAACTCAACCTATATGACACTGGGAGCTACAAACTTTGGTTAAATATTTTACAATAATATTACCCGTTATGTTTGCCCCAAAACTACCGTAATACTTCGTTAGCTGCTTTCTCTGCTTCTAATTAACCTTCTTTTAAAAAATGAGTTCGTTTCCTGAGTTACAAAACGATCTAATTATTCGAGCTGCTCTGGGAAAGCCGGTGGACCGCGTCCCGGTGTGGATTATGCGGCAGGCTGGTCGGTACCTTCCCGAATTCCGTCAACTCCGTTCGCAGTACGATTTCTTCACTATTTGCCGCACACCTGAACTGGCTTGCCAAGTCACCTTGCAACCTATTGAGCGCTTTAATCTGGATGCAGCCATTATATTTTCGGATATTTTGGTCATTCCTCAGGCCCTGGGCATGGAAGTGCAGATGCTCAGTGAAAAGGGACCACACTTCCCGCGGCCGTTAAATGTTCCGGAGGATGTGAAACGGTTGAATGCGGATGTCAATGTGAACGAGAGCCTGCAGTACGTTATGCAAGCCCTAACCTTGACACGACAGCGGCTTAATGGACGGGTGCCGTTAATTGGTTTTTCTGGTGCACCCTGGACACTGATGAGCTACATGATTGAAGGCGGCGGAAGTCAGACGCAATCAAAAGCCAAAAGATGGCTATATGCTTTTCCGGAACCATCCACGCAGTTATTGTCCTTGATAGCCCGAACCGTTTCCGCTTATCTTATTGAACAGGTGGGCTGTATATATAGCTATATGATGATTACTGCAGGGCACCCAGTTCAACAGAGTGTGAGACGTGTGAAGCAACACAATTGTACAACGAGTAGAGTAGGAATTCGTACATTCTGTATCGTATTATACTGATGCATTTATGTATATCAAAAAAATTAATAGTCTCTTGAACAAAAGCCATAGACTGTCACTTTATAAAATTTCCATGAATTTCAGATATGCATTTATTGAACAACCGATGGAAAGCGGCACTCCATATCTATTTGCAATTTTGCATTAATTACTATAAATGCGTTCTGCAGCAATTTTTCTCCGAAATAGCTTTATTCAAGTGGTCAACAGCAATTTGATTTGAAAAATGCTGCTAATAAGTAATTTGCTGCTGTAGTAAGGTGGCTGACATGATACCAAAATGTCTCGGTCAGTCTTAATATCCGATCCAGCGTCACAACCCTGCAGGTAGCAAATTAAAGTACATACATTTTTATTTATGAAGATTACCTTTATTTTGATATGTGTCGCGACACCGTTAAATTTAGATTTGGATATTGGATAAGAAGTTTTCACAAACTAATTCCTGGACCGTACGCTGTTTATAAGTTTGACGTCTTCTGCAATATTAAAACTACAAAAACGCATAAATTACAAGGCTATATACGGAATATCATCAGCGCATGCATCTAAAATTTTGTTTGCTCCCATTATATTTGTAATTATCTACTCTAGGTATAGGCCATTACACAGTCATGTTATTCAAAATGTTTGTGGTATATAAATCTCGGTTAAAACAAACTTATCTTATTAGGTTGTGGCAGGTGCACAAATGCTACAGATATTTGAATCGCATGGTGGATACCTAACAAAAGAACTGTTTATACGTTTCGCACTTCCCTATCTACAAGAAATTCATGATGCTGTCCAAGCTGGCTTGAAAGACCGCGGCTGTTACGACATTCCCTTGGTTATTTTCGCTAAAGACTGCCACCATGTTATCGGCGAGGTTAGCGCACTTGGCTATGATGTTGTTGGATTAGATTGGACTATGGATGCGGTAAAGACCAGACAACTGGTCGCTGATAACGTCACGCTACAGGGTAATCTTGATCCCTGCGCCTTGTACAGCCCACCGGAAGACCTGAAGCAAATGGCTCGAGACATGGTTGACAGATTTGGTAAACAGCGGTATATTGCTAACCTGGGTCACGGTATTTACCCCGATGTCGATCCTGAGAGAGTAAAATGTTTTGTTGACGCAATTCATGAGTACTCTTCTTCCAATGCCGACAAGTAAATGTTCATTATGATTATGTGCTGCGAAAATGAAATCGAAAAATACAGTCATCTGCAAATAATGTGAAAAACATAACCGCAAAACTGTGTCTTGATTCTGCCGTCCAGATTAAGCGTTGATATCGATATCCACGATGTACTCTGTACATGTGGAAGTGCATTTTTTTTTGCTGTATTGTTAAACTTTTTGTTCGCAACACGCTATGCTCGAAAGATTACAGCGTGCTCTATAAGGGACGAAGGGAATAATTAAGAAATTATCCATCTGTCGGTTAGTGGTGTAGCTGTTGTTGAAGGAAATCACAGCTATGAGTTATGCTAATACGGTTCAGATATGTGTATAATAAAGAAATTAATTACAAAAAAACCCTTTTCAGTTCGAATTAGGAAATACTATGTGCATCATTTATACGCGAGCAAAAGCAGAGAACGATTAGGTGGCCCCACTGCCCAGAAACATTAACGGTGTAAGTTAATGCTAACCGTAGATACAATACTTAATCAGGTTAATTAAGTACATGCACGGGCATACTACTTCACACAGTCACACTTAAAATTAAGACTTATTAACTCAGATAATTTTGAGTGAATTTGTTAATTGTAGAGATTTTTAATTTCGTCATTATCTTTTGTGCTGGAAGCTTTAAAGATCTGCAGAAGTTAACCGCTTTATATATACATAATATCTGAGATATGGTATCGCAAGCGTCGGTAATTTGAAATGCACGCGTTCTGGATTTCCCGACGTACCGTACATCGCTTTAATATTGCATTATTATAATCTTGTTTACGCTTTATCCGAAACTGTAATTACCAACGTTTCACCAAACGCTTGTGGTATTATCGCAATTCGCAACATCAGGTGGTATCCAAGTGTTACAGCATGCAATAGGGATATGATAGCAAGCGAAATCTTATCGGCTAAATGGATGCTTTGACAACTTCCCAACATGACATAACGCACCGGCCTTAAACCATTCTGTACGTTGCATATAAAAAAGGTTTCCATAATAATTCCGTCAATTCCGTCTGGCATTTGCTCGTAATAACTAGTGAATACTCTTGAGTACATTAAATATTTGAATCCTCAGCAGCCATGAAAGTCGCGGTGGCCATTTTACTTCTCGGTTTGATTGTATGCGGACAGGCCTCCAGGAGAGTGCACCCTCTACGCCGTATTGCATCGTCAGTCCCTAAACTGGTACTTAAAGAGTGCATCCGAGAAACTTGTAGTTATATACAGTAAACCATACCTTTTTCAAAAAAGGTCATATCATATGCAACATTGACCCTCAGTTATTAGTTACAACCGTGGTCGTGGTGTTTAGTACTGCTTTGTCAGCGTTTTACGTTTTATTTGTTCTCAAATTTGTCCTTGGTTGAGCGAGGGTTTAGCGTGATGTAAGAATAAGACTTAAAGATGTATACTTCCAAACATGGTTAAGCACGCTGTAATACGAGTAAATTGTTGCACCGCAAATTGCTTATTAAAACTTCGGATGCATTGTACAGGCAGTAGGAGACGATTGTCCTGCGGGTACTTGCTCCGACTCGGAAACCTGCTGCCAGACCGACCAGGGTAAGACTGAAGAATGAGAATTCTGGACATCGAGAGAAAGCCGGCAAAAATGCATACAAATGTGGAGAATCATTATCATACGTTATGAATCATAATCCAGTAAAACAACAACCAATCATTACTATTCGAAACTGGTGGTCTTATAATTGTTTAGGTTGGGGATGCTGTCCGTATCAGAATGCCGTTTGCTGCTCGTAAGAATTTCTTGTTGCTTGTATGATGGTCCTTGTGCTACCAGCTATTACAGTTGATTGCAAGGCAAATAACTGTTTACAGGGATAAACAACATTGCTGCCCTAACGGCACGACGTGTGACCTTGTTCATCAACAGTGCACGAGCAAACGGCCCCATCACACCGCCGAAAACTGAAAGTACCACCGTACATAACTCCCGGCAGACCCTGCTTGAAAGAATCCGTTCTTTGTGTAATAACTGAATGCTTACCGGTGAATGCTATACACTTCTATTTTACTAACGTTTTTAGTATTATGAATTGCATGTCGTACATGCTTTTTGCCATCAAAATAAAGCAAAAGCAATCGTAGAAAAAGCTTGCAGTCTACAAATTTTTGTTTGTTTTTGCATAGCATGGCGTGCTGCAGCATCAAGCTTAAGTAACGTGATACGACATATATACCCCGATCCGCCACGAACAATACCACGTCTGCAACAAACTTTGATACATTTTAATAAGTATAGTATTATATTGAGTATAGTCCTTTTTTAACCCCCGAGGCCGCCCTTGGGCCCAAGAGGTCTGCTTACGCACTTTTCCTAAGCGTACACGCAGCGCATTCAGCTTCGTTCCCATCGTTTCTCTAAACAAGCTTCCAGTTACATCTATTCGCGCGTTCTTTCCCTACAGTAAGTAATTCTTCCGTTTCCACTGGCTTATACTAAACACCAAATCAGCTAGAGGTCGCAGTCCCAGGTTGTGGTGTAATGTACAATATGCTCGAAGTACTCTGGTGGTTCTACAGTAGGCGTACCTCTAGAACTTCTAGAGTAAATCGCTGTGAAGGCATATATAATACGGTAGCGGAACATTGTTCAAGATGAGCCTCCTTTCGGAAAACTTATTGGGAAGCGCAAACGTCGATAGTATTGTACACTTGTATCCGTGGAGGTCCAGAGCACCAACATAGGTTGAGACCGTTTACGTACTTCCGGTTTTGCGGTGCGCACTTCTTGCAAGGAAAGGATAAAAGTTACAGGGGCGAAGAAGTGAAGAATTTAAAAATGCAGTGTGAGTTGAAACAGGTTGATCGCATATTCCATTTTCCGCCGTTAAACCTTTCTGAAATTAAGGGTGTTAACACCATCAGAAGTGCCTGCCAATGATTATTTTTTAAGCAATTGCCTAAATATTGTCCTACGTACAGTACTGGTTTGAGTTAAACCAGTTGATATATACAGTACTCCGATTCATACACCGGAAAAAATTCCAAATTTGTTATGTGTGTGTTTGGATTACTTACTCACCTGTGAACAGATGCACCAGACGTCACTCGTATTCATGAGAACTTATTGAGAACTACTGAAAGTGCTGCAAACTGCAAAGGTAGCCTGTCTCCGAAAAAAATTACGTAATATAGATATAAGTACACGATTATATACATCAGTTTTATGTCCCTTTTTAATTGTGAGCAATACCTTATGGTCGGACTTTGTGCATTTCGTTAATTTTGCAGTTCTGGATGTCTGGCGCTCTGTGTAAACATATTAGCTAGAACCTGACGTTTAGCAGTAAATACGGGAGCACTGTCGTACCCACTGGACAGTCGGTCAAAGCCGCTGGACAAACAAACAGCTAATACTGTGAGTACAGTACTTACTTTCTAGATTTTAATAGCGATGCAGCATGGCTTCAGTGCAGTTTGCATGGTAGGAGTAATATCATCCTTGTGGTCGCATTATATTGTGCAGAATAATTTTTGTACAAAGTGCAGCGATTCTTTATCACATAGGTTTACGGCACTGTTATTGTTTCGTTCTTAAAATATTTTAAATCTCTCTTGAATTCCGTGTATTTATGCTAATCCCATTTGCATTTTATAATCACTCTGAAAATGCACAGTTCTTTCCACTGCCAGAGAGTGGATTATTGTGACAGCGTTTGCCTTTTACAAGTTACTCAAGTTCTTCTTGATGTTTACATTTTAGCTATAAAATAGAGTGACCTCGTTATTGTTTAAGGGCTGTTGTCAATTAAAGTTACTTCTGCTAGCGAATACGTAGGCAGCAAAAAGGAAGATACTTATTAATACAGGCAGTAATAGAGTTAATTGTAAATTAAAGATTTTCAGCTATCAAAGCTATAATATCACTAACATTGTAAAAATCATCAACATACGCAAGTGACAAGACGACTGCACTTATAAGTGTAGTACTTGTATGTTCAAAACGTACTTAGTTTCCAATTTTGATACTGTACATCAGAGACACAGTAATAGCATCTTTGTAAAAACGCCCGATAAATCTAGAATACAGCAGAGTGATAATTATTATTCGATTATGCGTACATAGGTGGCTTACAATATTTCTATCTTACTGCTAAAGATTATTGATCCAACAAAGGATAAACTATTTCAATTTGGCGTCACGGATGCGAAGGTCACACAATAAACAGATAAGATGTCCACAGCGGATGGACTGCCTCATGGCTGTATCCTTTCATTATCATTCCGTCATGCCTGACTATGTATTTCTACCAGAAATTGGTCATGTGTGAAATTATGTGGTAGCAGTCCACGAATCCGATAAGAAGTTTTAGAATCATTCACATACTGTACAGTAGTGGCTCCTTTCTTCAGCGCCAGAGAGGACGGCACTATTGTCGTCTGTCGTACGTATCCTCTGGTCATTTTGATCTCAAGCTTAAGTGGATCATGCCTAACCACACCGTGATTTCTTACACCGCTATCATCATGTTCAGTTTACCGTAAACTGTGGATAATAATCTTCTGGTCCAGTTTTTAGTCTACATTCTCAAAAGCCGTCAATATGGATCAGACTATGCCAAATTTTAACCTATCTTACGATGGTTCTTATTCTAACACCTACAATGACTATTTTCCTAGTTTTACCGAGCACGATTACGACATGCCGGTATTGCCAAATTATCCACCGAATGATGTAAATTATCCCGGACTGAGTAATGGACACTGTGTGCTGCCGGACAGTCCTCCTGACTCTCACCCGGACAGCTATGCCATACCAAATCAGTTTGGTCTTCTACAGAATGTACACCGGGTAACCAGTGGCTACATTCCGCATCATGGCGATGTGTCGTCCTCAACGGGGCCCAGCACTTCCGGTGTCATCCCGATTCCCGCTAAGCCCCAGATCAGCCTTCCCCACCAAGGCTTGCCCCATGTACCACCTTTTCCTTATCCAAAAAAACGCCTGAAGGGCTCACTGAATGTGGATGTCTCCAGTACCAGCTACTCGTCCGCCAGTAATTCGCCCTTGTCAATCCACAGCTGTAAGCAAGAGGACGATCGTGACCTTGATTTCCCAATGTCGAATTCTCACACTGGTAACCTGCTGTATTATCAGCCACTACAGTCGTCTGCACCGTCGGATGATATGATATTCGGCGCAAGTGACTTGGGCGATGAGAGTCAACACCGCAATATTACCTTCAAGCCCATATTCACTGAACAGTGGTGTAACGTGGCTGTGCGTAATGATAGGGTGCTAGTGCCGGCATCCATTATGGAGTTTAAAGTGCAGGCTGATAAGGGGTTCAACTATTCTCAGGTATGTTTGCACAGAAGCCATCGGAAACAGTGGCGCCGACAAATTATGGGCTATCAGCACCGATTTCGGGTTATTTAGCCAAATTTTGATTCCTAATGACTAACAGTAACAGCAATCGTGCTGTTTAGGTATTTAATAGCGAAAACCAGATTTACCCGTACCATGCACTACTTGAACAACAATACCGAGCAAATGTTTTGAAAATTTTAATGGTGAAATTCTAAAGTTAAGACTCATGATTATAACATAACTATGGAATAATTTTTAGAAAAGTAGACAGAAAGCTTGCGAGTTATTGCAAAGCAAATTCAGCTCAGCAGTAGATAAGTAACGGTGAGATAAAGTTATAAACGCTTGCGCACGCAAAACTGAATAACTGGGGTTTACTAGTAAGTTCGCTAAATATAATCATTATTACAATGTAAATTATAGAAGGTGTACTGGTAATATAAGCAATTTTAACGCTTATACAGGGGGCCATGCCACTTTTCTGCAATTAAAGTAAATGATTGTTTACTGCAAATTTCATATCGCCGACCCAAAGGTCATGTTCATACTGTAACGAAACGGATACACACCGGTGCTATTTTAATAGATTCGAATTCGAATTTACTGGCGGCCGTAAACTGATGATATTATTTTGCTGGGCACTTTTTTAGCCCAAACCGGTGTGTCAGTTTATTCATTTTGCTTCACAGGAGTTAATAACAATACCATAAAATGCTTGTTTGCAGTACGATTTCGGGGCATTTATTTGCCAGAAAAAGAATCATTTCCAAGTTACCGTTCAAGTCGTCCTTAGCGCATTGCCGCAGTTCGTCAAATTACCAACCGGGGACGACTACGAACAAATAAAGAGTTTCTTTATCGACCTTTGCGGGGTACGCGCTGAAAATATTCATCAGCATCCAATCAAGATCGAAGAATCGCAGAGCGACCGTTCCCGGAAGTCTTTTATTCCCCGCACCATTGATCTCTCGCATTTGCGTCAGCAGATGACCATAGCCCGACTGCACTTCAGTGAAACTACGTTAAATAATCAGCGGAAGAAACTAAAAAAACCTAATCCCGAACAGAAATTTTTCCGACTGGTTGTCGGTTTGTATGCTGTAGTGGACCTACCCGATGGCCAACAGGGAAAGCGGCTGATACATGCCGTCGGGTCAGAAAACATCATTGTACGGGCATCGAATCCACAACAGTTCGAGCATGACGGCACGCCGACACCACAATGGCAGAAGGCCCCGCATGACGATGAGGCCATATTTTACACCGGCAGTATTGGGATAAACAACGACCGCCCAGAAGAAGCCTTGGACATTCGAGGCAACATGAGACTGTCCGGACGTCTCATTCAACCGTCGGATGCGCGAGCCAAAGAGATCCTGGAAGAAGTGGATCCCAAAGACCAGCTGAAAAATATCGGGAGGCTACGCATTGTGCGCTACAAATACAAGGACGAAGTGGCCAGGGTGTTAAACCTACAGGAAGAGGCGCAATACGATACGGGCATACTCGCTCAGGATGTGTTGGAGACTATTCCTGAAGCGGTGGAGGATATTGGGGATCTGGTGTTGGAGAATGGAGAAACCGTGGAAAACTTCCTTATGGTCAATAAGGACAGATTATTCATGGAAAATCTCGGAGCCGTTAAGGTTTGTAACTAGTCACTTACACACTCCTTATTGTATTTTGGTTTGATCAGCGTCACAGTTACCTCACCTTGGTTTGCGCAGGAACTGTATAACCTAACGGATAGTTTTGGCTCACGTATCGTGGAATTGGAACGCATGTATCGGAGAGTTGCTCATCTGAAAAGCCGTGATAGTTTTCGCTCAAATATCAGTGCCGTAACGACGAAATCCGTTCAGAGTTCAATCTTCACTTCGGTCTCGAATCGTCTGCCGACATCCGTATCGGCTCGACCGTCCATATACTCCGTGGCACCGCCACCCGGTGTCTTCACTGATAAACTTCAGAAAAAGCCCAGCACATCTGAGCCCGCATCGCTTATACGGTTAGGTAAATCGTACATGCAATGGTTGACGCTGGGTTTGGTGACCTTGGTGTCCATTTGCCTAATTGCCCTGTTGGCTCTGTACATTACGTCGAAGCCTGGTAACGACACCAGCGAAGACCAAATATTTACGGCCGCCTTGCAGTTCGGCTCGACCACTGCAACGGCATCATCAGCTCCGGTAATTTCCACTAGGCAACCGATTATTATACCGGGTTCTGATCAGGAACCTTTTTTTCCGCAAGTAATCGACGTGAACTGGGATGATGCAACGGTTCTATGGTCAACGGGGTTGTGCAAGTTCGTTACACCGGTCGCAAATGATGAAAAATGCGTACTCAATGTCACATACGCAGAAAAGTACTGCAAACGGTCGCCGTTCATGGAAACGGACGACTGTTGTGTAGCCATATCAGCCAATCAATTTATTCCTCCAAATTTTATTAATAACCCCATTAGCATAAACGGGCACGGCTATGGCTATGGTCGTCATCCTGCACCCATGCAGCTTCCGGAATACAAGACCGATCAGAACGACTTGCCCACAAAAGGAATGGATAAAAATTTGCAGATCTCTTTTGTCACCGAAACTGACAGTGGTATGTGTGTAGTGTGGAAAGACTATCTTGCAATTGTAATTGTACAGTTTTGCATTGCATGATATACGTATACAGTACATATGTAAGCTGGGAACTCTTTAGTCTATCTGAACCTCTACTGCGTATAGCTGTATATTAAATTTTGCATATGGTGTCGTTGTGAACTTGTCAATCTTAGTATTGTTTGATAAGGTATTTACTGCCAATAAGTCGGCGAATGTTATTGTTACGTAATTTTTGCAGCGCACTCTGGAGTGGATGACATAATCAAGCATTACCCAAACAAACTGTTTGGCAAAGAACTTGACGATGGCAATGCCGTATTATACCGTGCTGATATCAAACCAAAACAGGAAAAGGATTCCCGAAATGTAAAAAGCGGAGTTACCGATTTATCGGGGAAAAACGACAAATATATTCCCAGCGGCGAGCCATGTCCGGATATATCCGAGCACCAGACTGGTAGGGAAATGCGACTCCCAGCTTTTCGACGGAAGCTTGATTTTAATTCGGCTTTAAAAATTCGTGATGTACTTTCAGAAAACTGGGATATGGTCGAACATATCGATCTGGTTGAGCCAGATATTCGTTTGACTCGGGCGTACTGTAACACTCGTAAAGAACCTTGTGGTACGAATCATAACTACCTGCTCACCGTCCCATTAAGCAAGTACTATGCCGATCAGAACATCACTGTCCGATTCACGCGTAAAGTGGATACAGTGCTGATGACCTGTGCGCACTACATCGAAGGTGGAAGTTGCTTCCGGAATCAAAATCGTCCGGGTTTCGTTTGCCGATCGGATGAAGCTGAAGAATGGATTACTGTGCCAATTGCCAATTATTTGCGGAGTGAACTGAAAATCCGAGTGGCGGAAAAGCGGACAGCTGCACATTTTAATAAGAACCTCTGTGAAATCGAAGGTTCAAAAGATATTGTTTATTATAATATTGTCTTTGTCAGAAGCTGTCGATAACATTGGTATTCATTTTAACATCAGTCGCTCTTTGAACGTTACGCTGACCACAATGTGCAATACCTAATAGTTATGGCGAGTGTGCTTCAGGTTTTTATAAAATGATTCATGCTACTTACTGTATTTTTAACTGGAACATAGTGTTGTTGAACAGAATAAAAACCTTTTTGTCGTGTTCTATCACTTCTACAACTCAAAATAGGCGCTTTCGTTGTGCACATATGCACTTGCCATACTTAGCTGGCTAAAGTATATATATTTTATTTTGACCGCAAACAAAAACCTTTTCCATTGCCGGGTTTTTTTAAGATTGCAGGGCGATTGTTTTGCAGTCAGCTTACTTCATGTGCGCGTGTTCTACCTTTAACGCTCTTCGCAACAAATACTGGTTATCATGATTCATGCACATTAAAAAGATATCAGTCAGAGCGTCCGCGCAGCATTTAATTACTTACAATAAAGAAAACTAACACTAGAGTAGATCGCGATGTATCTGAATATACTTGTTTTAACTGGTGATGGGTAGTTTCAACAGTGAGGAGAAAAAGAAATCCTGTCTGAAACGCAAAATGCGATAAAACTCTATTTCAAATTAGAACATTACCCATCACTAAACAGAACATTAAAATGACTAGGGCTCTCTAATAATCACTAGAATGGGAACAATAATAATCGCAAGCACTTAATACTAATAATCAAAATTTAATGTCAAATTCTGCATAACACAGTATTTACCACATTGCCTAAAAGTGTAACATAAGCTAAAGAATTTAGTGCCCTCCGTGATTTTCAGCCCCAGCCGGCAACTGAATTGCCGGCACGGAGAAGGTCGTCGCTGTCCCTGTTGACTGAACAAGCAGCGGGTGAGGTTTTTCTTCCACCTCCTGCTCTTCGGCTTCTTCCGTTTGCGGTCCATTATTATTTTGACCACGGTCGCTTAATGACGGCGACCGGTAGCGCAACATGATATGCTTAGCAAACTGCTGATAAGCATCTTGATCTTCCGGATCATTCGGCTCGAAAACTGCCATGCACACCGATTTAGAGCGCCCTCGGCCGCTCATGCCACCCATACCCACATTACCGATGCCACTGGGAGCGGCCGGATCCGCGCCTTCCTCCAGTTCTTGGCCTTCTGGGGAGCCGTCATTGTACTCCGAATTAATCTCATCCAGGTCGGGTAGATAGCCCTCGATGGTGTCACATATGGACTGAATGCGGGAGTCCAGACTGTATTGGCGATTCTTACCCATCTTCTCCCCTTGTTTTCGGAATGGTCGACGGCGGCCTTGCATATGATGCAGATTAAGCTGCCGATTCAACTGTCGAGCGAATTCTTTAGCAATCTCCGAATTTCCGAATATGGCCGCTATGGATAAGCATGTTCTATTATACGTAGGTTAATCATTTTCACACATCCTCTTTTTTAAATTTTTGGTCGTGGCACGGGCAAAGCGCCTAAATTCCATTGCACATGTGTGCACTTTATCATTACAGATTTTGTTTGATAAATCGAGATTGTTTTAGCACCGAACTCCCGTCCTTACCGTAACTTCCGTTAACAAACTTTGGTGACAGTGGGCTGTTGGCCAATAACAGGCTAACACCAAACGGTTTCTTCTCTTCGTCCACTATGCCGTTAGCGACCACTAAATTATTAGCCTCCAGTGCCTTATCGTATGGCCGGTGCAGTTTCTTGAATTCCGCTAACAGCACTTTGGAGAATGCGCGGATGATATTGAAATCGCGCCGGATGTCGTCCAGTGTGGTTACCGGTGAGGTCACCGTATAACGAATAACATAGCGGCCCTGCAGATTGGCCGGAACCATGTGTACCAACCCGGAGCGATTCAGTTGCTTTAGAAGATTCTCAGTCCGCTCGTTCTCTCCCTGTATTGCAAAATAGCATGTTATTGCTAGACTATACTTACAGTTACACCACACGCACACCAGAAACCATTTAATCGTCTTGCTAGCATAAACATGACTGTGTTCACCTTGAGACGGAACACCACCATGCCCAGAATCCGCTCAGCCGGAAGCTCGAAATCAGGATCACTTCGCAGAAGCTCTTCAAACTGTTTCGCCAGCGCCACACCCTAATGAAAATTGAATCATGTTGTTGTCGGTATCAGCAATTTAATCTTCTGCATTAAATGCGCAGCAGAAGAAATTAATTACGACTACGTTTACATTTTCAATTTTGTCTTCGTCCTGTGCGCTTCGACGGTTTTCAGTGGTACGCACGGTACGGTTTTCAGTGTGGTACGGTTTTCAGTGCACTTCATTTCGAGTAAAATTAATTGTGTTATTATCTAATTCTTCTATCTATTAATCAACACTCTTGTCTCTTGATATTACCGGAAAATTTTTAATGATCACCAACTAGGCTCTTGCCAGACGTTGATATTGTTACGGTGGCATACGGATCGGATATTTTAACATCAAAATATCCTTATTTCGTGTTCGCCAATGGTAGTGCATAGTGCATAGTGACCTGCATACTTCTTAGTATCGTGGTTACTGCACTCACATGACGAATATGTTTTTGTAGTCCTTTAACTCCATAATTGCGCAGGACGAACCATAGCTTCAAGGCGCGGAAACGTCGACTGAGGGGGATTTGCCAGTGCTGGATGAGGGATAAGCGGTTAGAGAAGGGAGAATAAAAAGCACACTAAGTATCAATTAATGCACGTCGACAACGGCAGGACATCTGCTCATATGCGCAGGGGATGTTGTATACAGCTTTAAGCAGTTGCAGCGGCTTAAATCCGCCATCCCTGGCTTTCCCAGTGCAGTTGCATCCGGGGAATGCCCAATCGGGAACGGATGGCGAGCCAGCTAATAACAGGCACTCGTGGCCATCTAATCTAATCCCAATTACACGTCACTTAATCATAGCCTAGCTCGCCGTGGAATCGGTACTCGGTAAAGTGCCGAAGCATGTCCAGTTTTAAATGCAATTATATTCTGCCGACAGGAACTGCATTTGTGTTTGCTGCCGGTAACAGCCTGTTGCAAGCAGATAATTAAAGACTGTCGTAATCTTGTTAGATGTCTGTTTTGTTGAACTAAATCAGTAAGTTTATTTTGGTAGCTTCTTAAAATTAGATTCACACACCATACTGCTTAGAAAAACGTCAAAAAGTTTCGAAACATGCCTGAGTCAGGAAATCATTTTTAGTATTGATACATGAGAAATAGTAGGTCCGGATGTCCTGGTTACTTTAATTTTGCAAGGAAAGAAAAGTCTATAACTTCTTTGCACGTCAAAGGGTGTTTAATTTATCACCGTTACTTATGGCTATTCGTGGAAGATTTCTCAGTGATTAATTCCTGCAGTTACCAGTAAAACCGCTCCCGTTCATTTGTTTACGCAACTGTCCCACAATTGCCGACGATTAACGATACCGTCGATACGTACCATATAATCAATGGCATCGCCGGACTTTTCATGGCGCAAATATAAAGGATCCACGCAAAAGGTTCGATGGAGAGCGCGACTGTTTTTCACCCTAGTATGTCAAAAAAGAAAATGACAACCCTACAAACACATGTCCATCACAGTGTGACACGTTTTCTTTTCTACGACCCGCTAAAGATCAGGTTGCACGTCGTTAACGTTGTCAAGGCGCTAAACAAAAAGGAACCGGCATATAGCGCCTGTTTTACGACACCTAATGCGCACCTCAGAGGATTGACGATCTAACGCCGTCGCGCCATGTATGCGTTCGCGTGCCGTGAGCTCGTTAGTCACTGCCAAGTGTGCTAATGTTTATTACTGCGAAAACCACGACCTGCACGGTATCGTTCTATGTTTACGTTTCCGGCTCTATTTGTGGCTTACACCGTCGTCATATTTCCGCAACGCATAGCTTACTAATTATTTACTAAATTAAGCAATTAAGCATCAGATTTCAGCTAAAGTCGCTTGATTAGAAAAACTTTCTACAGCTTACGTGTTACGTAATACTGATGTACCGCGCAACTTACCACATAGCCGTGCAATCAAAATGGACCATAAGCCATTTGGAAGGGTTGAACGCGAAGGAATTGGCGTATTCAACACCTTGCATGAATGACCGATACTCCGGGCAAATAAAAGCGGCTCCCGCATAAGCCGCGTCAATATGCATCCAAATATTTTCCTCCGCACCTGCAATATCAATTAAAAATTATTATGCACTTCATCTATGGGACTGGTAGAAGTAAAATGTCGTTATTATATTCTAATGGCGGTGATAATCGCCAGCTGCACTTACAGATAGGCCCCAGTTCTTTTAAACGATCAAAGGCACATGCGCCGGTGGTACCCAGTGTCGCGCATAGCTAAGGAGATTTGAAAAGTATTTAACAAATTTAACAACAAGTTTATGCATGCCGGCGGTACAACGTTATTTCTTGTTTGGTTAAAATGGTAAAAGGTCACCCTTCACAAATTGGGTGATAAAAGATATAAGTAATGGAACAGTTAATTTTACATAGAACGGTATGAGTCCATCGGCCACATCCGCTTCCAGAGCTGTACGAAATGCGGCTCCGCCGATGCTGAGTTTTTCATCGCTGGCCACAAGTCGCAGTTTGACCAGTCCTATTAGGCCAGCTTTTTCGACTGAACTGTGGGCCTAGCATACGGACAAGCAGAGTTTTTAATACGTTCATCGGCGTTCTCCGATTTTTCATGCGATTCCTATGAAAATTTATACCTGATCAGAACAGTAACCAACCAACCGACTATTAATTTCCGCATCATCCAGATCAGGTCGAATTTGACGAACACGACGCAGTGCCTCCGTTCTGGCGGCCAGAAGGGATACAAAGGTAGCTTCGCTAGCTGTGGTCTAATAAAATTAGGCAAAAATGTTTATTAACTTCAAACAACAAAATATGAGTATCTTACTGTCGCAACCTTGTTCTAGATCTACCCTGTAGCTAGGCAGATTATACCTGAATAACTCCGCCACCAACCCCCGAAGAACTATGTAAGAATTCTGAAGGTAGCCCAATCATTTTCCCCAACCAGTCCATGACGATGGTTTCCAGTTCCGTGCAAGCTGGACTTGATGCCTTAAAACCATACATTAATATATACATGCATTGCAGATTCGCCACATTATCAGTTTCCGATACTTCTATGGTAATTACGACACATTAAGTCAAATTAACACTGTGATGTAAAAATTATTGTATTTTTATGCAAATATGCTCAGTGCCACCGCCGCATATACAGATTACAGTACAGAATAATTTTAACTGAATGCATAGAATTCAAAATGTTAGGGTTGCTGGTACCCAAGTAAATCCAAGACAATTAATGGCATCAGCCAACATGTCGCCCAGCAGGGATGGAAACGAATTCAGTGCTGGGAAATAAGCGTGCATGTAGGGACTTTGCCAGTGTGTCACCTGAAAAATTGTTAACCTGTGAACAACTGGTCTTGTTATGCAGCTCTAGGTATGGACATTTTTCGACAACTGATTTCGTACGTAAACTGCCAAAATTAGCGAAGGGCAAAAAACACACGTTGTATATCGACGATAATAATGTAAGACGTAAGTACTAACCCCAGGCATTATGACTCGCTCGACGTCGGAAAAGATGTCTTCCCATCCTTCGCCGTCTTGTGGTGCGCTATCTGGTACCAAATCCCTCATATAACCCGGCTGCACATTTGGGAACACTCGGCGAGAGCGGATGTTCTCCAGATAGTCGGCAATATAATCCACCATTTCTTTACCTATTCATAAATTCAAAATGTCCTAAATACTATTTTTGATAATAAGTACTGTTTTAATGCACGTTTGGGCGCACACGCGTGCTGGTCAATTATAAGTATTTTCTTGCGTGTTCGTACAAAAAAAAGGTAATGTAAAGTACGAAGTAGTAGCCATAGGCCATAAGTTCCCATAACCAAGTTGAAAATGCACATGCGTAAAGGTCGTAAACTATGTAATTTATAACTATCCATAATTAGCTGCAAAGCTTAGTATAGTGTAACTCGGATGTTGAAGCCGCGCAATAGCGACAGCGAAGTTGGTAATATCAGTGAAAAAAATACGGTATAGTATCTGAAATGTAAATATTAAGCTATTTGTGCTTTTGGTTACTAAAAATTAGAATTTGCGCCGACAAGCCGGATGGTATGTAAAAAGTCCGTGGCGAGTTAATTAATGTAGGCCCGCGAATGTCGGAGGTCACGCGCTTTGTGACCGGACGTCAGGCATGAATGTCAGTCTATCAGGTAGGAACGCTGCGACAGTATCTGTCGTTTAATTTCCTGTTATCATTGGATACTGCGGTAATTTGAGGCAACGTCGGAATCCGAGCATTAATTACTTGTCGGCTACAGTTGCAGCTACACCTGTTTGCGCTTTATAATATAATTGCATGAATCATTTCGGTATAGTGCAAGCGTGATTTTTCCAAAAGAAATCTATATGTGTACATAGTTGCAACTATTCTGGTGACGACTCAATAGCTCAGTTTGCATTCTGCTGTTATAGATGAAAACTGTCAAGTTATCACAAAATTAGTACACGAAATACATTTTTAAAGGTTTATTAAGTACGTTTGTGTTGTAGAATGGAATCAAACCACAGTAGTATCATCAAACTGATTATGGTACCCCAAATTCAAAAAGGGCAGATGTACCGTTTTGGTTTGTATAATAATGAAATTGCAATAGTTAACACCGGACTTGAACTGTTGATTAAAGACTGCATATAACAAATCGCATAAACTCACCTCGTTTTCTGTATTCGTTGACATCCATTCTGGGACGTTAAACTTGGTATGAGACGAGATGAAGACTATTTCGTCACAAGTAACTAGATAAAATTTTGCGATAAACTAATCGAAACATCCAAGTGGTTGAAAGGCAATGATGTATGACTACGACTTGGAGAAATCCAAACAATTACGAAGAAAATATATAGTTTAAGGTCACTGCTGCAACGTTTGGAAGAGCGTAAAACGGCATACGTATAATCAGGACCAATTGCAATAAGATTTGATAAACCGCACTTGCTGATATGATGTAGAACAACTCTGAGAAACAACTCCTGAAAGATTATCTAGTGGAAGGAAACTTTGTCATAATATTCGGAGATTATATAAAATGGATGGGAGGTCGGATACACCTGATACGACGGAATAATATCCTGCGGGCTGCCGGGAAATACGTTGTACATTTAACTGCCGGGGTTGGGCAAAACTTGTCGTCCGCTCTCGTATCACCCTTGTACGAGTATGTCTCTGGTAGGGATGATTGGGAAGAGCATCATACTCTCCCCCCGTAAAATGTTAGCACGGAGATCCGAAAAGATGCAGTATTAGCATGGCATACCAAATACAGATTTAGTTTGCCGTGGTATTAGCGCTATACGCCGTACATACCAACGTATATATGCCACTTGGATTTTTTTGTACAAAAACTGGATATAAAATGCCCCGTCTCGGTACATGAGGTACAGAGCCTAATCGAACGAGCATGTTCTTACGCGCGCGTACATACTCGTACGATGCGAATCCCATGGTGGTTCGGTGCAGGAATGTTAGCGTTAAGCAACCTTCCTCGAATTCCTCGAAGGTGTACGGTTGTTTCTCTTTGATTGGCCAAAATAAATCCAGAGCGGCATCCGTAGCGCTTTGTTTTGGCGGCAACTTTACAAAGGTTCTTTATAGAGAGATCTGGAATGAAGATAACAGTACGATTAATTGATAGAACATTAGGATGAAATACGCGTAGGACGGAATAGGATATTAATTGTTCAAAAAGTTCAATTTTCCTTGTCCATCTGAACGATGGTTTATCCAGAGACCAGAGGTACTACGGCTGCACGTCATATTATCAAGTTGGTATTTTTGGTGCCATACACTTGAAATTAAATAAAATTAGCGGAGCTAATTCCGATTAAGGCAGCGAAAAATGATGAAAGGCAGGTCGGCGTTTGCGGTCGGGTGCCGGTAGGGCGTTCGGGCAGTGTCCAGTTATAGCATTGTGTCTTATGGATATTTTCATGGGACTTTGTATAGTCGTACATAAATGTGCGATTGATGTAGCTGTCAGTAGAGTCTGGAGGTCAGTTTTGCGGCTGCTATAATTAAGTTTGAGAATTTTTTCACCACCCTCCCTCCCTTTCATTCTTGGACGGGTTGTTGTGGAAATGTTTTAAATTTGTAATAGGTCCGCTGTGTCGATTACCTAGAGTTTAGATGACCTTTTCGATCCGCTGCGTCGGTTACGTAGATCATCGATACTTTTCCCCCCAACAAAATACCAGTAAAGTCATTGTTGGTGTGCCGTCTTAACTCATTGTTATACCATTTTAACAGCATAAATAACGGTGGGCCCAAACTTGTTGTTGGTTCAGAAACAGGTTCAAAGATTGTAACAGACTCTTCAAATACTGTAATTTGTTTTCTGGAAACTTTGTCGTGTGCTTCTGCTTCATTTTTTACTTTTTACAGGCTTTAAAATTTAAAAACTATTCGTGACGTTGGAAATACCGTAAGAGGAAAGCAGGAAAAGGGCAGCAAGATTTAAGACTTGAACTTGAAGTATATTTTCTTCGATCTTTTATTTGTTGGTTACCCGAACTGTTGTCGTAAGAATCTGTAAAGTGTAAACAGCCACACAACAAATCATAAGAAGCGTAATTTAAGTTAAGCCTATACAATGCACATGTACATCGTGCTCACTGCAGCTCACATAAACACCATTTGCCGCATTCTGTATTACAAATAACGAAACGAGTTTTGAAAACGACCAAAACAATCGGCGAAAATTTATCCCGGACAGGAAAGAACAAGCAGAGTCCAAACGACAGCCGTCGTACTCCAGGTTATAAAGAGTCATAGACTTTTCTTCCAAAATTCTTTGTCATTTCTCTCTTCCTTCCCATTTTTTATTTGAGTGACACTACTGGTATCCTTTTATTGTATATAGGCACCCCTTTAAGGCCCTTTTGCATCGCGTTTTACGTAGACAACCCTTTTCAATACTTGACGCTCAAACGGTCGCACCGTGTTCGTTTACCTTTTTATAATTACAAGAGTTTATTTTTCGGTGTGGCCTTTGAACGAAAATTATTTTCACATTCTTTTTTGCTCAGTCCACGATTTGTATTAAATACAGCATGAAATTTAAAGAAAGAACGAAGAAAAATACACTCCGTCCAGTTACTCAAATCAACGAAAAGTTTGCAAACGTTTTTTCTTGGTACAGCTTAAGATCTGTTTTAAATCAGAAAATGAATGTACACTCTACATGCTCTGGAGATCGTTCCTTGTGAAATGTTCGAATATAGTTGTCTCCCTTTCTGAAAACATCTTTTGGATGAAAAAAAACATAACTTGTTTTTTTCGAATAGAACCGGGACACAATCCTCAGACAATTCCAGTTTTTCAGTTTTTGTTTTCTGCGCTACTTGTATTTTATTAATACAAGTATGCATATAAGATTTACGTAGAACGGAAAAGAATCATTGGCGACACGAGAAACTGGGTGTCGCAGAACGCAACAAAAATGAAAGCACTAAATTATGTACAACGAAAACATTTTTGAATAGCACCACTATGATATTTTGGTGCAAAATTCACCCATCTTGAATACAAGTTATAATATTTGGAAGGCGGTTTGCAGCGTTTTAGAAAAATATTTTCCAGTCATAAGGTCAAGATGTACACCCTATAGTCCGCAAACAAACGGGGTGCGCACAGTACCTACTGAAAGGGTATAATTTTATTGAGTTGGTTATTAGCTAGAATTTTAAACATCACATTAGCAAACATTACAAAACAAAGTAAACAGCATTAAGACCATCCGAACGTGGGACGGTCGACGTAACAGACAAAGCATTTCCCCTCTGTATTTCAATGCTAAGACGCTGGAGTAAAAACTCAAAAGAGCGTCTTTCTCCCGTAGCGTTCTTAAGCCGCGCGCCCAGCTCGCGCAGAAACTTCATACATGCTGGGCTAGATACACCGAAGGTCTCAAAAGCTAACGGAGCAAACTCGTATTCGTGTGCCATATATTCGTATTTCCGGCGTTTTTCATCTTCAGCTTTCCGGGCCGCTTCACCAGCTTTTATGCTGCTGCTGACGACGTTGGACAATGCAACTGTGTCCACGCATGTGACATCCCAAGCAAGTCGTCGTCCGTTTCTCCAAGGCAGCTGTGATACACCATCCGGCCGTCGGTCATTCACGTCGCTAGTCCCTCGTGGTTCAAGTACCGCCGGTGTGTTGGCGGTGACCAGGCTTCGCCGAATCACTTCGTTCAGTGACGAATGACGTATGAATCGCCCGGCGCTATTTTTGCAGGATAGTCCGTGGTGGCCGTATTCGTCCACGGGTAGACGGCAGTCAATACAGAGATGAGGATTACAGATTGGTGCGCCGATTCTTAGTCCAACCGCAACACGGAAACTCTCGTCAGACATCAAGGTTCCGAGGGAAGGAACAGGTAGAGCGTTCAGCCATTTTCCCGATTCCGGCTGTTCAACTGCAAGTAAACGCGCGCAGTGAGTGACATCATTTGAAAACGTGTTTTTGATAACTTCCACAGTCTTTTGGACAAGAGCTTTGTCCCAAACTTTCTGTGTGCGCCGCAGAATTTCTGGGGGCAGCTCTGCGCCCGCAGCTGCTTGCCACATCTGAAGCGCCAAGTCATAACTCTCCGTTCCAGTGGTAATGGCCGAGACCAAAGACGATGTGGCATGAACCGAAGCCAAATAGGCTGGAGTAGCTAGTTCTGCAACACGTCTGATCCCCAACCCACCACTAGAAACAGGGAGAGATGCCTGTGCCCAGGTGATACCGTCAATCTTAACGTTTGTTATAGCTTCTAATGCTGATTTGGTAACGCTGTCGAATACATCAAGTTCGTCTCCGCACAACCACGTTGGACTTGCACGTAGCACATAGTTCATTTTGGGAACACCGACACAAGTCCGCAACAGAAAATAAGCCTGATGAGCAGGCAGTATACTTAGCTTGGAGGTCAGTCTTTGCAGATCTTGTGTCTTCTTTTGAATGGCATCAGGAATGGCCGCCTGCAAAAGAGGAGCACCGAGCAGTATCAATTCACTTTCGGTGTGTTGCACAAATTCCGGGTAGCGGTTAGCAAAAGCTTGTTTCGTATTCTCGCGATCTTGCAATGTACCACCGAAAACAAAAAATTCACATTTAGAAAAAACCTACTGAAAAGGGATGCTTATATAAACAGTAAAACGGGGTGCAGTAGAGAGATCTGTGCTTAACCCGGGTAGATGGAAGCGCCTATACTGGCAATTTTACTTTATTTTTGTTTGGAATTGTTTCGCTTTTTGCGTACCAGGTCATCTATATAACTGCAAAAGCGTAGTGTGCGAAAGGGAAGGCAACCCTTGTACAATAGTCTTGCACCATGTCATAACAACCCTATGACTTTTTGGTTTTTGTAATTAGCCCTGATTTCTTTATATTAACCATCCCATCTTAAAAGAATGGCGTTGGTACTAAACCCTGTATGAAGTTCAAGTAATGAGTACCTGTTGTTGCTGCGGGCTGATCACACTAAAAAATACTGAGTTTTAGATACTTTAAAGTATCGGTGTCAAACTGTACATACCTATCCGTCACCGATATTGTATACTTTTCATGTTGTATACCATGTCAACGCCGTTCTTGTTTTTTTTTGCATTTGTACTGACTTTTGTACTGACTATAAAATTCAAACCGGCTATCACTGCGAGTAAAAATCGAAAGGTCGTGAACTTGAAAAATTATGATTAACAAGTGTTGTTGTTTTATAAACGAAGTGACAGTAAGCAAAAACTGATGAAATCAAGCACCAGATTTATACAACATTGGCTGGTCACAGAAAAATCAGTAAATGCGACATGCCAACTGTACAGCTACGTACATACTCATCACTGTGTTATCGAGTTTCGTTCGTATTACATCACAATATTCTCGACAATCTTTGAGTTAAATGTCACCACTCGAATTTTTGGCGACACGGAAAGAATTAAATTCCAAAATTTTTTGCACTTAATCATCTTCAGAGGTTGGCTGGAGAACGATTAAGCACTTTTCAAGGAGAGTATTTCAGTTGATGTTGCTGATACATAATTCATGAATATACCGTCCGACATTGGCTTGGCCTTCATCCGGTCCGTAAAGCATAGCATAAAAACTGAAACAAATCACTTAACTTTATTTCTGGCCGGTAGCCGATCCCTTACAGGTTCATATTTTCCAAAATAACCTTGACAATGAATAAGCTTATCCTGGTAGCGACGGTTGTGGCCTGCATTGCCATTAGCCATGCCCACGCTGACGCGCTCAAGGCTGCAGGAGTAAGCAGTGAGCACAGGGGAGCCAGTACTATCCCAAAGGGCACCATTGTCGGATCTGTCTCGGCTTCCGGTGGAAAGGCTCCCTTTACTTACAAGATCACCACAGGAGAGAAGTAAGTTGGGCAGTTTGTGCAGTAATAAACTTGTTTGTTTGCTTTAGTTTTTCTGGTAGATGCTTGATTGCTAAACAATTACTGGTACCTTCTGGTCTTTTTAATGCGGCACTATAAGCTAAACGGTGAAACTGGTCCCGACTTGCGGTAATTTTGCAAAGACCATTAATTTTTAGAGCTGGTTTGACAATTTTGTGATTGTTATGAAGGCTTTGGTAGAACTGACCTTTCGATTCGAATTTTTATTAGACAGCTAAATGGTATGCAGCAATCGATGCATGTTCAGAACTATGTACAGTAGGGTACTGTGCTGTTTTATGCAAGATCTTCATCCAGATAGAGAAGTAGAGAACTTTTGCTGCCTCATGTATCGCACTATGAGTTTCCCGCATCTCAGTTTTGCCTTGTATCCAGATCACTGATAAACCACTATTTGTTATACCCTAACGATGATTATCTGCATTGTCCTACAACAGCCAGCGTGTTTTCGCATATATGTTTTTTCCAGACTTGTTGAACTGTTCCCGGACATGATGAACCCAGGCGGTCAAATGATCCTGGCAAAATCTGAAATGATTGCCGCAGCATCAAACAAGGTTGCTGTTACCATCACCGACAGCGAGGGAAAAACCGATACAGTCCAGCTCAACATTCCTCCTCCTGCCGTGTCAACGGTTCCCAATAAGCCCCAATAACTATAATACACCAGTGAACTTTTTGTGTTATTTAACGTGGTTTGTGCAGCTCTGCTGTTCCTGAAAAATGGTATTAACTGACTGATTGCCACAATTTGTTAAACATCCTTAATTTTAATACAAAAATTTGCCCCCTTCACATTCTTCGAGCAACAGCTGCCACATGGTGACCTTTGTACACCAAAAATGACATCAGACCCATTTCACTCAGCCGCAGAATACAAAACATACCCGCTCATATCAGACCCAAAAAACCAGTAAAAAATCAAACCTTAAAATCTAAACATGCATGCCTAAGCCGTTATTGTCCGGCGAATCGCTGAGCAGTTCGGTTTCTGTAGCACTGCCGATAATTTCCATCCATCTAGTAAAATAAAAAACAATCACAACAAAATCGAAAAGAGTATATGAAACGAAAGAATGCTTTCTGATTAGCAACCTGACCTTGAATAACTGTATTCACTTTCCGTTCGAAAGAAATACACGTGATTGCGGAAGTGCAGTTTGAATACGTGGTCTTTATGAATTTGGTCCTCAGAGGAAGGCGGCGATACACGGTATCCAATCAGGGGAAGACTAGCAAGCGGGCATTCCTCAAGATTGTTCTTGAAGAAAAACATGGAGAAATTCGTAAACACAACCCAGAGTTTCTGCCATCCATCACTGCTTTTGAATTTCCGCAGTAAATATCCACTCATCTGCAACTAAAGCGGAAATTTGGTACCACTAGGTCAGATAGTGGTCTCGACATGCATTATTAGGTCCAGTGATCAGGTAATTTATCATGTAAATGGTTTTAAACAGAACAAACTAAAAAAAATAATAGGAAGTGTTGACTACCTCACATAAAAAACACGGATAATTTATTTTAATAGTACAGAAACTACTGGTGAATTCCCTACCATGTGTTTTAAGAAGGCCGTTTACGGAGAACAAATGTAATAAAAACCGACCCAGTTAATGCAGCGAGAAACAGATATACAAATAAAATATAAATAAATAACAACAAATATACAAAAAAAATAAAAATATTTACTTGGAAGGCCCTGGAGAGATCACGAACACCAATGGTCATATTGCGGTGCCAACACACATGCAGTGTCGTATTAGTCCGGCTGGACAGTGTGCTGCGCTCAACTGACGCTTTCCCATCCACTCCAGCATGCGCCGCTGGGGAGAGAGGTGTTGATTCCAGCTTATCCAAGATCTCATCGGAAGAGCTGTATGACTTCAGACTACCGTAATGAATTAGTTTGTCGTAGGCTAAGCGCTTGGACTGCTCAATAGCAGTGTGTAGATCATGCAGCCAGCATAATTTTTCTTCGGATGAACTAGGCGGAAATCACAATCAGTGTTGCAGCGAAAACTTATAAAACCGCAGTGCAAAATTTGTGGGCATACTTAGCAGCTATCACCAATGCTCGGTTTCCGCCGTAGATGGTAAAACAATGCTCCATGCCCATTTTAGCCTCACAATCCTCCACCATCATACCACGGATACCGATCTGTCCGTGGATTTTAAACGGGGCAACGGGGTTGGCTGTGCGATTGGCGTATAACAACAAATCGGTCAACTGCAATCAAAAACCTTTCGTAATCGCTAGCTGATGTCCATAATGTTCTGCATGAAAACAGCCCGAAAATCGTAATACGCTCCATCTTGTTAACTACTTTTGCCAAACGACAAAAAGCATGATATTCGTTTCAAAAAGGAGCAAGTAGTTTATATTACATTATTAGCAAGCTAGTAAATAAAAGCTTAATATGCGCCACCAAAATAGAAATATGCGGGATAAAAAAAAATATGCAACAACAAACTACATGTACTGCAACTGCCGCCAGTTAGCCTTAATAAATAATCCACAATTTCGTCTACTGGGAAAATCCCGGGATACATACGATAGAAACCATTACACAAATTCCCAGCTTACCAGAATAAACATACGCTGCTGGTAACCTTTCTTGGATAATTTCTGCAGACATCCTTCGCGGACAAATTCCTGCTCAATATGTCACAGGAGAGAGATTAATACCAGCCGATAGATATGTCATTATATGTGTGTACGGGGAAGAGAGAGAAGCGCAAATTACCCGTCCCGGTACAGCCAGATTATCAATTCCCATTAGATCGCGCTGCAGTTCCGCCAGCTTGGTATAGTGTTCAGCATGCCGGACCGCGTCGTGCACCGTACTGCTGGCACGTCGGAGATTCTGGAGGGCCGCTTCGCAGTCGCCCACATCCGAATGATAGGCCGGGTAATGATTCAGCAGACCTGTCAAATCAATCCCATCACCTCACTCAGACGCACATCAACACACGCCCGGCTAACAAGATCTGACCGAAAAACACCGGCACTTCCCGTTTAGCCAGTCGCAACATTTTAATTGAGTCAGACTATTATGTGCCTTTTTATGGATTTAAATCAATTAACTCAAATGGAAGTAAGTACTTGCCTTAATAATTACAGGAAAAATAACTGTTTTTGAACAACCGAACAGAATATTTATAAAGAGAATATTTCCAATATTATTCCCAAAAGAAATTTTTCCATTTCCTTCTAAAATCCAATGTAAAAAAAGAAATGTATAATCGAGAAAAGTAGTAACCAGCAATATAAAAAATTAAATTTTTCATCACAGAGCACACTGAATTCGAAAAAACGTACGTTCAAGAGCATTCTGATAGCTGAGCAGCCGCTGCGCCGGTTTGAGCAGGAAGGCCGTTAATGGCAGGTAGCAGTATTTCTCTCCTTCAACACGCCGGTACAACTGTTCAAAAGCTTTATTCTTCTTCAAGGCCACGTCGAACTCTTGCAGAAAATCAGGCACTTTGAGGAGAAATGCGCAATATTGGTCCAGGGCTTGGTTTTGTCTGAGCAAAAGGTCACCGATGTGATTGCAATCACTGCGATGCGAGGAGGCCGCGCTGCCGACCCGATTGTCCCTGTACACAGACCACAAGATGAAGTCGTACAAGCACCGTTGCTAGCTGCGTGTCACACGGAGAGCAGGAGCGATGAAATACTTGCTTACCAGGATGATAATCGATGTTCGATATCAACTAGTAGTGTCCCTTGACTCTCCCAGATAGGTTGCAGCAGACTGAAGACATTGTGCAGTAGTCCACTGGGAATCTCCTCAGACCGGCTCAACTCGTTTTTTAAATGCTAGAAACGACCAAAGAAACGATGCATGCTTGCCTTTTTATTAGATTTCCGCTAAGTGACTTGACCCAGCGAGAAAGTAGATTCTTCCACGGCGGAAGTAGCGTGCGTGTACTTAAAGGAATGAGTCCGCATAACGCATGCGTACTGTGCAATATCTTAGAATTACGATTAATGTAACCCAATTTTTTGTTGCGACAGCCACTAATAACCAGATTTATTTATTCTGTTTGTTTACTTGTGCGTTGCGGCCGCTGTTTCTTCGTTAAAACTAAAAAGCTTGTCTTTCACCGAACTTTCAGGAAAGCGCGACCGTGCAAAGGGGCGTTTATCATAATTATCATCTAGCATTACGACATTTGGTTTATCAAGTAATTATTAATTTCGCCACCTCAATTAAAACGCAATTTTAATCATCTGGCTTGATTTACGAAATTTGATAATTACCACGCAAAGAACTTCAAGGTCCTTCTTATACGTCCTTTCCCCATTAAGAATTTCCTTAGCAATGAAGTAGCCGAGATCGGACGGATGGCGCTAAAAGGAGAAACCAATAAATTATGCATGGTATACAGACGGCCATACAAATGTTTTCGCTATGAAAAATACATATGTATGTCGCATCTATTCTTAGGGCGCGCTTGTGGAGCAGTTGACAGCAAAATGCCAGTCGTTTGGTACATTTACTGTTACATAACGTATTGCACACCCAAGGAAAACCAATTAGCTTAAGTACACAATGACAAATATGCGTCCGACTGCACAGTGATGTGGGAGGCTGGTGAGCACACCCTTTTTTCCAGTTTGAAGTTCTCCGTGCTCATCGACATCATTAGGGCAGTTTACAGAACTCATGTACGCCACATTACAAGATAGATATATGGATAAAGCAAGAAAAAAACGTAAGTGCATAAAAGCTAAGTAAACCCAATGGCGGTGGCGTTCGCATGTACATAAAAAGTGGAAATCGGGCCTTTGCAGCAAACAGATACGATAATAATTTAAGTTGTAAAAAACGAATTTTGTTAAAAAAATTTGTCTGCATTTGAACAAACGCTTATTTTATGATGGTAGCCGACTGCTTAATTTTGCAAACAGTAGTATTGCAAATAATACCTCTCTTCTGAGTCGGTTCTGGCTTTGAGTCTCTTGCATACATAATACGAGTATATGAAAGCGCGTAGAAAACAGTTAATTTGTGATGCTCAATAATATTCGAATTTGTATGGACCACAATTTGACCGGCCGAGGCATTTTAATCCGTCGTGTCCAATAAAATAAACATATTCTTCCGCGAATTAGGGACAATTATATCGTAAGCTCAATTGAGCGTAATATAGAGTGGATATGCTGCGTGGCACTTAAGCGATAGCGATGCCAACCGATACCGGCATCATGGTCCTGCAAGCGGAAGTAGCAATTGCCTGATGGGATAATTACCGCTATGCTGCCCGATCCCCATACCGCTACTGTATATATCACAATCTTACCCTCTTCCGCCCATCCATACTGTCATCGGCTAATGTCCGCAACGATTCACCAAACGATTTACTCTCAAATGATGCCAAAAAAGACTCCTGGTTAGCGCTGGCAGCGGCTGCCGACTGCAGTTTCCAGCCGTTAATTTTGCGTGCTAATTCCTCCAGTTCGTGACCAGCGGATGGGGCTGGCGTGGTGCCATTTAGTAGGCGAGCCGATAGGGAGATTTCACTCTTACGCTCCAATGTCGATCGTGGTGTGCGGCTCGGGATATTCCTGATGACGTCTTAACCGAGAAAAAACAACAACCAAACACAAAAACTCACTTCCGGTCGTCAGTGGGTATTTTACTACCGAGAAAAACGGCTATGAAATGATACGGGACAACTGTTCACGTTGACAACCGCGGCATAAAAGAGCGTACGAGCCATCTATACAGAGAGACGCAGGCCCAAAACCCCGGAGGGCGTACAAAAGATGGGATATATACGCGCAGTCTTGCAATCAGCCGGAAAGTTCACTGCACCAAAGCGTCTGCCGCGGCCAATTGGTGAATTAGTCCGCGAAATCCATCAACACGCATAATACAATACTATCACTGGGAGTATCGACCATTTTTCCTTGATGTATACGCATTGCCGACCATGGTCTGTATATTATTCCCAGATATTCTCCGGGCTGCACACATACTGCCCACTTGTAAAGGTTCGATTAGTGTTTCATAATGAAAGAGCAAAGTGTCTAATTTGTCAAATTGCTGATGGCAAGAGGATTCACCATGACGGCGCAGGCGCACTGCAGCACAACTGGGATGTTGTTGCGGCGGCGATGCATTTCCCTGATTAAACCCGTCAGCGCGCACACATTTCTGGACACGGCGTTGCGTAGTCAGTTATATATGCGTGAATGCCATCATCAGCAGAAAATCATTTCAATGCCTGCCACAACTTTACATATAGTAAAACTTATTGAATGGCTGTGTAGCTCGTTTTGGCGTTGAATTCAGCAAAAGAAAATATATCCCGTCTCCCCATGTATGTACACTGCTATACACAGCACATACAAATTATACAACACAGCCGCTCAATCGTATGCAAAATCGATTCCGGCGGCAGGAGATTAAATTCGCAATGTTCTTTAGCAGTTGGTTCCAGCGGAACAAGTGTATGTGTTATACGCCCAAGCCGAGTATGTATATCAGTAACTGTACGAATGTGCCGCCAACACAGCTGGATTGCGACTCTGCTCTACCGATCCCGGACTGGCAGTCGTTACATGCTAAAGAAGACATGTCGTGAAAAGGACCAAAAAAGAGATATCCCAGCTAAGACGAAATGAGTTTGTCATTTCCCGGTTATGGCTTGTCAAGTCGCAACACAAAACGCCACTCACACACGCAGGGCGGATGTAAAGTCCAAAACTAAATCCGACCATGCCGCTGCATGACAGGAAATGTGCGCCCAGAACGCTCAACAGTAGGGTTTTTTGTTAGTTATTACATGCCCTACTCCAGTTTTACTTACACTAGTCAAATAACCACACCGTCGGATGATGTTCTTTTTCAAAATTATGTATCCAGACAAAAGCAGCAACAATAGTACAATATTCATTTTGCAGGACTAGGTTACCGACGCAACCAGAAAAACGCCGGCACGTTGCCAGAGCAGCGGCTGTTTTCAAGCCGGCTTTAATTTCATGAATAGCAAAAATAAAAGAATGTTCTCCAAGTGCTAAAACTGCTGGCAATATCAGTGATATTTTCAAGACCCCAAATTTGCAAGTAAATTAGTAAAACTGAAACCCAAAGGTTGTCACCAAATTAAAACAATCGTCAAGAAAAAAATAACAAAAATCACACATATTTGGCAAATTTAAGTATGAACCTGTGTTCAAAATCAGCTACACTGAATACATGCACCCTCTGTTTCTTAAAAGTTGAAAGAAAGATGAAATGCCTTGACTTCCTGCCCTGCGTAAATCAAACTGGTGCAATAATATCAAATTTAAATTTTGACACCTATCAAACGAAAGCAGTAAGGTGTTACCGTGTTAGCGATTATTATAAGAGTAAAGCAATTCAACATGCCAAAAATTACTCCGACGTGTAAATGGTGGCTTGTTGGGAACCTCAATCACGTATATCCACAAGAGCAGTTTAATTGCTCCGTCCACTTTCTTGTAGTTAAATAATATTTGCTGAACTTTCAACTTCCCCTAAGTAATCCTCCAACCAGTCTGATGTGTACCTAAATGTACGCACTCTATGGACTCTAACTGCACGGAATGCTGTCCAAACGATGTCGGAATGGACAATGTAATCAATAATACATGTTTTCCCATTTTAGAAATGGGAATATAATGACACAGCCATTTCGGCCAATGAATCGCCCGTTACGGTCTGAATCTACGAAACTTTCACTCTTCCGACAAGTTGGAATATGCGCACTTCACATTGGCAATCTATTCATGATCGGTGTTTGGGTTGGCTACATTAACAAAATAGACAAACACTTCAAAGAGGTTAATGTGACAATTGGAAAGTGACCTGCCAGCAAACAAATTCGGAGTCGAAATCATGCCTATAAGCATTTAGTTAACCATTGCTTAAATTTATGGCGTTATTTACTGAAAACAATGTTTATTAAAACATAGTTTTATAACTGCACTCAAAAGTTGAACAATGATATTAGTTAGAAACATACCATAAGAAATTCATGTTCATGATAACTACCGGACAGTTGCAGTTTTCAGTTTTGTAAGCAAATATTGCTTACTTCCTCGAATGTACAGTTTCCATACTCCGTACTCGTACCATTTATTAATATAATTTTTGTAACACTCTCGAAAATTACTGTACCGCGTACTCTCGAAAACTGCACCGCGTGTCACTTGAATGCTACCTACTCTTCTAGTGTCACTTGAATGCTGACTCCCTGACAGATAACTAGAACCCTGTATCGTTTTTGTAATGTTAAAATCATAAAAAAATTAAGCGTGCCACAAAATCTCATGGATATTGTTGTCCGAGTAATTACTGCCCTGTCGTACACTAATAGTAACGATCCTATTCCATACTGCTGGGTGTACTCGAACATCAGATGCTCTGGCAACTCTACTTTCCCTAACCAGGTGGCTGTATTGGTTTTCATCATTCCCGTCTGGTTTATCGCTTACAGCCAGAGCATCTCTAATTAAGCAAAGCGTGAAAACAGAAAGCAGTTCGAAAGAGTGCACATACTTAGAGCTAAAGTTTAATACCCTTCACCAGCTGAGAACCATGAAGTATGCAATAATAAAGGCCGCCACCGAGAATAAGACTCATGAACAATCAACAATACAACAGGCGGCAAACATAAACCCTTTCTCTAACAGATACAGAGAGAAGTAGAGAGAAATGCATCAGGAAACTTATTTTCACCAGGATTGAGAGAGAAAGAAACACGCTCATAAAAAAAGAAATGCCACACCGGAAGATCAGCGGAAGACCAGATTGCTTTTATAAAAAACCGTATCTCTTCATCGACTAGAAAAAGATGCTCTGACTGTTTTCTTACGACACATAAACCATCATATTCTTCCCCCATATCTGAGATATCAGAGGTAGTATTACTTGGGTGGGGTGCGGCGGGGTTCGCGCGAGCCACTCGGATGCGTATCCGAGGCACTCGTCTCAGAGTCTTCCCAGTCGGGATCACTACTCGTGGCGCGATACAGCCAGCTCGATCCGATCGGCGTCCGTCGTGTAAATGCCCGAAAACCACCTCCAGAATTCGATCCACTGCCCCCGGAACTCTGGGACGGGACGTTGCGCTGTCCGCTCGTCCCGGGGGTCACCGGCGACGGCTCATTGCTGGAGCGTGTTCCGGCTAACTGTTCGAGTTCCTTCATCTGGGCCTTCCACGCCTGGTACTCTGGCGGCTCGGCGACCACCGTCGTGGGCGGTGCCGGCTCGACGGTCACAGCCGGCGCATCGCGAAATTCCTCCGGCACGTCGGGAATTTCAATATCCTCGATATCAATCGGGATAGCGGACAGCTGACTAGGAGAGGGGAGATCCTGAATATTGAGATTCGGGCTACGTCGATCACCTTCGACGGTATCACTGCTTGAGGTAGAGGAGGTTTCTGTGTGAACATTGTACGTGCGCACTAAAGCTCGTATCTTTTTTACGCTAATCTCAGGCACATCCAGCGGTTCGTCAGATGTCGACGACATGTTTTCCGATGAGGTGACCCGGTCTAAACCGATACTGCATGTCTCGCGAACCGTTTGCTGAATATCGCCGTAACATCGCTCATCAAATACTCTTAAATCCATATCTGACAGATCAAAACTATCCCGAAACGACTGCGAGTATTCCGCGAATTTGGCAAGGACCGCGAGCTTAGGAGGCTTCGGAGGCACGGGTGGAGGATGGGAATCGCTGCCGGCGAGCGAAGGCCGACCGCGCCCATCCCGTATTGCTAATTCGTAACTTTCGCGGCGGTGTTTGGGTTTGAGCAGTTCCAGATCGCCGAACCCGTTTGGCGGTTCAATCAGCGTGTCTTCATCTTCACTATTCTGAAACGCGGTACTAATCACTCCAGCCATATGTTGGATCTCCGCTTCAGTTCTGGGATCCCATTGTGGCAGTGACCGCACGGAGGTAACTGTGTTAATACTGGTCGTTGAGCTAAACGCGGCCGATTCGTTACCGCTGGGATAAATCTGATCAAAGATCTGGCTGAGATTTCGCATATTAGTCAGCTCTTCCAGACTAACGGTGTCGTACGAATCGGCCGAAGTCGATGACGTCTCTGATTCGTTGGAACTGATGGACTCTTGCGACTGGGACTTTTCCCGAATCTGCCGCATTCGCTGCAGATACTTCTGTTTTAGTGCTTCAAACAGTTCGCGTTCCATGGAATCCACGGACGCCGAATCATCCTCGTATGAAAAGTTGCCCTCCGGTGGCAAGTTCTTCCGGTTAACGTAATCCAGTATTCGGAACTTGTTGGGAGGCGTAGGCACACGTTTGGCGGAGGTGAAAAGATGTGGACTTTCCGGTGTAATCTTGTGCGTCTCCATGTAATAGATGAGTTTGCCATCCTGATCCTTGGTCATTGAGGTTTTAACAAACTGCTCCTTATGCCCTGACCGCGATGACCCCGCCGTACTGACTGACGACGGCTTATCCCAGTGGATATGCCGTCTATACAGGACATAGGGAATGTCCTTGTCAATGTCCACCCCCGTGAGACTGTCCACCCGAGCCAGAGCATCTTCAGTATCTTCTGATACCAAAGCCGGTTGCACGTGATGATCAACATCAGGTACAACCGGAACATTAACTAACTCATGCGGCATTTCATGTGTAATATAACCCAGTGCGCTGTCACGGGATATTCTTCGTGGCGTTAATTCACCTTCCATCGTGACGGCGACCTCCTGGACATGTCCGTTGGGACGGTAGTCGTCATAGCGTTCCGTCCGCATAATCGTTGTATGACTAGTGTAGTCGTCAGGAAGGTGTTCGCGGGAAGACAGTGGCACCTGCTACAGTAAATCATCGTTTAGCCAAATGTAAACGTGCGGGCGAGTTGCAAGATATTAATTAGATGGCAGAACATCAGCTGATTTAAAAACAACAGTACTTTTAAAAAAAATTAGTCCATTACGAATCTTAAGAATCTATTCAGCAGCAGCTGTAAAATAAAAACAGTTTGGGGAGACAGAGGAAATTAAAGCAAAATGAATCAGAGAAAACCATACCCCGTAATGAACCTAATAATAGGATAATCCTTACTTCATGCGCACTATCCACTCGCTGTGTGCGTTCCAGAGTGCGACTGCCACTATCACTGCTCTTATCCGGATTAGTTGCCTGCAAGACAGCGTACGCATACAACCCTTGTTCCTACATCCAAATAACAGAATAAAGGCAAGGCAGAAACCTCTGTCACCTCCATGGGTTCACTTCGTGAGCGTGCCAACACTCCATTCTCGCCTTGTTGCATTTTGCGACTGCGTGTACCACCCGTGGTATTGTACCGACTGTCCCGCGTTCTTGCCATCGGTAAGAGCGGGGTCGCCGCCAGTGAAGCTCCACAACTCTGAGACGAGCGGATCCGGGAAGCCCCACTGGCGCGTTGGAAACTGGGCCGCTTGCCGTAATTATCACGAGCAAATTCCAAGACTTGCTTCTGCGTGCGGCCAGAAAATCTACGATAAAGCCCGGATTGACCTGGTTAAAAATCTGAACAACAGTCACCTTAACGGCATCGCTTACCTGAAAGACGAACCCGAAGGAAAGATTCTCGTTTTGGAACGAGGCAGCGATGCCACCATAGGGCATCGAAAAAATCCATGGTGTTCAATGCATTTCTTCCAGAAATTCTTGCAAGAATTTCGCGAATCAAAATAAAATTCCACAGTATCTTTATAGTAACCCTGAAAATATCACCCACGACGTTACAAAGCATTCCAAAATATAAAATATCCCTGACACAACAAAAAGTATCAAGTTACAGCAGCTAGACTTATGAGAGCAACCGCAAAACCAGTGGAAAAACTCGATTCACAAGAAAGTCGGCCAATACAATAGTTTAGCTAGTAACTCAGCAATCAATATTTCATTATCAAACTACGGCTTTTTCTACGAGAGAACATGGGTGCTCCAACCGGAAGTGAAACCTTAGTCAACATATTATGCAATTAGTCTGAGCCGCAGTCGTTCCCGAGCCACTTACAAATCCTTCTGGATGCAGTTTGATAAGGAAGCGTTTCCTCTTAAAGCTCAGCTTGCGAATTTTGGCCCATGAAAAGGTATTGATTTTCGCAAGATTCTGGAAGACAACTATGCCCATGTGTGCTACAGCCAGATTCAGGGCGACGCCTTCATGGTCCTGCAAGCAAATAGAATGCACACATTACTGCCGTAGTTGTACCACGTCGCGTACGCTTATAGCAAAACCACGGGCCATGACCGATGAACCAGACAGCAAATCTCGCTTCCGGTCACGATAAATACTTCCATAGACTCCCGTTCACGTTTCGCCTCGCACAACGATTTACTGGAATTCTTCCTTATCACTTTTATAACATATAATTTATATGTTATATCATATAAAGACTACAAAATTTCATCAGCAACGGATTATCCTTGCTCTCCACTTTCGATAATTTTATTTCTAATGATTTCGTGCTCAACCGTTAGTTAACTATCCTCTGGCTTTTAGATATCGATAACTGCAATGTGAAAGGTCGAACATTTTTCAAATTAATTAATTATATTTTTCCCAGCTCAGCAGCGACTTCAAAAGCAGAATCCTACCCTATTAAATCAACCCATAAAGCTTCCATAATTCCAGTTTTGCCCAAACATTACCCGATATCGTATTTCTGCTGGCAAACAACGATGAGAGAGAAGCAAATATCGTGTCCACTTACATTGGCGGCATGTAGGCGCATGCCATACATCTCACATCGTCGGGCAGTTTCCAGGAAATTCAAATCCGCTTCCGCCGGCGACTGACCAACGAGTTGCAGATGGCTATCGCGCACTTGGCTACAAAATACCCACATAAGAGTTCTCCACTACCATCACTCAACTGAATGCTACCATATGTCATCAATGCGCAATTATCACATCCCACTTATTTCGCCATGCATAAACTCTAATGCATAAAACATTACAAATACGCCGGCATAGTGTAATTACTCACACAGAGGATTAGTCCTTGGCGGGGGGCGACGCAAGCTATTTTCTAATTAATATCTTTATTCCCGATTTAAAAACTCTCAAATCCGTGATTTCAGTAAACGATTAATTTGTCAAAGCGTCAAAGGCTTTTGTTAGAAGAATTTCCCTTTCCATGCAACTTATAAACGATTTGTCACGAACAGCTGCTCTTGACAAAAATCAGATAGAAGTCAGCAGTAGCTATACGTATGGGCGAAATATTCCACTAGCGAAACAGGTCAAGTGACAACTTCTTCAGTTTACTAATAATCCCGTCGCGATCTAGTTATTCAACGGGAAGAGATGGGTTGACTGTCAATCCTAACATGGACAGCAGTGTCGTTCAATCAAACGTTAAACCGTTGTTCATTTATGGCCATTAATTAGGTTATCCAAGTAACTGTTAATATCGATAATGTCTATATCTCCAGTACGTACTGCCACTGGTACCGTCACTACTGGACTTGTCGTGCTCGGTTTTCCGCAAACGGTACGCGTCGGAAAAGTCAGAAGTAAGGTAAAAACCTTTTTACGATACAAAATACTTTACTTAACAGCTGAAGAAATTTATCACAAAAATGCAGATAAAAATTGACCACAGTACAAATCTGAAGATTAGATGAAAATCCAAATAAGCAAACTGTGCACCACAACCTTTGTTCCTCTGTGCTAGATTTTTTAAATGCAGAAGAGGAAGTGAACCATGTGCACTGTAAAAATCTGTTAAAATCACGCAGACACATGCTTGCATGGCTTACCTGAGAAACATAACATCCTGCTGAGGAAGAAACCGGTACTTGAGCAAATATGTGTAATCCCGATAATTATCCGGTGAATAATCACCCTCCTCAGCCTGTACAACATAAGCAGCCAACAAGGCGGCGGTGGTGTCTTGGCAAGGCATGAGTCCGTTGGCTAAATCTTTTCTAATTTGCAATACAAATAAATATCTACAATAACAAAACAAGCAATTTTACTCCATTGACCTACATTGTAAAGCTTGAAATGAGAGTGCTCTACAGTCTGCTACATGCCGTCAGAGATTAACTATCCACATCGATTGGGACAGACTACCGGAAATTAATTTCCTTAATATCCAAATTTAGCCTGGCTATAAAACTCAAAAGATTGCACAGTATGTTTTACCCTTCTTTCATCATAAATTTTTCATTTCAACGAAAAAAGTTGAACGTAAAAACCTGAAAGAAAAACTTCGAAAAACTGCGCGCATGGTACGACACTACTCTTGTGGTAACTGCTACTCAGTATTTTCATTACTGCGATCGTCAAATATAAAAATAAAATAAAGTTTCATAAAAAGAAACCCAAAGAAGGTTGAACAGGACTTTTCATGACGAAATCAGATCTTTGAAGCGAAAATAAGCACTACATGCCTCGTAATTTCTTCTTCCAGTTGTACGGGATCGGGTGTGTAAAATTTCACACAAAAATGCAGATTTATCGTGTTACTGGATGATACCGCCAATCCCAACTGCCGTCCAATGGGCCGTTCCAGGTCCAACCAGTACTGGAGACGTAAAACGCACATTATAAAAAGAAACAATCAGACTAACAGCTACTACTCGAACACTTAACATACAAGCAACCTGCTCTAATTTCCTGTCACACTTTGGCTATTCACGCTTAGTAGTGACGGGGATGTCCGTGCAACTAACCTTATTGCCCGTACTGTCAGTGTATTCCAAACCAAAATAATCATTCTCCAAAAGTGCTAAATGTTCACACACTTGGGTGAAGAGTTCCGATCCTCGGGCTTTCGGCTGCAAAAATACACTGGTGAGCAAATGACAGAGATTAGTCAAAACGGGGTCAACCTAAATGTGCTGTATTAAACTCAAATGAAAATGTCCCAAAAAATTACAGACTTTTTAACAAATTTTAGGTAAATTTGCTGATGCATGACGTACAGCGTTTTGACAAATTATGTTTACCGAAAACTGATAGCCAGGGCCGCATAATCCAATTTGACTGATTCGCGAACATATCGTCTTAGTGAAAGTCTAAAGCCCAAAAGTAACCAGTTCTAAGCAAACCTATCCAGCTGTATCTGTTATGAATATTTCATTCCGCTGCTGCCATGATTTAAATCGATTTCATAATAAAAAGGTAATAACTAACTGGAAGATTTTGTTACCGAATTATTATGACTGGAGAGTGGAGTTAGAAATTACGTGGGTGTTGTTATAGCCCATAAGTAAATCCCGAAACGAACTTAAAATTCCAAATGATTACGACTATTACGAAATAATCTCAAAATACTATTAACGCAAAAAAATGTCTCGGATTTGTCGCGGAGCATGCTGGCGGACTACAAGCGGAAGTCGAACGGCTACCTCGCACACCTAATTTCCGTATTGTTCGGATATCCGACCTGGAGTACGGAAATGTACCACAAGAGATTTCCGGTGAATAAAAGGCAGTTAAACAGCGACCTATGACGAATGAATCGTGGTGTTGTTCAATTAATCTTTCCGGTATTGTTCATACAGATCCGTAATAGCGGCAGTATAGTTCTTCCAGAGAGACCTGTGTCGGCCAATTAACCGGAACTGGAAGCAATCAATAGTGTCGTATGCAATTAAGGAAAAAGTGTTCCACCTCTAATGTGTTAGAATTATGGGAGATGCGTGCTGTCAGCACACAGCAGTTTGTTATAAAGTGATCGTATAAAAAGCCTACTTGCTCTGCGTTAACAAAGTTTAGGACCTCAGGTGAGATGTTTGTTCGGAAAGTAAAAAAATCTGCAAGCACCGAGCGAGTCTGGATTTACCAAAAAATATATAAATCAAAACAACGTACTTGATCATATCTTCGTAGATTCTCAGATAAAAAGCTTGTCATATTTACCATTCCAGAATCTTGTCATAATGATGCATCCGCAAGCATTTAGAAACGGTGGCAAACAATAAAAAACTACTGACTTACTCGTACGGCGTACCTACTGTCGAACCTTTCAAAAGGTTAGCAGTTTCGAAAAAATCATATTCTTCAATTTGCATTGAAGTTAATTTACTCATTAGTAATATTGTCGTCGTATGTAATATTGTCTTATAAAATCGTATGGTCTGGTAAATATCAAAATTAAGCACGCCTCAGTCATTGATTAGTGCACGGAAAATATATTGTTGCAACAGCTGCGCCCATCAATTTGCTTCAGTGATAGAACATATCCCTTCTAGATCACACTAATGCATGTGCCCTTTAGCGTCAAACTATCGCGGATCAATGGAGCAGTATTTTTCCGCGCTGAACAAATGCGACTAGTTATTTCACACAGCAAAAAATTTGCTATACACTGTCATAAAAAAATAAAATCCTTTTTGGACAGATCCTGCTCCCATTTAAATACCGCGCAAGCAATTTTCCGACCGCCTATCAGCCAGTGTTCTCTATAACACGCTTGCTGATCAACTTTATACGTCGCCCCATCCATTTGTTTGTTATCCACTCAACGTTCTTCCACGCGTTCTCTATGGGCTTTCACAAAAATTTGTAGCTCTTATGTCATACCCGTTGATCCACGGGCACATGAAAGTGAGCACACAAATGTTCCGGGATGAGCTAACAAATAGTGCGCTCTTCCACGTATTTCCGCCTCTAATCAAAGCATACATTAATTATTCACTATAGATTGCCTAACGCGCACCTTCCGTTAAAACACATTAATATTCATCATAAATATAGGTGATTGCTACATTATGTCGTATTTCGAATTTTTTTTTCACAGCGGAAAAAAGGATTGCAACAGATCAGTTGTGCAGATCCAACCACCGTAAAAACGAAATTCTAACTACTTTCTAAAATTTTCGTGCAACAACATCTGCAGTTCATAAGTTTTTTACTTTTTCGACACTGGGATATTAGAACTCATTCGAAGCAAAATCCCCAGCACGTGGTCGCAACTGCCGAAGCTGCCGCAATACGATACAGCCGAAGAAATTCAACTCTCATTAGCAGCCAATTCTCGTCGGGCGCATGCCGGTCGCATCGTTTCGTTCATTAGTGAGAAGAAAAACGAACGCTCAACTTCCTTCCGGCCTGTGCCGACGCTCTACAGCTACAACAAAGTCATGATTCTATTTTTTGCATAAATTTCACTCCTTAATACACCGCTAACTGACATTCAAGTGCAGCCAGCCACTTGAAAAGAACCACAAAACAAGCGCTCGGTCGAGGACACACACACAGCTCAAACCGGGACCATTAGGCAAAAACCGATAGTACCAGCACTTATCTGATTGCCGATGAAAATCTGCCGGCTACGCGAAATCTACATTAGCTACAGCTATGGGAGAAGGAAAATCTATCTTTCTTTTCGGGTTTCACTCGAGCTGCGTACACTGTGAGTGCGAGTCGGTAGCGGTCTGACTTTGCGCAGCCGTACAAGACTCCAGCGCGAGATTGGAACAAGGAAAATCAATGTGAATTGAATTTAGAATGAAGGGATTTACAAGAGGAAAATAATTCGCGTTCCCACTAAAAGTCTGGACGACGGGATGTTCTCAAGCTGACATTCGGCCCACTGGTCGTACTTATTCTCTGTCGTACATACTTACAGTCCGTGCACAGTGGCGCATGTTCTGTCGGAATTCCAGTATTACATCGCGGGCCAAGACAAATTAAAAATCAATAAACTAACTCTTCCCATGATGCGAATATATTTCCTACATTCTACTCTGACGGCTGGGGATATTCGTGCAAGTTTGTGATTTTATGCACAACACAACGTTAACGGCTGTTTTGCTCTTCACGCATCAACTAAACTGATTCGTCATAAAGTGCCGTCGAAATGACCGAAGGAATTATCATTTCCCCATTTCGTTTCCATACGAGTCGCACAACACTATCGTAATCCCGCTGCTTTCCTCGTACTATCCAAATGGTTGTGTATTCAACATTAAAATCCCGGCAACACGTTCAGCACGGAAACATTTTCCACATTATTAACCACAATTTGTCATGGATGTGGATAATATTAATGCCGCGTGTTCTCAAGTTCACAGAAAATGTCGGAATGGCTTAAGCTTCAAAGAGGAGAAAAAAAACAATAACCTTGTTCTTCTATGTAATTTAATTTACAGATGAAGGCAAGACAACCTTCCAGACGAGTGGCTTTTCTCGTCCGATGCCACAGAGCATGATAAATTGCCAAATGCATAACGAAGCATTTTCACTAACACACTTTAGTCAGCCTACCTACAGCATTATTTTTGGTCTGAAATTGTCTACTTCACCTATCAAATTCAACTTCTCGTAACTGAAAATAAATAAATAGCATGGCCACCTCGTAAATGCATGTTATAAACACGCTATGTCAAAAAAAGCAGCGACATCCACGGACCGCTGCGAATAAACTCTTGATTACAAATCTAGAGAATATCGTCCGTCCCCTTGTAAAAAGTCAAAAAACGATTTGTTGTAAAAAAGGATGGATAGATTAAAAGCAGTCGTATGTACCAATCCCATGATACACACCTAGGCAAAATGGAAACGGACGCGACAGTAAACAGTCGCGTAACCCATTTTGCGCATGGCAATGGGACTGTAACCTTTTGAACAAACACATACTATAAAAAGCTTCAAGTATTTTAATCAACAAAAGTTTCATTTACCGCCAAGTCAACAGTAGTTCGAACATGAACATCACTACGGAAGCCGCCAATAATTTATACAAGCAACAGTTTCGTTATGCATGGACAAGAAGCACTGGAGATGCCCTGAGTTGCATTTTCACACAACTCTGCACAGATATGGTTGGAGTACTGTAGTTAGGTGTTACGTAAACCTTAAAAGGGATCATACGTACGGGAATACAGAATCCCACAAAATTTAATTTTCCTCATAAGCTCGAACTGAAACATTTCTATCAATACCGCGAAAGTGATTATCGATATTTCAGCTTTCTGCTAACGATTATTAATCTTAATCTCAATGCTGTGCAGCTGACCCATTTTTTTCTGGAAGAACATTAGAACTATCTATAGTGCTAGATTCTGCCCAACAAGTTCTACAAAGGGAAATCGATAAAAATTTTTCGGCTATCGTAACACAACAAAATGAAAAACCACTGCATAGAAAGTAGCATAAATATCTGAATACATACAGTCTCGTCAACGTAACGGCAGTTATCGCTTTCCGTCAAAGCCGACTGTTTGCTTGTGCGTAAAATAACAGCACTGTTTACTAAGCGAACGTTTGAAATATCCTAAAACGCAATAAACTCTGCTCCGTCATGCCTATCCAGCGTTACATAACCACTACGCTTCCCAACCCAGACATGAATTCCCTGAGCGTTTTTATTCGAAAAGCTGTAAGAAATCGGCTTTATATCTTTTTTAAAAAGCTGAAAGTGACCAAAGTCCTTCTCGAATTCACTTACAGAATTTTTAAAAATAATATGGGAATCATCCAAAAATTCCACGCGACAATTGAGCGATTTTCCCGATCCGTGCGATGATGGCATATGGGCTCCGGACGCCTGACGGGACAGACTGGAATGTCCATCCCCTCCACCGCGTTGGATGCCATTGGAGGGCCCCACGGGGGGCACAGCCACTGTCGCGCTCATCCTTGGAGAAGCTCCTCTTCTCCGATCAAGCCCAGCCTCCACTCCGCGCCTAATGCAAAAGGAATCAATGCAATAAAAAAATGATTTCTAATTAGCGTACAAAATAATTTCGAGCGCTTAGCAAAAATTCCAGTAATTCGTACATACTACATACGTCTTAGTACACGAAGTTATGGTGAAAACCAGCGGCACCGTTTTAATAATATTAAACCGAAACGGTATTTCTATCTTGTCTAGTAAAGCGATAACAAAATTACGGCTACCCAGAAAATTATTCGTAAATTTTTCATGGTATCTGTGTCAGCACGACAGCGTCATTTTGAGCGAATTTGCTTTACCAAACAACTGCAACCAGTCCATCATCCATATTACAAATTACCTGTTTAGCACCTGCTGAGCCAAATCGCGCACAATGGCAGCCAAAACGATTCAGATCATCATTATGAATAGTCTGATAAACGAACGAATAATACTGCCCAAGGCGTCGAGCAGCGTCGCTACTGTGGATACGGAATCTCAGATAGATTTAAATCCTCACTCTGCTCGATAAGTAACTTTGAAAGAACTTTTGACATCTCCGCTACTCCTGCCAGCTTCCTTTCCTTCCTCTGTAACACTCATTGCTACTCGCGGCCGTGCGCTCTATCTTATTAGATTGCCGATTGCACAACGGACGCCGACAACGGGTTGCTAGTTGTTACACAAAATCATCACTGGCTACACCGACGTCACTCCGACCAATGGTATAACGAAAAACAACAAGGCCCGCCTAATATTTTCCAGGGGGCGGATCTGCTTTCAAAGAGGCGGTTGGTGCACTGCTGCGGTATGTAATTAGCTCATTTGCATGTATCCTTAGCGCGTCGGATAATTCCAAAACAGCAATTAGGACGATACAACATAAATGTGACAAGCAAAGGGTTTACATTGTAGAAGCAAAATTACATAGTAATGCGTTCTCAAAGTGTTCGACTGGAAGCAGGAGCGGAACAGGATTCTAGAAGTTTTTTGGCCATGCTGCAGCTGGTTTTGACGTTCGATGAGATGAGCCGCCATGGTACCGGTCCGATCGACTACGATGGGGTGCTTGCTGTTGCACACTTTAACAGGATGCGTATGTTATACGAGTAGTCTGCGACTCTGCGTCATGTCTTACCATCTAGCTTTGACCCAGTTGTTTTTAGTAGTTTTTCCTCTGGATCAGTAAAACGCTATGATCTTTATAGGGGAATCAGTTTTGCGATGCCATGTAACTGGATCTGTGTATCCGCGATTGGCTTGCTTTCCGCTTTCAAGTGTATAATAGCGGAGACTCACAAATTGCTTTGGCGCGTAGATATTGTAGCTAAAACGTAAAAGCAGTAAAAAGCACGACACTTTGGCCGTTTGGCGCATGTTGAGTAAGCAGTCAAAGCGATGCCCAGCGGCGACTCATCCGGAAAAAGGAACAGAAATTTGGAGAAGAATTGAACAGCAATTAGGCTAGTGCTCCACTAGACCAGCATACCGGCCGGCATTATAGGCACACAAGTCCGACAACAATTTGCGCAAATAAATTTAACTCTGCTCATTTTAAAAGCAATCAAAAGCGGGATGTACGAGTACAATAAGACCTCTTTTAGGAGTTCGTGCGATTTTGCTGTAGATTATGTTTGCTTTTAATTGCAGCAGTCACGAGCAGTTCAGCTGGATTTCACAGTTTTACAAGTAATCAGCATTCATGAATTGTACTACGTAGTCACTACGAACGCGTTAATTAATTTTGCGGTAATTTGTAGCAGCTCATCACTCATCAGGCCTTGTAAATGGTAATTATAAGTCAAAAGACTTTATGCAGTATGTTTAAGTAAAAGGCTACGCCTCGCGTTTACATCACTAAATGAAAAATTATCAGTAATAGTTTGACTAGTAATCTCCTTCCCAGTTCCCACACTCTGTGAGTGCAGTGTGCAGAATATACTAACTGCTTTCCTTGTTGTCGCAACATCACCTTATCAATTTTGTTTAGTGTGCACAATGCATCTGCTGGAAGCGGCGAAAAAAATTCGGTACGATATACGCACTCGTCGCATTATACCACGAAAAGCGACGAAAAAGCTACAGTATATGCGAGCAGTGTCTGACTCTGAATCTTGTTAGTAAGGACACAAAATACAAAAAGTGGCGTTTTTTGTTATTAGCATGCGCATTTGTTGTTATTATGATATTCAGCAGCAACCAGCACCCAGAAATTTCATTTTCCTGCCGACAAACTCGTTACTCAGAGACGATCAATACAGATAGCTTCTTTTCCCAGGAGTACCAGTTATATCCCAGTATATTACTTTTTATGAAACCATCGAAGCAGATAGATTGGTGTTCTGGCAAAGATCTGTCCTACACTAACATATCGCAACCATTAGTCTAACGAAAATTATCCACAGTATACAGTAAGACCAACATGGGAAAAAACAAGGCTTTACTAGTACAGAAAATTGTAAACTACAATAAGCACAAATTTTTCACATGGCTTGATATCAGCATCGGTCCATCAGAACCACTAAAATCCTCTAAACGACAGACCGCATGCGCAGCAACTGACGCACCAACCGTGCAAACGAAATAGACTCAAGATTTCCGCCATACACTGTTGAATTATACTATGTGACCCGTTAATACAAAAACTCATTTAAGATGCAGAAAGAAACATCATTCATCTCGTTGCAGCAAGAGCGCAGACAATCGCCAATCTTTACGCAACGTATTGGTACACTGACCTACAAAAAAATAAAGGTATCGAGAGTCAAACATCGATACTGATCAAATAGACCAAGGAAAAATATTAAGAGCACATCAATAACTTACCGGTTTTCCGGCGTCCTGCACAAATATTCCCGATCGATTAAGCCCTCAATCCGTTTCTTAATGGTTGTCGGGCTGGGAGCAAAACGCAGACGCAGTTGGTCTATCACTTCGGCTACCAGGTTGGCATGGGGCAACTTTTTACGAGCCTTCATTATCCGCACAATAGCTGCCTCAATTTCGTGCTTCCGGTCTTCATCCACTTTAGCGCGGGTCTCAACGCGATCCTGCTCCTGCTCGTTTTTACCGGTTCCTAAATTTCCCAGTGCAAAATTTAAAACACAGCTACCGATGGTAAGTTTTTCATCGACTAAGCAACAAAACCCAAAGCGAAGATCGTTAGTTCACCATAGACATTTTATGCACATGCTCTGTGAATTGTCCAGTGCTATAACTACGTAGTGCGTAATTATGACCAGATCATCACTTCTCGTACCTGCTTGGATTCTAACACGAACCATCCGTGAAGTAAAAGAATCATTCACAAGGAAGCTCGTATGGTCACCTACAAACGAATTCACGTTACGTTTTCTGGCAGAAAAAACATTACAATGAAGTCGTCTTCGAAGTCGAAAAAAATTACAATAAACCGTTGATACAAGATGGCGGCTCATTTAATCTAATGGTAGCTTCGTATACCATTACGGCACTAAAGTCGTTAATCTAACTTGCTGTGCTAATTGAACGGTAAGCTGATATGATACCAATTTCGCCCGCTCCGTTGTCCTGTCTCAAAAGCAGCCGTTGTTTTCCCATACAAAGGCTCTGCAGCGTGCGCTTTAGCTCACGATCAGGGATTCTGGTTACCGCGAGCATCTCACTGCATCTCCATTCCCGCTGTTCGTTGAAGAGCATCAAAACACACATCTGATAAGTGGAAACTTGGAGAATGTGTTTTCGTATTCCGCCTCTACTGCTGGCCGGCACCACACTGCTGCTGGTGGACGGTTGCGAGTCGTCGGCAATTGGTGGCCCATAAAACGTTGCATTCAAATCAGCCATACCCAAATTTGGCTGCAGGGTCAACTGACGTCCATTGTGTTTGTTAAGATAGAAACTAAAAACATAGAACACAATAACATTGGGAAAATTGTACGCACTTCGAGAACACTTTGTGCATCGCAATGCATTGTGCACTGGTACTCGTATTATATACCAGACATTTATACGGAAAATTATTAAATTATGCATTAGATAACACTGTTAACGACGTGCATACTTCTATCACAGAAGTATTCGAAAGTAACATTCTGAAAAAGCGCAAACCTTTTAAACTCTGTAAAAGAAGCCTGCGCCGCCGCCGGTAGAACGACATCGACTTGACAAATTTGCATTGGCCAAAATCCCGTTGTAAGCACAGACATATTCAAATCAACTGGCAATTTCTTCTAAAACACAAATTATTGTCAATAATGTAAACGATATGGTGTTGCTGTATCCACGTACCGTTCCGCCCAAATAATCCTTGAATTCATCGTTAATATTTTTGGACAAAGTAATATCTTTAAACATTCCTTCCAATTTGGACGTAAACTGATACCCGCATTCCTGCTTTAGTTTTCCGATCATCATCTTCTCTGAATCATCTGACGTCGAACGATTAAACAACAAGCGCTTGGCCAGATGCTGCTTATAGTAGCGCTCAAAAACGTCCTTTTCTTGGAGGAAGCGGAATAAAACCATGGCTCTGTCCAAAACGTTTTCGAGCTCTTGTTCCGTAACCTAAGTCACATAAGTACCTCCATGTCAAGACTAGAAGCATCAGCAGTAAAAATAGCCACACTTACATCTTTATTTCCCTTTTTCAATTTGTCGTCGATAAAGAGGGATAAATATTCTGGAGATCGGGGATTCAAATTCAAAAACCGCTCAAACGCAGTGGAGATCATTGTTTTGAATCGACGATCATTGTCAAATGACTTTTCAAGGAATTTGTCATAATCATCCTTCAGCGTTAATAATGACTGCAACCCGCATCATATTTACGGTAACAATGAATACTTCCAGGATAGTTGCAACAGTGAATACTCCCAGGATAGTTGCAACATGTACATACCGTAACAAAATTTACAGGATTTTTGGGAGTCGCCTCTTCCTCTGTGACGAGGTCTTTTCCCTGGTCTCCCAAATGGTTGCCAATGTACTGTAGCATCGTTTTCATTCCCTCAGTAACTCGATTAAACAGCTTGTACATCCTTGCCATGTCTGAAAACAAACAACTAAATTAATTTCCCGAAAAGGGCGAAGTTACAATAAAATATTCTATAATATTATATGAATTCGCTAACGCATGGCAATTCATAGACGCATTGCAATATTATGATTCCTGTACCAGAAGTCATTAACTACCTTCGTATTTTTGGTTCTGGATGCAGAAAACCACACCGCCTGTTTCCATTAAAACCACTGTATTCAGATGCTTAACAATCAGCTCGTCCTCTACCACCCGAACGATATGCGCTTCGCTGGAGTTATCGAGGTAGTGTTTGGCTCGTTCTGTTTCTTCGTGCAGCCTCTGCTCAACTTTCTGTACGTATTCCGAAGCTGCGTTCTGCCTCAAATAATTTTGAGCTTCCATCTAAAAAAATTATAAACATGCCTTTACAAACCCCATTTAGCCAACAGCAAAGGAGAGGAGTTAAAACATCAAAGGTAAAGGAAACAAAAAGCCTTAACATTTGACTTCCATTACTTAAGCAGAAATTCGCATACATTATTCCATTCTTAATTATAAATTAATTCACTAATAACAACTCTCCAGTAGCTGCAAACATCGAAATACTGTGCGTTATTAATACATACAACATGGCTACGTACTCTGAAAAATTCACCGGACTGCTGCAAGAAGGGGCGCTCAAAATCATCCTCGTAAACCTCCCGCGTACCAATACCCAGTTGCATAAGCATCTGACAGGCATTTTTGATACTGGACCGATCAATTGTCTCGCCACGCCGTTCCCGTGCGATATTATCCAACAAGGTATCGCGCAGCTTCTCACGAACCTCTCCATAATGCAGGACGTGATCACGGAATAAAATCAGGCCCAAATTGTACACATTATCCTGATTGTTTTGGTTGACGTAAACACGATCCTATGTACAAAAACTGTTACAAAATATGTCGGAGGCAACTACAGCAAGCGTATATTACTGAATTCAACATGCACAATTAACGAATTATCTACAAAAAAAATCAACAAAATAAATTAAGTAGAAAACATACTAGCACCGCTACATCATGAACTGAATTTACCGGGTATGTTCGCACTTACCATGTACATGAGAATGTCTCTGATCATCACCATACTGGTCGTGTGGTCGCCCCAGTTCTGATTCAACGTAGTCAGAAAGTTGTCGTTTAAAGATTTCAGCACATTCTCGCGAATCTACAGAACAATTCCGAACATAAACCCTGTTACCAGTCATCACTAAACTTACAGTACGAGAATGCAGTCTATATTAATATTCCGACGAAGTTTGCCACTGGGAAACCACCGGGAAACACGAACCTGAGTGCCGAGGTGCTGTGTAACGACTTCGCGCAGCCCTTCATACAATCGCGCCCCATGTTTATGCAGCACCATTGTGTACGCATTTCGGTATAATTCTTCAAAACTAAGCCCACTGTTATTTTTCCTTTGAATTTCCTGGATGGCACTCTTTAGTAGCGCCCAAATATCGTTCAGATACTTTTCATCCACATTGTGCTGCTATAATAAAAAATATCAGTTTATCCGGACAACAGATTTAAAAATCCCATCTTAATTTGGGAGTAATGACTAATGATTAAATTCCTGTCGTTATAACAGTACTTAAGTAAACGAAATCAAATTCATACCGGAAATGCTCGAATTCGCATTTTGTGACTGTTATTGCTCCCACCCCCCCGGCCAGGCGGCTGCGGTACTTGAGCCATTAGGTGCGTGTCGGTTTCATCCACCAAACAGCAAACTGTAAAAACCCATACAGTGACAAAACAAACATTATGCGCGGTTTGAATGTTGAATACAAACTTAAGAACTGTAATTTGTAATGAACTAGAAACCGAAAATCCTAAATTCAAGGTACGAGGAAGTTAGGAAGCAAATCAAACAAACAGAAGCCCTGCAATGCTTACAGCATCTGAGCGCATCTTTTCACATAGTCAACAGCTTCAGAAGTCCACTTCCAGGCACTTTCGCATTGTTACAATTGAGCTTTTCACGATAATTTTTATTTAGTTTTAAAACTACATAACAAGAGCACCAGGAAGTAGGAAAGCAAGAAGAAGACACCATTGTATGGAATCTGTCATGAGTCTTATGACGATCGACGTCCGATACTCGGCACAGCAGAGAAGTTACCCATTCAGTTCGCCTTTCGTTTCATGCACGTTACGAAAATGAATAAGATTAAAAATTAAAAATCTTCGAGATGGTACCTTTTAGAAATGTTTAGGTTGCCAATCTGTTGAATACAGAACCACTCAAAATGGAAAAGTTCAAGGTCAGAAGCAGTATCGTACTCCACTACAGTAAGTACTTGTACCACAGACAGTGAGTGCGATTTACTGCTTTACCAGTTTACCTGATCAAGCCATTGCAAGATAGGCATCAAATTAACAAATTCCAGTGTTTTTACCAAATTGAATTCGCCTTAAATAATCACCAATCGGAGTGCTAAGCTAGAAACGTGAAAAGTTTCAGTTTTCGGACTTTTGTCAGAAACTCTGAAAAGAGAAAGTAAGGGGTCAGCTGCATGAAATTAAACAAGGGGTATACTAGTCAAAAATTTCCTCACCAAAGCCTAATTATCCTAATCGAATAGTATCACAAAGAACCGAAAATACAGAACTGTGCAAAATTTACGATATCGAGTAATAAGCGGGAAATGGTTGCTGATGCGGAAAACTGAAAACTTCAAAGATCCAAACCAAAACTGTCCCAGGTAAACACCGTAAACGGTACACAAAATCCAGTTGAGTTCCAGCTTTCAGTGATGTGTTAAATATTTGGCTGTGGGGTAGCGTGCCGAGCCACTATCGTTACCGCTAGGCGCTGCTTGTTATGTGATCCTGCGTAAGGGCTATGGACCATGGGGAGTTACTGGGGACATTTGCTTGCTGCCCGCCTGTCCTTCTGCGTACTCTGGTTTTGCAAAGATCTGGAAACAATTAAAAATCAAAACCATGAATAAATAAATCTTTCTTATACTCTTTAATTCAATGCAACCTAGTGTGCATTATGCATAACTAAATATCGTGCATTGCAGTGATTGCACAATAAGTACAAATTTGTACTAGAGAGAAGAGACAGAGTTCACACGGGTATAATTATATAAATTATAAATACGCGGCCTGAACCCGGCCTGTCTTCTCTAGTAACTTTTAAGTTACTGGTTGAGCTCTTGTCCAGTTTACAATGAAGCACTTTAACTGTAATGAATAATTATAAATTATAATTATTTAAACGCATTTCCGTGTGATCTGCACATACCGGATTTTTATGCCGCGGTTTCAGTGTTAACTTAATCTTTTGATTTCGTCCCAATTTGTGTCCCATCTCACGATCAATAATGCCTCTTTTGAAAATTTCTGTAAGTTAATGAGGTGACTGTTTTATTTTTCGATGTCACGACGCGTCATATCAATATGTCGCAAGTTACAAACTTACAACAGATAATTTCCGATGCTTGCATTAATAATATCAACAACAGCTAACGGGCAACAAGTCAACAATAAGTATGTATGTGCATCAGTACATGACTCACTTGTCAGTCCGTGTACACGGTTCAATGCATCACACAATTAAATTTTGTGGTTTGCATCAAACAATTAAATTTTGTAGTTTGTATCAAATAACTAAATTGACCAATTCACATATTCAACCACGTGGTAAGCTAGTCACGTGGTTTCCGTCTCGCATTTTCAGCAGGTGTAGATCGCTGTTTACAATATGCAGTTACAGCATTGCTTTCGACACTAAATGACTAGGTGAAAATCGTAGGAATCTGGATATCATCTCATAAAAAATGTTTTTTTACTGCGCTTTATTTACTCAGTCGCTAGTTTCGACCAAAAAATTAATATGAGTGGTGGAGTCAGTCAAACAGATCATTCGCGAGAAGATTCAAGTGCGTCTACCAGCACGGATCATGCTGGCTAAGCAGTTGTCAAACAAGAAGGTACGATCACAGCTGAACGCAAATATATTCACGAATTACAAAAACATTATAATAATTAAATGTAGAAGCTTAAGCAAGACTTGCTTTCATTTTTGTTTTTTTCTTAGAAAAACCGTTGTGTATGGCTCGGTGTGCCACTGTGTGTGCAGAGTGGCGATGAGCAAGGCCCAGAAAACATCCACTGTATGCTGGTGTTTGACTTTCGCTCCATTGCTTCCCTACTGTTCATGGAAAATCGTCCACGTACGCGACTACGCGTACATTTTTGTAGATTTATCCTGGGGCTTACATCTCAAAGATAACGATAGCACAGCTGAATTGGCATCCTGCGTTTCGAAATCTGCTGCAGCCAGAAAACGAATCCACCATTATGCAAGCAAAACTGCGCGGCGAAACTCAGCTGTTGAAGAATTAGGCCTGTGTTTCTTAACATAGCCTGTATTAAAGAGAAAATTCCCTGGCGAAATTTCCAAAAAATATGTAGCTATCAGGCCCCTTAGCCAATTAAAAAAATTTCACTTTTTAAGATCAGAAAAAAAGTGAAAGCAGTGAAATACACAACAAATGCAGCAGCAGTCTGTAGAATCTACACCTGCTGGACGATATTAGCAAGCGACCACGTGACAATCAACCAATAGAATGCTAGTCCGTCCTTTATGTGAATTGGTCAATTTTGTGGTTTTGCACCAAACGCCCATTAAACCTGTAAAATCCTTTCGAAAATGAACAATTATTTGTTAATTATTAAAACCGCATAACAAACTGTAATAATTATTATCTACAACTCAACCGGTACTCGTACTCATACGGTAGCAGTTTGCATTCATTCAGTTTATTAAGTTTAAGGCTACGTGAAGCAATCTTCCAGACAGCGGCAGCTATTTATCCGCAATCTTCCCGCAAGACAAAACAAAACCGATAGAAAAATACATTCAAAATAGCCTCGAAAAGCAGTGTCTAAAAAATTAACAGACAACATTGTTAAGAACATGCCACAAATCAAAACACCCAGGCATAAATAAAATTTCTCTAAAAACTTCCGAAAATCGTTGCCCCTCTGTCAGTTAGTTGTAAAACAAGTAGAACTCCAGATAAAAGTGCCCCAAGGCCATGGCTTTCAAGATTCTGTCTTCAGACTGCCGCACATATCAGGATCCAACTTGGCACAAATCAATAAAGGCTTACATTTTAGGAGCATGTAAGTGAATTAATGGTCCATTCATTTGGTGAGCAGTCAAAAAACAACCAAGAACAGCTGAGGATCTCAATAAAGTCAGATTCAAATAGAATATATCCCCAAAAAAACAGGAAAAATATACATTTATCACAACAGCGTACAGCATACCCAGTCAACATCCTCTTTAACCGGTGCAATATTCATTTCACGAACAATCTCGGCAAAGAGTTCATTAACATTGGTACGTGATTTGGCACTAGCTTCCATAAAGGGGCAGTCCCACATTTCCGCCAGCGATAGTGCATCGGATGATGAAACCTCGCGTAAATGCTCCAAATCAGCTTTATTACCAACAAGGATAATGGGCACTCGGTCGACCCCTTTCACTCGCATGATCTGGTCTTTCATGATCTTGATGTCTTGAAAACTCTGCCGACTTGTGACACTGCAAAATTAACTAGTTAATCGAAATTGTTCACACACAAACAATGCTACCAAGATAAGTAACCCAAGCTCCACCAAACGCAAAGGTATGTGCTCATAAAACTATTTCCTAGCGCACATAAAGTGATTTGTATAGAAATATGATATCTACTACCTATTAAGTACTGTCTACAGATAATAGCCATAATACAGACTGTTGCGCTTTTAGCCAGAGCTATCTAATCATAACACGTCAACTGCATTTTACGAATTAATTTATTCAGAAAACGTTTGCTCACTCTAGGGAGTGCCCAAGACTTATGTGCAAATTATCATTAAAGGCTCCACATACTATGTATTTAGGAATTTCAGAAAAAGAAAATAGCAGCGATGCACCTGGTAGAAAAAACTGCTACAGTAGTAATAAGTAATAAATTATTAACAATTACTCCACCTGTATACAACAACGAATCCTTGGCCATTTTTAATGTACAAATCGCGCATGCTGGCAAATTGTTCCGTTCCAGCTGTGTCCAAAATTTCTAGTATACAGCGATTATGATCCACTTCAATTTCTTTGCGGTAGAAATCTGCAATTGAACAAAGCTGAAAACAATCTTCAACATCACGGTGCATTCATGAAAACGCCCATACAAATCTCGAACCGCGCAATTGAGGTATCAAGTGCCCCAAGTTTAGAGCATAAATACAAGCATTCAGTCTCTTTTCAGAAATGTCTTTCACGCCATTATTATTCACAGCCCGGAAAGGCAATTATATAACCACCATAATAACATATTGATTACTGTATTATTTTCCCGTATTTCGTTCCAATGCTGCGTTGTAAATTCATTCTAAGCAGATAAGCAACTGCAGAACTGGATCAAATTTCCTGATGCAGCTAGAAATCGTTTAACAGGTATTTACTTAACCAGGAATAGTCACAGATCACTGATACAATTACTTCTAACAATCTGGTTTCGATTAAGCAATTTCCCATATAATTTCAAATCTAGCAGATTTGTAATTTCGCATTAATGTGAAACAAAGCATGTAGAATTGCTGCCAACTTGTGGCACAACATTAGGCACACGAACATCATTTTTAAGTCTTAAGCAAAGCTGGCACTTATTAGCGTGCTTGGCTCAGTAAACTAGCACAGCGGAATATTTTCCTTTTCTATATTTCCGTTTTTCTATGTTTCACAAAATCCCAATTGAAGTATTGATGAAAGTTATGATAAATAAGCTGGAAACCTTACTGCGCCCTATCGTACCCTTTTCTGATAAAGCAAACAGCTTCAACTTTTCGCTCGGAAATTTTGAATTTTTGAATATACTATTCATTCCGTACTGAGGAGGAAAATTTTTTGTTCAAATTACACAGTACATGTAACAGAGAGGCAGGTACGAGAACACAAGAACAAGCACGATCGATCAGATGACGCGCAAGTGCCAATCTAGGCTGATTAGTGGTTAAAGTAACGACCGTAAAAGTAATACTTGAATGACCTAAAACCTTCTTAACGATAATGCCGTAATTCCTAACACCTTTCAGTTTCTTCGGAAAGCTACGAAATGCGCACCGGCACGGCTGTTAATCAAAAAATAAAATTAGTAACTCGTAAGAAACGTAATTAAAGATACTTCTATGTTCAGATCACTAGATCAGCACGTATGTACAGATTTCCCGAAAAACTACGGACAACGTTTGTTTCAACCTTCCTTTACAGCATCCACTTAGAGTCTCAGTGAAACGTAAAATCCTGTGCCACTCTTTATCAGTAAAATTCAGGGAAGTACTCAATACCTCAAGTAATAAAAACATACCTTCTATTGTCGGATCATATTTCTCGCAGAAATGCCCCGAAACAAACTGCACCGTCAAAGCACTCTTTCCGACGCCGCCAGAACCCAGAACGACCACTTTGAATTCGCGCATATTGTCCAAACGGATACGGCAGTGCCACTTAGCATAAAAATGTTATAGCTGTCATCCAAGCATGAAGCTGCTGTAAAATCTCGCTTTTTCGAATTTCCAGAGTAAAAACACTCCGCGCGCATGTACACCACACACACCGTGCAATTCCTGTCGCATACTACACACGCTGATTATGGCCCAGCAGACCGACAAAACCTGCAAAACGGTACGCTTACCAACAACCCGACCAGTTTGTTAAAAGGTAAACACGTTTATAAAACAATAAATGCTCATGACAATTCGTTAAAACTCGCTAAGCCATACACAATGGCTGATTTGTAGTACGACAGACAAACCCGAGGTTCGCATCATTATCCTGGCGTGATGATCTGTGATGATCTACCTACGCAGCTACGCTTACGACAATCATTACCCGTTTGTCTTACCTGGCCTTTATAATGGTCTACTCGTACACAATAATAACCGCATATTCATAATCTCCACTGAAAACGCAAATGATTTATTACGGCTGCTTTCAAGCAACGTTCAAAATGATATGCAGGCTGACAAAATGGCCAATATCGCACTACATAGCATGGCCTACTGTACTGCACGCGTTTGTTTAATGTGTGTGAGTCACCGCGTGCGATACGAGTTTTCGCTCACTACGTATAGGAGAAACATTAAATTCAAATTTCAAACACACCGTGGCTTATATCGTACAGTAAACGAAGGTGCAGTACAATACCACTACGAGTTTTTGTCTGTTGCAAACCAAAAAATAACACCGATCTTAAAAATTACGTGTGTAAATGATTTACTCCTGTCATGTTTGTGTGTAGCACTGTATCTTATTATTTGAATTTAGCATATTTTGTAGTCTGTAGATAGATTCATTTGGTAATGGGTTTGTTACTCCGCCAAAAATAATTGGTGCCGGCACTTTTCATTTCTGATTTGCAGAAGATCTAAACTGTCAAACAACAATTAAAGACCAACGCTGCTTTTGTTATTATGGAAACAATGTAGCATCTTTAAGTTTTCACAATTTTGCATACACCCCAAAATCTGTCAAGCTGTAAATTGGGTCCCACAAATTATTACAGTTGAAAGAACCTATGCAGTATATATATATAATGTACGTAGCAAGCTTCTTCAACAGGAAGCCTTACGGGCGGCTCTCTCTCTCTCTCTCTCTCTGGAAGAGAGCCAGGTGCAGGCGGGTTAAGGAGCTAGGATCGTCACCTGTGGTCCTGTATATACAGCACATGTGCGGCGTTTGAGCATTTGAAGCATACAAGATTGACTGTTGGTTAGTGCTGCTTGTTGATGTGAAGTATTTTTATGTTAACAGGGTGTCTTCGGAATGTTTTTGGGTTCTGGTTTTTCCATTCGGTTAGAATTATTCGAAGTTTACAGAGCATATATCGGCAAATTGTTACAATTTGCTGATATACTAATATTATTATAAGATAAATTGTACTTTGTATATCGGTATATTGTTAATCGGTATCTCAAACGCAGCAAGTAACACGCACGCCCACAACCGCTTACGGGTGGCAGTAAATCTGTGGTTGGGCGCATACTTATAACATAGTACCTAATGCTAATAGTACTGTACTGATTTTTATACTGCATAATATTTATATATTTATTTATTTATTTATTTATTTTTTTATTTATTTTATTTATTTTATTTATTTTATTTATTTTATTTATTTTATTTATTTTATTTATTTTATTTATTTTATTTATTTTATTTATTTTATTTTTTTTATTTATTTTATTTTATTTATTTTATTTATTTTATTTATTTTATTTATTTTATTTTTTATTTATTTTTTTATTTATTTATTTTTTATACTGTACTGATTTTTATACTGCATTTATTTTTTGCGTTAAAGCCTTAAGTTTTATTACTGTCCGCGAATCGGTAACAGCGTTCATGTACTCCTTTTTCTCAATTAGCGTAAACTGCGTGTTCTGCAATATGGCGAACGTCTTTCAAACGCGGTGGGTTGTGCGTTTTAAATGTTTTTTTCAATTAATAGGAAACACATCGGATGACTGCACACACTTGTGTACATGTAAAATGTTTTCATGCCAAAAGAAAACTTTTAGTTTTCCAGTATAATAAGTCGTTACACAATACAGTTTAGCCAAACTGTTTTGGCGAATTAATATTTTACTATGCCTAAATTCATTTTCTACACTTTTTTACTACATACAGACAAATCTGATAAAATGCGCCAGAAGTCTTTGCAAAGCGCACCCATAAAATTTTTTCAGATGGCTGTATCTAACTGATATTAATGCTTGATTTTATCACGGCATACTTTTTCATGCTCCAAATCTCCTAATTTATGCTCTGGAAATAAATATCCAACAAATCAGTAGAGATATTGAAACGGTTCATTGAATATATGATCATTAAAGAATTTGGATGACTGGATCCACCTGTTTTCATGTTTAAACCTCTGCCAAAACGCCATGTTAAAACCTCATCGTAATCAATTACGATGCGATTTATTCTGAATTTCGACAAATACTTTACATTTAAACATACCTTTAAGTAAATAATACTGTACAGACATAAGTAGTGATTTATTTAATTTTAATTTAGTACCTATTTAAACTAAATTTTGTAACTGCATTTGCGTGTGTTTTTTCACCCACCAATTTGATGTGTGATATTATCATATGAATTTTAATTAAAAGATACTATCATACTGCAATGCATGACTTTAAAATTTTTCACCCTTCATCGAACATCAAAATGGAATTTGCTTAACCATAAAAACTATTGTTGCATGCTGTCAGAAAACTCAGAGCCTAACCATCCTTTCTGTTATCTGTTACATGAACTTATTAACAGCTTAACTGAAAAATTTAATAATCCTGTAAAAATAAAGCACTATTTGCTACAAACTATAACAACTAACCTAAAAGTTAATGTCATCACACACTCTTTTAATAATGTTACCTAGAAAAATAAATATTTCTTCATAACTACACCAGAAAACCATACTTTACAATAACAACTTAATCAATACTGAAACATTCGATTACTTACTTTAATACTAACACCGGTACAAGTAATAAATAACAAGATTTTCTAGAACAAATTGTTTATTTTATGGACTTTCTTTTTTCATACCTTTCCAACCACGCTACAGTGATCATGCCACTACTCATCTTCCAAGCCCACTGTTTTCGTGTTATTGATTCCGCTTTTCCTCTTACCAATAATAAAATCATATTGTACGTCATTATTATATTATTATCATTTTTATACGTCATTATGATACGACATTATTATAATAAACATACCGTTAACTGAATCACCAGCAATAAATGAAAAATGCAACTACGTAACTGAATTCCAGTTTCAAACCACAACGCTTCAACTCGAAACATACACGACTCACAATTGAGGTTATGCGACAGGGCAGCAGCGTACAGACGGCAGTTCGTGAAAACCTACGAGTTTCCGGAAGTCGGTGTTTCTGTCGCTAAGCACATGTTCGAAACAGCGACTTTAAATACTATTATACTGCTCATGCAGCTAATGATCTGTTAGCAAAACCGAGACCGTCGCCAAAATGTACAGAAAAATATGCTCTACAAGGAAATGTTAGCTGTCACGTGGAAATCTGTTACAGCAGTGACTTATTGCCGCTAGCGCTTTGCACCATGAAATTCGGTACTACAGATTCGGTACTACAGATAACTGCGCACCTGTAGTTTGCCCTGTTAGCGCTATGCTTAATTCTCTGTTGTTTGGCCACTCACATAGCCAATGAGCGTGTTTGCACCGGCACCGCCCCTCTACCGCATACCAGGAATCGTATCAACCATTACAACCATTGCTCACGAGTACTTAACAACAAACACTTAAAGTGACGCCGCATCCTGCGGCCTTGCGAAGGAAATGGATGGTTTAGACTTTAGAGTAGCGTGGTTACATAATACCGTACTTTACTCCAAAAAATTGTTTTTGTTGAATTTTATTACTGAGAAGTTCGCTTGAGTGTACGGCTATTTGAACGAGCTGGTCTGGCAACCACCTCGCGTACGCGCATACGTGTAGTAGTCTGGACTCTGGGTAGCTGATTTCGACTGCCACTTGATCTCCAAAACTTGCAGCACCAGTTTTTCGGTGTGTCTTTAACAAAACTTCCCAGTCAGTGTTTCAGAACAGAGAGCAAAATTTCAGAAATTTTTTGATATCTTGGAAGTAGGTCTTTATGGCGAATCAAGAAAGTTATGTTTGTTTTTGTTCCTCATAGACATAGCATAGGACCTTGCGATGGATGCGTTGCTTTGCACCCTATGCTATGTCTACGAGAAACCAAAACAATCATAACTTTATTGGTTCGCCAGAAATGACCACTTATCAGAGATCAAAAAGCTTCTGAATTTTTTCTCTATCTTCTAAGATGTTGGGTGGGGAGTTTTATGGAAAGGTAAGCGAAAAACTAGTGCTTGAAACTTTGAGTCAACTGACAACGACATTCAGTGCATTCTTTCACTGTTCAAAACAGGCTCCTCCTCTGCCTCTACGTCTCTGTCTATCCTGAGTTACAGCATTCTGCCTCTCCTGAGTTTACACTTCAAAATCTCTCTATTGTCAGCTAAATTTCTGTCTGTCCTAAGTTACAAGCTTACAAGTTACAATATCACACGGCGTGGATCCATAGCTTAAAGCTATATTATTATTATTACATAATAATTATAATATAGCTTTAGAAATATCTAGCGTTATTTCCTTCGCAAAAACAATTTTAACCAACAAACTTCCCAGCAACCACCTCACCAACTAACTTCTCACCGCACTCCGATTCCCTTTTTATACCCAAACCACACTATGCTAAAAAACCCTAGCGGGGCGTCCCCTCGTGGGGACTGTTCCGAAGGACGGGTTTTATTACATAATAACTGTAAAAAACTTCTGTTGTGGAGTTGTTTACGGGAAGATTGCCTGAGTGCAAGCTGGACGGCTATTGTTGCGAAATAGTATGCGGCAAGTGCAACCACCTCGCGTACGGGCATGCGTGTATTAGTCTCGACCTGATTCCGAGTCTCCGACTGCCACTATCTCCAAAACGTGCAGCATCAGATAAGTGTACTGAGGGCTGTGCAGTACCAGTACAAAATGGTACTCTACTCTCACTTATATGCGTGTGAGAGTTTTATTGCATGTAGTAATATGAGTTGTTTTATTGGATGTAGTAATGTGGAATTGTGCATAGCGTCGTATAAAAGCGTGGGGAAAATCGGAGTGGAATAGAGTAGAGAAAAAGTGGAGAGAAAATGGAGTAGAGTAATTGGGTAGAAAAAATGGTTAGAGAAAAATAAAGTTGAGAAAATGGTTAGAGAAAAATGGTAGTGAGATAGGGTGTAGAAATAAGGTGGAGAAATTGGGTAGAGAAAAAGGGTAGAGAAATAGGATAGAGAATTTGGTTGAAAAAATGGTGAGTGGAAAATGGTAGTGAGATAGGGTGTAGAAATAAGGTGGAGAAATTGGGTAGAGAAAAAGGGTAGAGAAACAGGGTAGAGGAATTGGGTTGAGAATATGGTTAGAGAGTAAATGGTAGTGAAATAAAGTCGTGAAAATGGTCAGAGAAAAGTGGTAGTGAATAGGGTGAATTAGGGTACAGA